TTTGACTGTTACCTTACACTGACATTTATTAACATTATTTATTTATTATTATAATATTGTTTTATTAGCTAAAATTCAAATTATTATTAAAATTAAATGTGATTTTAGAAATATATATTATGTTTTCGCGCTCATAATTGGGTAAAAATAATTAAAATATTCTAATAATAATAATATATGACTATAATAAATAAAACTGTAACTTTTTAAATATTTATACCTTGCTAACTACTTTTAAATTATTAATAGAATACAAAAATTTGAGAGTTTTAAATTTTATATTTTTAAATAAAAATTTTATAAATATCAATAGTTAAATATTACTATAGAAAATAATTATAAATTATTTATAATAATATTGATAATATATTTGCAAATTGTAAATTTTTTATTATTTTAACTTAAATGTCTATTAAGATTAATAAAAATATTTTTGATTGAATATAAAAATATTACATTATGATATTTATAGTTACTTTATACTATATTACTTTAATTTATTATTGTTATAAAACATGATAATAATAGTAATATTTTTAAAAAATTACAGTTTGTAAAAATAATATCACTATTATTATTGTTTATACATTAGAAACATTTAGAAAATTTTTTATCAAAAAATTTAATAATAAAAATATTTACTAAATTATGAAAAAAATACAAAACATATAATAAATTATAATAAAAATATTTAGTTTTATCATTTATATATATATATGACAAGTTGTTTATATATTATTGATTATTTTATAATTAATATCAAAAATAATAATAATAATTTTCTATTTTTGAAATATTGATTAACATTAAAAAATTATGTTTAATTAGAAAATATTTGATTTATTATAATTAGTATTAAATCGATAATAAATAAATGCTTAAATAATTATATTAATCGCTCACTTAATATACAGTATATATTATATAATTTAATACTTATAAACTAAAACATTTTATTTATATTTAAATACTGTAGAAATTATACATTTTTAAATAAATCTACTTGCTAATATTTTATATGTTATTTATTATACTTTATTTATTGTTTTAAGATTTTTTAAATTAAATATTTTTAAAAATTAATATAACTAAAAAAATATTTTGTATATTTATTAGTAATTTTCTCAATAAATGTACTTGGTTAATCGTTTAATAGATAGTATAGTACTTAATTAATATTAGATAGTGGCTCAGTATTTCATTATTTAATTATTATAATATATATTTTTTTATTTATAATAAAAATTAATTGGTTTATTAGAACAAATAAGTAAAATGTATAATAATATAAATAATATAATATTTTTATTAATAACTATAAATTTTTTAAAAATAAATCTACTTGCTAATTACTAAAAAAATCTTATAATTGCATAAATATAGTTTATTAATAATCTAAAATATGCATGTACATTTTTAAAATATTAAATTGATAAAAAAATTTCCAAACTGTAACTTTATAAATAATTGTACTTGTTAATTGTTTAACTATATTATATTACTATGTTATTAATAGAAATACAAATTATTGGATATTATACTATTTAGTATTTTAATTTTTTAAAAATATTTATAGTAATAAAAATTTTAATATTTTTTAATTAAAATAATATATAATATGCTTATCACTTAATTAATTTATGATTATCGATTTAATAATTTAAATAATTAACAACAACAACAAAAAATATATACTTTATAAATTATTACTGTATTATTATTATTTGTATTAAAAATTTTAAATAATAAGTTAATACCTTTTTATAATTATTAATATTATTTTATTTTATATATATATTTATAAATAAAAAATTGATTAATTTTTTAAAAACTGTAATTTAAAAAAAAATCTATTTGTTAATTATTTAAAATTAATAGCAAACTAAAATTATATTATCATAAAGACATGGATAGCTTTTTAAATTTAAATATTATAATTATTTTAGTAATTTTGGTAACAATTTACTAATTGTATGTTTTTAAAATAATAATAATATTATTATTGTATATTTTTTGTAACTAAATTAACATTATCTAACTTTTATGTCTAAAAGCAAATAACTATTACAATAAATAAAAAATTTTATTAATAATTTTGTTTTGCTAATCTATATTACTATAGTTTATTATATTGTTATAAAAATAGTAATAATTAGTAATTATTTTAAATATCACATTTTATAAAAATTATTATTATTATAATTATTAATGCATTAAATTTCTAAAAAATAAACTATTTTTTGGAAATTTTAATATATTAGCAACAACAACAAAAATAAAACAATTAAAATACATACAAACAACAAAAATAAAATAATATTATAATAATATTATTATCAAATTATATGACAAGTCGTTAACAATTATTTGAAATATTAATTAATGACATAATTTTATAAAAAAATAAATAAATAAAAAATTGAATATTTTACCATAAAATTGTGTTTAATTAGAAAATTATTTTTTTTGCATAATATATGAAAAACTCAATTCAATTGAGTGCTTCTATAAATAATGTAATGTATAATAAAAAGTTTGTTAAAACTTAACCCTATATACAGTGTTTAAAAAACAATTATATCTATTGATTGTTTATATAATGTCTTAAATACGGTATATATATTATATTATATAATTTAAGCTAATTTTAATCAATAAAACTATATATATAATATTAAAATAAAATTATACTAAAGTATAATAATATCAAACAAACAAAAATTATATGCCACTTATGTACAAATAATTTTTAATTATATATTTTAAAGTTATAAAATTTTTGCTAACTGTAAGTTTTCAATAATTGTACTTGTTAATTGATTAATATATCTATTGTATTTAAATATTATTAGAATTGTTAAACATATACTATCTTAACCTTAATGTCTATTAAGTTTAATAAATGTATAATTAATAAAAATATTTTTTAGATTTAATATTAAAATATTAAATAATATTATTTATAGGAGATTATAATGAATAACTACTATTACAATATTATTATAATATCAAATTATAGTACAGTATACTAATAATCTTTAACTAATACTTAGATATTATGATTAAATAAATAATATGTAAAATAATATATAATTTTTATAATTTACTATAATTTAGCAATTGAAATATATATTTTAAAAACTATAATTACTTTAAAATTAATATCTTTCTAAATAAACCAAACATTAGTAATTCATATCAATTTATTGATTTAAATTTTTTAATCTAATAAACTAAAATATTTTAAATTTTCTTATTATTATTAATGATTAAATGATTTTAAAATCTTTTAGAATCTAAAAAATATATTGAAACTAATTATTAAATAATTATAAAATATTTCACAACTAATTTTTTTATTGATAATATATTTTTTACTAATATTAATACTAATTTTAGATTATTACTACATTATTATTTTTTTAATGATCTTTAACGAAATTTTATATTATCTTAATCTTAATGGTCTATGATGATTAATAAAAATATTTTAGATTTAACATTATAATATTAAATAATATTATTTATAGGAGATTTTAATGTATAACTAAATTACTTTTGTTTATTATTGTTATAAAAATATAATTATAATGTGATAATTTTAACAAGTATAGTTTGTTAAAAAAATATTTTATAAGTTAAATAGTATTAAATAATATTAATAATAATAATAATAATAAATTAGCAAAAAATAAAATAATAATTATAACATAAATTATAATATACAATATCATCAAATATGACAAGTTGTTATCAATTAATTATTAATAATAACTTTTAAAAAATATTTGATTAAAACTGAAATATTTAATTTATTATATTATTTTTCAAATATACTCCTAAATAATATTTTCAATATTAAAATCAATTGTTCGTTTCATATATAATTATTATATATATAATCCATTAAATATATATTATAATCCATAATAAATAAATAAATGAATGAATGGATAAATAATTATATCAATCGCTCACTTTATATATATATATATATATATATATATATATATATATAATCTAATAGTTATAAATTAAATATTTTATTTATATTGAGAAAGAGAGAGAGGAAAAACATGTTGTATATAACATATATAACATAAATAATTGATTCAACAAAAAAAATATAGTAAAATACTACTAAAACTATTAATTAGACTTAAATTTATTAAGATTGAGTATATCGTTTGCAATTGACTTATATTAGTGTTAGCTTAAAAACCAAACAAAAAAATGTTTGAATATTTTATATATAATATACACACATGTGTAATACACTGTATATGATAAATTAAATTTGATCTAAAATAATTATAATAATAAAAAATAATAATAAATTGTTTAGAAAATTGATGGACTTTTTTGTTGTTGTTGGTGTTGAGGAAATATAGGAAAAAATAGTCATCAAAAAATATATATACCAACAATATATATATATTGTATATAATATTATTATAAGATACAGAATCGTGAAGTGAATGCATGTCTAATATTTTGATTATAACTTATATAAAAATAAATCTATATTCTGTCTGTATATTCAAATAGTTTCAAAATGTGTGCCAATCATTGGCAATGTAGTTAAAGGGGGTTAAATCAATGGTGGGGCTGTTGGTGCTGGTATTGGCAGTGTATTAGCTTTGCAAATGGATAGTTAGGAATGGGTAGAGTAATGGGATATATACTAAAAATAAAAGCATAGAAAAGGGGATAGGATTAGGGGAAAGTAGTCATCCACTCCCGATGGATGGCTATACAGTATATATATATATAGATATATATGGATGACTATTCCTAAATACAAACAACTGGTACTAACCAGTAATAGGCAAATAACAGCAAATGATTTCTACTTGAATACTACTATTACTTTGAATATAACCAAAAACAACAACAAAATACTATACATTCAAAAGTAATGGATGATTGAGACATATAGAGGGGAAGGGGAAAGGGATAGACATTATATATATAAAGACAAATATAGTATAAGTACTTACAGTTTGGTTGCATTAATGTCAAGAAGCTGTACTCGGCCTGTGAGCTGCCGGCCTGTGAATAGGCTGTAATCTGTATGTAATACCACTGATAGGGCTGTAATCCATCAATTAGTACGGATCGTTGGGTTGAATGTATAAACTGTGGATACTGTGTCCACTGGGGTTGTTGTCGCTGTCGGTACTTGAGCTGGAAGTGCTGTAGTGGACAACCGTTATCGTTGAATGCAAACAAATTGATTGTTACGTAAGTGGAGTTTATTGCGGACAGTAGTGACTCCTTGTCCGGTGCCAGTGGACTATTACCCACTGTTTTCACTGATATCTGATGCCGTGGACTACAACCGATCCGATTGCAGGCCATTACCGATAGTTCATATAATGTACCGCATTGTAAGTTATCAAACAAATAGTTTGTTATATTACTCGATAGTTTCAATTGTTTTTGATAATTGATACTATTTTTACAGTCGATTATGTATTCTAGTGTTTAAATTTAAGATAACATATATATTATTACTATTATATTAATTTTTAGCATAAAATACAGTATAAACTACGCTAACACTAATCATCAAAATAATAATAATAATAATAATAAAAGTCATAACAGTAAAAATATAAATGATAATTATTGTAATTTTCTATTATGTTATATATATATAATACTATAAATTATACAAATTATAACAATAATAATAGCCTTTATCTCTACTAAAATAATTTTATATACTGTATAAATCAATAACTAATTTTCTGAGAGAAAGATAATATTATATATAAATTTTCTGTTTAATATATAAATTAATATAAAGTGGTTTTTCATAATTTTTTTTAATATAAATTATTTTTGTTTTAATTACCAGAAACTGAATTATCATCATTTGGTGGTCGAATCCATTCGACATCAATACTAGAAGTGCTGACACTTAAGGGATTCAATGATAGACTCATTGGACAATCTATTTGAATGAATCAATAATATAAATATCAATAAAAAAATTAATATCAATAAAAAATTTAAAAAAAATCAAAATCAAATCATACATTAAGATCAGTAGTGGGTTTATTGTGTTAAATACTACTGAAAAAAAATTATATTCACTATTTTATCGGGTATTTATGTATATAAAATATATACATATATTGAATATATTGTATAAAATCATATATAAAATAAAAAAACTAAATGTTTAATATCTATTTTGAATGCATGAATTGAATGCGACTTTGAGGTCGACTAAACCCACTATTGAAAAGCATAAGCAATGAGATATACTGTATGTACAGTATATCTAACATTATATTTATATTGAATATATATGTACTGTACGTACAGAATATTCTGTAAATTCAATTTTATGCCTTAAAAAATACTCAAATAAAAGTTTATTCAGTTATAAAATGTGTGTATAATATATTGAAAGCTTAAACTGTACTGAAACTAAACTGACAAATATTATATGCACAGTGACTACAGCTATGTATGAAATGAAATATCAATAGTTATCTATATATATATAATATTATATATAATAATACAATGTATAATATATATATAATATAATAGTTTAGTGACACTTTATATGACAATAATCAATATTCCGATACTACTGTATATTACAAACTAGTGTAACAGTATTTACATTATTATTATTATTATTATTATTATTATTATTTGTATAAGTTTTTTAAGGGTAACTTCAAGGCATTTATAACATTTATAATAATAATTGTCTTCTTAATATGTCTTATATATAATGCACTATATATTAAATATATATCTAATATTAAACAATATTTTTTTTCTTGCTGTTTAATAACTATTGTAAATTATTTGTTTAATAATAATAAATTTGATAATAAATATTAAAAATATCATTTAATTACTATATATATATATATATATATATATATATACATATATACATAAATTTTAGCTCATGTTTATCTACAAAAATAATTTATTATATTACTATCTCTAAAGTTAATATTATAATTAACAAAATAACATAAACACAAAATTATATACATTGTATATAAAATAGTTGATTTGATAATACTGTATATCATATAATGTATATAAGTTATAAAGTATATTGAAATAATAATAATACTAAAATATAGTATATTATTAAATAATCAATAATAATCAATAAATTGCTTTAAAGTACTACTAAAACTAGAATTTTTTTTTTTTCCTAAAATTTTTTTTTATTTAATAAAAGCTATTTTTATTTTATTTGTTAGTTGAAGTTAATTAAATAATGTGGAGCAGAAAACCAACAAAAAAAATATTTTTTTAAAACCCAAATAAATAAAATCCCAAATATTTATAAAATAAAATAATTTCTCAATTTCAACAACCATTTCACCCATATATAGACACAATATATATATATTATAAATATATATCAAATTAAACCATACCTTCAGTTAATGTTTCCACTGGTATTGTTGTTGTTGTGTTGGTTAGTGTGTATGGAAAGCGTGTGTAAAAATAAATAAATAATTGTTTGTTAATAAAACAGTCACACAATAAATAAATTGTTTTTTTTATTTATCTATTGAATATATATATATTACCCGTAATTGGCTCAGATGGTGGACCGGCACCTATAGGTAGGTATGGGTCGTCAAAAACAAATTGAATAAAACAAAAAAAAACAATACAATTATTAGATAATTAATTTGATTTTTTTATAAAATAGTTGTCAAACCTTTCGAGTTGAACGCCTGGACAACGATCTTATATTTAGTCGATTTGTTTAAATTTTTTAATATTGTCTCACATTTAGTAGTAGTATGACTACTACTAATTGTTTTATCATTATTATTGATATTATTGTTATTATTGTCAATAGTTTTATAAATATAAACATCTGATGTTATATCCGATGATACTTTATATCCAATATAATACCCTTTTATTGAACCAAAATTTATTTGATTGTCCGGTGCCTAACATAAATCAATTCAAACAGAAAGAGAGAGAGAGAGAGTAGTTAGAGGTTATTATTATATTTGACAACACATGTAGTTTTTACACTTCAACTACTAGGAGGAGAGTTAGGTATAGTACAGTAGTATTAAACATATATATATATCTTATGTCCAAAAAATAAAGTAAAACCTAAAGTCAATAAATTTAAAGGTCTATACTCTTAAGCTATCCATACATACCTTCCAACTGATTCTTATAGTATTTGATGAATTAGAGTGAGCCTTGATATGTGTCGGTGGGTCACTGGGAACTGGCGGTCAATACAAAACATAAAAACAATAATATTATTATTATGAATGATAGATATATAATATATTGGATAATAAAATATAGTTTTTTCATTTAGTTTATATACACACAAACACACATTGAGAGAGAGAGAGAGAGAGAGAGAGAGAGAGAGAGAGAGAGAAAGAGAGTAAAATAAACAATGAAAAAAATTTTGATTTATAATTTTTGAAGTCAACGACAAACTATAATATTTTTTTCAAGTATATTACTCACACACATATGGTATATATTGTACAATATATACAGTAATATACTGTATATATATATAATTTATATATTGTTATCATTTATTTCAATCTTTTACATCTATGAAAGTCTTTGAGAGAAAGAGAGAGAGAGAAAGTAAACTCAAGTTTTATGAGCCCTGAAGTTGTTTTCCCGGAGTTTTTTATATATATTTTTTATAGTGTTTTTTAACGCCAATAATAATAATATAAAAAACTGAGTGTATAATAGTTAGACAAATATATGGTATTTTAAGCCATATAATGATCAATATTTTTATGTTAAGCCGAAAGTCATTTTAAAAATAAATATTGTGTGTTTGGTTTGTCTACAAAACTATTTTTTTTATTGTTTAACTTTTAGTTTTACACTGAATATAACAAAAAATTACTACTAAATAAAAAAATAGTTTTTTTTGCATATTGTGTTCATTAAGTTTTTTTATTATAAACTTTTAGTGTGTTTTATTTATGTGTGTATATATAGTTAACTAAACAACAAATATTAGCACTTAAATTGTATTAAACAATATAATACTGTATATAATATAAACTAAAAAAAAATATATTTTCTATATATAATTTAAATATTTGCTATAAAATTTTAGATTTAGTTGATTGACTACACTAACAGAATATTATTAATTTTTAGATATACAACAAAATGTAATGTAAGTAATGTATAATAATTTATTTAATTGATTTACACATTAGAAAGTTAGGGGAAAATATTTTTTTTAATAAAATTAAGTGTAAATTTTTATATACATTATGTTTTTAAATGGGAAAAAACTATTTATTAATAACTATTACAATATATGCTAACAACTAAAACGATCAAAATTTAATGTAACATTATATATATATAAAAATATATAACAGTCATCAACAAAAATAATAATAATAATAATTACAGTAAAAGTACTGTACTGTATAACATATATAAATATATAATATCCATTCATCCAATAAAAAAATAATATTAATACCGAAAATTGAAAAATATTTTGTTATATCAATCTCTAACAGATTATATTCTCTATCAATAACAACAACAAACTGTTATACATGTTATCAATATATATATATATATATATATATAATATTATATATATATCTATATCTGAGATAAGAGTCAAGAAAATCCTCAACAAAATACTATCAGAAAAAAACTTTGCTTTCAAATAGATTTTTTGTGTTGTGTTTCGCCAATCGATTATCGATTCCTAGACTTTAACTACAAGAGAGAGAGAGAGAGAGAGAGAGAGAGAGAGAGAGAGAGAGATATGGCTGTTATGTGTGGTGTCTCTGTCTTACAGTACTTTTGTTTGAATCCCAAAAAATAAGACTATATGTGAAAAACCTATTGATGTGTCCTCTCTCTCTCTCTCACACACAAAGACAGAAAGATCTGAGTGTGAGTGAGTGAGTGAGAGAGACAGACAGACAGACAGAGAGAGAGAGAGAGAGAGAGAGAGAGAGAAAGAGTGAGAGAGAGAGAGAAAGAGAGATCTAAACAATTCAGAGACTTTAACTCCAATCACTCACTCACTCACTAACTCCTATTCCTCACTCTTTCTCCTTATATTCAATCATAAGCTATAATARCAAGAGATGAAAGTCATATATTTATTTTGCTCAATCACTCACCCACTCACCCACTCATTCACATACAAAATAMTATACCAAAAGTGTTTCATACATACCTTCTTCGTCGGTCTGAAAATTGATTGCCGGAGTCGACGACTGACTCATTCCGAGTGAATTGACGGCCGAAACGCTTAATGAATACATATTATTGGGCGATAAGTCAGATATAGTCCATACCATCTCTATATATAAAACAAAAATTTTGTTACTTATATAATGATACAAAAGTGAGAGAAAAAAATATGAAATAAAATATCATATATTGATATATAAGTCTAACAGTATGTTATGTGTCATACAAAATATAGTGTGATTACTACTACAATATATACTGTATATTAATGTTATGTGTGATAATAATAATGATGATGATGTTGATGATGAACACCAATAAAAAAATAATAACTTATAACTATCTAACTATATATATATATATATATATATATAATATAAAGTTGTATATAATATAACAATTATATAATTTATACCTGATTTTATTGTTTAATGATTTTTAGGGACAAAATTATTTAATTGCATAGAATTTAGAGATAAAGTGAAAAGAATTTAAAACTAATTATATACTAAAATAATAATAATAATGCATTTGAGTGCCTAAACTAATCAATAAAGATTAAAAATTGTTGCCCTAATCTGTTAAATTAAATCCGACAACACATATATGCAAACAACAACAAACAATAGTTGAATTAATTTGAAAAATTTTTGCCATAAAATTAAATACCAAATTTATTGTATATACACTTATATAAACTCTATATAAATAAATATACTGTATTTTTTTATCTACCAGTATATATATATATATATATATATATATATATATAGTATATATGGTATAATGAATTAAATCTGTTTGTTCATTACTAAAGCATTTTCCTATAACAAGCCTCTTAACTATATATACTATATATATATATATAGTGTAGTTTATACTCTCTCTCTCTCTCTCTCTCTCTCTCTCTCTCTCTCTCTCTCTCTCTCTCTYTCTCTCTCTCTCTCTAATAATAATAATAATAATAATATATATGAGAATATATTTTATTCTCTCTATATATATAGTAGTAGTAAATAGCGTTCATAAAAATGTTATTCATTTGTGTGACAAATATATTGTGTTTGCAATTAGTTTTGTTAATCCATTATAATATATATATACAGTATATATCTATAGATTCTATACTATAAACACATTCAAAATACAATATATTTCACTCTCTTTTGTACTGTATTTTGCAATACAAGCACTCACTCATTGAATGTTAAAACTTATTTTACTGTAAGAGATCAATATATWTRTATATATATATCAAATAATACTATTCAAAGATTATACAATATATATATATATACAGAATATTCTGCATAAACTGTGAAACTCACGCAACACTACACACACATACAGTACATACAGACTGTCAAAGTGCTCACAGTTGTACTCAAATACAAAATTTTTATTGTAATTTATATCATATGTTATAATATAATATAATATATTACAGTATAATATTAATATACAATCAAAATATTGTATTTGACTCCTCTTAATATACATAAATTATATAATTATAAGCAATTAATGGCATTATATTTTTCTCTAAATCACTGTAGTATATACTATATACTGTATATATACAGAATATTTGATATATAAAATATATTTAAATTATTTTTAATCCTATTTTGATGTTAATTAAATAATTTGCATTTTATATACATATATATATATATATATATTTTTATCCTATAGTAAGTACATAATSATCATCAYATCATATGTTTGTATTGTGTATTATCAACACATATATATAAAATAAAATTTATAATAATCTWATAAAATATTTTAATATTATACAAAATAGAGRATATTATATAAAAACATAATTATTATACAAAAGTGTTTTTTCTATTACAAACTTAAATAAATGGTATAATTATTTWGATTAGAAATAAAAATAAATAAATAATTATATTCTAATAATAATGTAAAATGTAATGATGTATAACAAAAATATAACAATAGATATATATAATGTGTTGATTTAAGCAATTTTTGTTTTGTTTTTTATGCACAAATCATAGCATAGTTTATACAAGAGAGAGATAAGTACAGTACATACCWGTGCCGGGAATAGTTATGTTGCGCTTTTGTGWCGGAAGTGTGGACGACATCATCATCATCGACATCGGCGGTCCATTTAATGGACTTTCATTCAGATAGATATGATATTTAGTTATTCTTGAATTGCCGGTAAAGGGCGGCGCCCACGACACCCGTGCCGATCGGCTGCTTATGTCATCAACTTTGACATCTAGTGGCGTATCGGGTGGTTCTGTGAGAGGAGTAGTAGTAGGGGGAGGAGTGGGTGTCATTAGATGACAAAAAAATAACATTAAAAAACATTATAAACATGTGTTTCGCTTTTGAGATTGTATTTTATACGATACTATTGTATTATACAGTACTATACTAGTAATATGTTTGCCATTTATTTGCAAAACACATTGTGTGTCTATGTGTCTGTGTTTCGTGTGTTTTATAGTTATATAATATTTGTTTTTTATATTTATATATATTTTAATAGTATTAATGGCATTATCAACAAAACACACACACACACATACATACATACATAGATACATACATACACACACATATACACACACATACATAGACACACATACATAGACACACACACACACACACACACACACACACACACATACATACATACATACATACACACCCACCCACACATCGCACACACATAAAAAACAAACGGATCGATGTATACCTTGAACTATAACTTGAATACTGGTCTCATCTCTTCCGTAAGCATTGGATGTAATGCACTGATAGAGAGCTGAATCGCTTCTATCTATTGATTCAATCATTAACTCAGATGTAATTCCCTCATTCATTACCGTCTCTTTGATAACATATCTGTATTTTATTATATAATAAAAAATAAAAATATAAAAAATACTGTTTTATTACAAAACAATAGCAACAACAATGACAGCTAACAATAATAAATTACAATTTTATATATTATATATAATAAATTTAGAGACAAAACAAAAATAATAAAAATAAGATTTTTAATTAATTAATTAAGTAGAAAATAAAACTWATAATTTATTATTAATAATATATTTATAAATTATCTAAAATTTATTTATTCATATATTATAAATAATTAAATATTATAATCATTAATTATTATGCTTAATTAGCATATAATAATAATATTAATGTTTAATTTTTATATAATTATAAATAAAATAATAAAAAAAATTTATTTAAAAAAAATTCTATTAATTTATTTGTTGTTAAAAATTTCCTAATAATTCATATTTAATATATATATACTGTATATATATATATTGATAATAATGGTTATACCTATTTGAATGATGTTCAGGACGTATAGGTTGTCTATCCCGGAGCCACTCGACAATTATGGGTCGTTCACCACTGGCCTCACAATTAAGTACTGATCGTTGATTTCGTTCAAACGTTTCGGCTCTGAATTTCACTTTAAAACGGGCGGCGACTGTAAAACAAACAAATAATTAAAATAATTTAAAAAAAATATACTATTATTTAACACTTAGATTAAGATTATATTATAGATTATTATTCTTATTATTATCAATAATATATGTTATATAATAATGCATTGACTATTACATGTTGCTATACATATCAAAACTTACAATACACACAATATATCATATAAATAAACTTTACGTAAATTATTATAACTGTTAATTGTTCARGGATACTTTTTTAATATTTTTAAAAATTTATTATAACTTGACCTGATTAATATTTAAAAAATTACTATGCAATACTTTTAAAAAAGTATCCCTGAACAATTACAAGTAGTCAAGTTAACTATATATTTTAATTATCATTGATTAAAATATCAGTATTAATAAATTTAGCATAAAATATTTGTAAAATATAATGTAAATTATTAATAATATTATTATAGTAAATAGCTAGCTAGTTAGCTAACTAATAAAATTATATTATTATATAACAAATAAAATAAAACAAAAAAAATAGTAAAAATAATACTTTTAAAAAACAAAACAACAATATTTAGTAAGTCTAGTAATATACTGTAATACTGTATATTGTGTTACAAAAAAAATTAAAACAAAATAACACAAAAATTATTATATATATCTTATTTAACATTTAGATTAAGATTATCAATAGATTATAGATTATTATTATTACCTGTATTATCAATAATATATATATTGAAATATTTTATATTACATTTACTATTGATATAAATATCAATATTATACACAATATATCATATATTAATAATAAACTTTAGGTAAATTATTATAAATAATATAAAAATAGTTAACTTGACTACTTAATTGTTCAGGGATACTTTTTTAATATTTCAAAAAATATTATAACTTGACCTGATTAATAATATTTTTAAAAAAATTAAGTWACTATGCAATGCTTTTAAACAAAACTAACCATGAACAATTACAAGTTGTCAAGTTTATAAAWAAACAAAATTAATTACATTTAAAACTATTAGCATTAMTCWAGTAATTTAGTAAAAAATATTTAGTAAAATAGCTAAATAACTAATTATATTATAAATTATAATATAACAACTATATAAAATTATTAGATTAAATATATGAGAAACAAATTAAAAATAATAGCAAAAATAATGCTTAAAAACAATACAAGAATATTCTGATAGTTAAAGTCTATTGAAAGTAATAGATTGTATAGAAATAAAATAAAAACTAATAGTAAAATAATAAATCGTTTTTATTTAAAAAAATAAATCAATACTAACTGTGAACTTGGATACGGATTATTTTGCTGAGATCCGGTTCAATACCGTTGGACACGTGGCACAGGTATAGACCCGAATCCTTTTTGTCGGCACTTTCTATATAAAGTGTGCCGTTTTCGTGAACCTGTGTCTGAAATGAGCTGACAATCGGCCGGTAATCGGATTTCATGCCTAAAAAATTGTCATCAAATTTAAAGACAAAACAAAAATGTTTTAAAACTTACTTAAAGTATTTTAAGTATATTTATATTAATTGTTTTTTTTAAGTTTATTTGACAAACAAATACTTGTATAAAAAACAAAACAAAAAGCTTCTCGTTTGCAAAAATAAGTGATTTTATTATATATATAAAACAAAATAACGATTTGTTAAAGTTTTAAGCATTTGATTAATTGTTGGGCAAAATTTGTCGAAAAACTAATTAAAATTTTTTTTGCTCTGTATTTACAATTTATATAACTTATAGTTCAAAGAGTATAGAGAGTAGAGAGAGAGAGAGAGAGAGAGAGAGAGAGAGAGAGAGAGAGAGAGAGAGATGAGAGGTAATCATCCATTGGATCGGAATTGAGAGATGTTATGTAAATACCGGTATAATTGTYAATAAGTTTCTCTCTCTCTCTCTCTCTCTCTCTCTCTCTCTCTCTCTCTCTCTCTCTCTCTCTCTCTCTAATAAAACTATTTCAAGTATTAATATAAAATACAGACTATTATTATTAGTATAGTTAGGGTTCAAACAATTTTATTTTGMAATATATAATAATATTGTATCACAATTATAGATAAATAATATATTGTATATACAATTATATTCAATATATCAAATAAATATATAAAATAATATTGTGTATACAAATTATATCTATCTATCTATTTATTTAATATAAAATTAGATATTATTATAGTTTATTTTATCGTATAATAACAAATTTCAAACCCTATATATATAAATCAATTTAAAAATAAATTTGAATATATCATATGTCTTATATATGTTTTATACTGTATATACAGTTATTAAGGGTTAAACCTCTTTTGACATAAACCGTAAATTTTTCATTCAATCCCTGGGATCAGATAACAGTCCTTAAAAAWAGATACTGTTTTTAACAGTATATARCAATTGTTGACACAATTGATGACATTTAAAATAAAAAATTGTGATAAAATTCAACATAACAATGMTGCTAACAAATTGCCTAATTAAACATATATTTAAAAAATATATGTATCTTTAAATATATCTTTTAAAGCATATACAGTATTAATATCTCAATATATATTTACTGTATAAGACATTAACACAAAATAAATTATTTGTAATTAGATTATACCGGTATATACTAAAAAAATATGCAATAAATAAATAATAACACTATTAATATATCTATAAATTAATTAAATATAATAAATTGTTTTTTTTTTGKTGAGAGTGAGATATYATTATATATTTAGTACAATATATATATATATATATATATMATAAAAAACAAAACAATAATATAATAAAATATAACTATAACTTAACCCATACTTTGAGCTCTTTTCCATTGAACACTTGGTGTTGGAAATCCAGTGGCGGAACAGTCAACCCAAACACCGGTGCCTTCGACTAAATCTATGTGATCTGTCGGCTCTATTATCCAACGGGGCTTTTCTAATACATATAATAATAATAATAATATATAATATTAGATAAAAACATATATATAAATGTATGGATGGATAGATTGCTTAATGGTATATAAACATACATATCATAGGCTATGTTATGTTGTTATACATCAATTGTGTATAAAATATACATATATCTATTAATTTTGTTTTCTTTATATTATAAGTAGTATTTAAATATTATTATTAGTACTTATATGTATATAAATATATATATATATATAACAACATCATTGACTGTCAATTAAACTCTATGGGATATTGTTGTGTGTGTGTGTGTGTGTGTGTGTGTGTGTGTGTGTGTGTGTGTGTGTGAGAGAGAGAGAGAGAGAGAGAGAGAGAGAGAGAGAGAGAGACTATTAGTAAACTTGTAAAGGAAGTTGCAATTTATAGTATCAAATAAAAAATTGTTTTAGTCTTTCACTACTATTACTACTATTAACTAATATTTAGTTACTAATTATWTTTTGGTTGTCTATTAGAGAGTGAGTGAATGAATGAATGAGAGATATATAGATAGAGATAGTAATAGTAAAAAGTTAAGTGAAATAATTAGAGAGAGAGAAAGAGAGAAAAAGAGAGAGAGACTATGTATTGAAAAAGGGATAATAATTAGACCATAATTACCCCGTATTATCATTTGAGTGCTGTGTTTATCTTCTCCGACATCATTAATAGCAACACATGTGTAATTGCCTTCAAAATAAAAAATAGTGGATTAATATGGATGTGATGGTGATGTTGATGGCCATGTATTTCAAGTCATATACATATAATAGATATATAATAAAAGCAAAAACAAAACATAAATCAATGAAAAATCAATATATCATTAAAAAACAAATATTTAGCATATTTTTTGTTACCTATGAATATACTATATGTATATAAATATTTTTTTTGTTGATAGTGTTATATTATATTAGTAGTAATTTTTTCATGTTTTATCAATTTTTTTTCCTCCGTTTTGTTGGTTTGTTTTATGTTTTTCATCAGTGATATAACTATGCAATCATTACAATACATACATTTAAAAAAACTGCAAAAATCTCTAATATATTGAAAAGATTACCAACAAATCATGTGTTTGACTAATATTAATCATCAGATAGAAAAAAATCTCTTATTTTTTTAAAAGTTTAGTTTTGTTTTGTTTAATGTTTTCTGAATTATTTATAAATGTATTAACCAAATGTAAAAACAAAACAAAACTAAACTAAAAAATTGTTAAAATGATATATATATATATATATATATATATAGAATATAAAGAATATACAGTATTCTTAAAATATTATATAATATTTAAATAAATTTTAATAAAAACATAGTTTTCTTCTAATATATATATATWTTTGTTGTTATTTTTTTTGAAGAGAGGGTTTTGTAATATAATAAATGATATAAAAATTCAAATAATATTTTGTTGCACTACTTGTATATACTGTATATATATTTATATATAAATTCAGTATAAATATGATTGCATTGTTGAAGAAGATCTTTATAAATATATATATATATATATATATATATATAAATTATAAGATAATATATATACAATATATATATATATATATATATAATACATATAATATATATATACAWCTCATAGAAAGTCAATTTATTTTAATCAAAATACATATTTTTTTCTCTAAAWAWATATATAAATAAATATAAAATATAAAGAATATTCTTTAAACAATTTTTTCAACCAAATCTTAAGGGCATAACTAAGTGTATATACAATATACAGTATATTGATATACAAATAAATTTTTATATAATAACTTATAAGTAAAATATAATATCATTTATAATAGTATAAACAATAATAATATTATTATTGATATTAAATGCTTTATATATACTGTATATATATATATATCTAATAGTATTTTAATGGTAAAAATCTTATTATTTCTTGTTGTTATTTTGTGATATGTTTTGTTTTATCATAATATGCTGTATAATATATAATATACAGTRTATATATACACACAGTAAATATCATATATGATAAAAAATAATTGAATAATTATATCTATAATAATAATAATAATGTAATAATAACTTAAGTAATGTTGTTTATAATATACTAATATAAGTCCTAATACTAGTAGTAGTATCTCATGTGTGTAAAAATATATTAGTGTTTATATATATACTGTATATTATTGTTACTATTAGTTATGATATCATATCTCATATGTCTTTTTTTACTCTAATAAATGAAACGAAAACAAAAATAAGTTTATTTCTGTGTATATATCAAAAAAAGTCAAATATATGTATGAAATATACGGAAAAAATATAGTATATTATTATTATTAAGTAAAATATATAAATAATATCGTATCATATAATAGACCAAAAAATAAATAAAATAATAAACATATAGGAAATGGATAGAAACAAAAAAAATATATGAATTATTTATAATGAAAATAAAATTATTATTATATTTCTATAATATATATAAATATAAGTATATTAAATACCGGTCTGTTTTTTGGTCAACGATTCAAACAATAGTGTCGACGAATAGTCGGTCAAGTGATGGACTTTTACCGCAACCGTAGCCAACTGTTCACGGCTACCACCGTTATGGCCGCCGCCGCCGCCAATAATGTGGTCATTGTATAGCCATTTGATGGTCAGCGGCGGATCGCCTCTGATGACAGTACACGTAATGGACAGCCGTTGGCCAGTATTGACCAGCGATGGCACGACAAACGGCTCGATAACTGGTTTTTCTGGTTAAAACCGATAAATAAAATCATGAAAAACAAAAACATATAAATAAATAAATTTATTATATATTTAGTGTCAACTTATATATAAATCATTGTATAAGTTATATATATTGTTATCATTTTGTTGTTATGATAAGAGAGTTGGGAAATAAATGTTATGTAATACTACTGTATATTCAATTGTCTTTCAAATCTTATGAGACAAATATATATTTATATAATGTTATAATAATAGCATATAATATTAAATACTACTAGTATTTTGTTTAGTTTTATTTGTTGTTTAAGTTGTTTTGATGTTATTATTATTATATACAGTACTTTACTTTTTATACATTTGTATTATCAGTATTATTGATATTATTAAGTAATCCTAAGTAAGTAAAGTGATGGTAATGTAATGCAATATTTGCTAAATACTGTACATATCTAAATAAATATTATTTGATATATATATTATATATAATAATTTATATTATATATAAATWATTTATATGATATATTAGTTTGGTCTATAAATACCTCTAACTGTTACAAAAAAATCACGTTTGGATACATCGCCCTTATATTTAGCCATACATGAGTACCTGTAATGATAAAAATATATATAAATAATAATAATAATAGCAATAATAATAATGAATATATATTTATATATATTTAATCATTGAAGTAAATGTCATCAATAAAAGTATCCATTAATATAAATATAATAAATACACTGTAAATCATAACTAACTTTTATATGTTAARTAATTTTGTGTTATATAATATGATATTACTATACATGTATATATRTACTGTAGTATTATTGATATACATGTTATTAGWAWACATAAASTRATGATTAAAMAACATGMGAAAAATTTRTAGTAAATTTGCCAAAAACTTGTGTTTATTAAAACTAAAAATTAATTATTATTATTATTACATGAGTGAGAAATTAACTGTATATACARTATATAATTATCGATTAAAATTGAGTGCATTTTGCGGTTTAAAATCACTTATATTTCACACATACACTAAAAATAAATTAAAAACAACTATAATATTATATATCATATTAACTAATAGTTGTACTAATTTACTATAACTACAGTACAGTTTAGTATACAACCACTAATGGCATTCAGAAAATATTTTTTGGCATATATTATATTATAGTATTTAGTAGTAATAGTATATCGTATAGAAATTATATAATAAGTGTTGGACTAATTATAAATAATTAACTGACATTCAAMAWAACAAAAAACTAAAATAAAATTTGTATACAAAAATTAAACATTAAGTGCCAAAACATTTCTACTATATTATACTAAATACTACAGTAATATATTGTATATAAATATACTGAAAATAATATTTTATGCTATATTTAGTAATAATATAATATATACTATAAAATATAAAAACAGTTCAATTAATAATAAAGTGTTTCTAAAAATTGTTAGTAATATATATATAAATTCTGTAATCATTTATTATATAATSTAATGAAAAGTTGTGACTAAATTTTTGTTTAGTAAATTCAAACATTAAAATAATTTTTAATACATTTTTAACACATTATTATTAAAAATATTTTTATAAAATTATAAAACATTATGATCTCTCTCTCTCTCTCTCTCTCTCTCTCTCTCTCTCTCTCTCTCTCTCTCTCTCTCTCTCTTAGAATAATTAATAATAATAATAATTTGTWAGACAATAATGTAGTTTATTATTATTATTTTATATATATATATATATGAAACTCGTTACGTGATATGATTTATACGCTATTTATTTATTGTCTAAAAATATGATATAATTATTGATTTTTATATCTACAGTACAGTTGTTGTCGTTGTTGTAGTAAATAGTATAACAAATAAACAATTCATTTCATAAGAGAATTATTTATAATATATATATAATATTATTATATTTGTTGAAAAGCTTAACAATTTTTTTTATATATATATTTATAGGACTTGATAGAGAATTAGACCACAAAAATAAAGTGATTTTTATGTTTATTTGTGACAACAAAATACAAATAAAAAAAGTGTTAAAATCAAGAGATTTGGAGATTTGCTAAATATATATAAAAAAACAAAACACTTATATATTGGATATAAACTTATAAATTATATATAATAGTAGTGTAGATATACTGTAATACAGACACAAGTTTATATTATATATATCRAGTATATATAGGGATAGATTGTATTATTATTTTCAACTAAAATCTTATTAAYACAATWTATATAATATATTATATTAAATATATAAAGAGAAATATAGCAAATAAAGTGTAARAGAAAAACAATATAACGATAGAAATAGAGAGAGAGAGAGAGAGAGAGAGAGAGAGAGAGAGAGAGAGGGACTAAGAGACAGATCCGATAGATAGACAACAACAACATCAACACAACAACTGCAACGTCAAGACAGACAGTCAAAGACATTGTGAGTGAGTATTGAAAGAATATATATATATATATATAGAGAGAGAGAGAGAGAGAGAGAGAGAGAGAGAGAGAGAGAGAAACAAATAAATAAAAAATATTTGCCGACATATATATATATATATATATATTATATTAAATCTATAATAATATATATAAATAATATCCTTAAATGGTAAGACCATCTAAACTATATGAATGAATCAATGAATCAATGGCTATACCAACCGCCCCGCATCTGTTTCCCGGGAGAGCTCCCGTACAATGAGTGTACCGTTTGAATGAAGTGTTTGTCTGTGATTGTCGGGTAGTAGTACTCCGTCTATATATAGATAGATAAATAAATAAACAAAAAAATAAGTTATAATAAAAATAATGATATAACAAAAAAAAATAGTAATTCCAGTTATTGACAACACATTAGATGATAAAGTGATAGAAAGAAAGAAAGAAARAGAGAGAGAGAGAAACTTAATAATAATAAAAAGCATTTTCTTCTTCATCTTCATCACCAATGGATTTGATTAATGACACAAATATTTATTTTTTTTGTACGATTAATATATAATATATACAAAAAAAAATTGATTCATACTTTTTTCCCATAAGATATCATCGTATTGTCCGCCAACCGGACACCGCAAATAAATGGTCTGATGGGCTACGAGTGTCATATTGGGTATAAGTCGGACATAGGGCGGGCCTATGACCCGAACCAGRGCACCATAATGGACACCTTGGCCCGGATGCGATCCACGGGCCGTACATGTCCAGTGTCCGCCGTGTTCCGTACCAACCGATGATATATTAACAAATGATATTACATTTGAATCGCGGGTAACATAATCGCCATAACGTAGGCCATGGATGTCGGTTATGGGTAAGTCATCCAACAACCAGGTAATCATTGGCAATGGACTACCCGTTGCCATACATTTCATTGATAACGAGTCGCCCGGTCTTAGCTCTTGTGGTTTGAATACTTCCAAGAATTTTGGCTGAAATTCTTCTTAAGTGTAAAAACAAAACAAATTTTTGTTAAAAGAAAATAATTATTGAATTAAAATAATATATTATTAATAAATGTTTTTTTTTGTTAATAAAACTATAACTACTATAATAAATATTAAAACAAACAAAAAATATKATATAATAATAACAATAGCCATTAGCTATTACTAAATATAAACTGATTATTGTTTTTATGATATTATTATTATTATTATTATTACCTGAATGTGATGCCAACAACAAGTCGTTTGCGGTGTTGGTAGTAGTGATGGTAGACCTCACTGTTGTCGGTGAAGTCGTCAATAATTAATTGGATAGACATATAGATATGAAACATATGGGAGAGAGAGAGAAAAATATAGATATATTACATAATAAAAATAATAATAATGACCATTAAATTGAATATAAAGCTATATATATATATATATAATAACACATAAAAATATTATATTATAAATTATATAAATTATAGATATAGACATAAATATCATATAAACATTGGGCATATATAAAAATTTAGTGCAATTGTGTATTGTTGCAAAAAAAAATAATAAAAATTCAATAATTTATTTTTAATATAACAAATGTGTGGCTTTTAATATGATTTTTCGGACGCTATATATCTATAAATATATACAGTATATATATAAAGTACACCCAAAAATCCTAATCAACAATATTGTGATACATATACTATAAATATACAGTATATGATAGATAAATATACAGTACAGATACAGATATAGTAATGGTTATATAATAATATGTGATATATATATWKATTTATAAAAATAGTTATAAATTTTGTTTTGTTATATTATAGRTATATATGCTGTGACTGTATATGTATTGTGTGTGCAAATAGTAATTTCCGTAATATATAATATCCATTTGAAAATATAACAATTTGTTTGAATACTATATACATGTATACATACTGTACAATTGAAACAATATTAGCCCAAAAAATAATAATAAAATATTAATAATAAACAAMAAAGTGATGATCAAAAAATAAAATAAAATGATTGTTTCGAGAGATGAGTGGCGAAAAACATCATTTTTATCTCTCTCTCTCTCTCTCTCTCTCTCTCTCTCTCTCTCTCTCTTTCTCTAACTAATCATAAAAAGCTATTCTCCAGTGAATTGTGTGTCGACTTTCATTGTATTATTTTGATCTCAAATTTCATTAAAACAAAAGAGAAAAATCAATTGTCTCTCTCTCTCTCTCTCTCTCTCTCTCTCTCTCTCTCTCTCTATTTCTATCATCTAATCTCTATTACTGACATTATTTTAATAAGTTTGAGGACTAAAAACTAAACTAAAATATATATAAAAAACAAATCTTTTGTTTTTATATTGTAAGCCATCTATTATTATAAATCTCTCTCTCTCTCTCTCTCWCACACWCACTCACTCACTATCTCTATATATCTTTACTTTTATATAAATATATATATAATACCTTATAATAAGTTAAATCTAAACATAYATACTGTATATGTATACTGTAATAATGTATATAATATACAGAATATATCTCATATCATATATAAAGTTAATTCAATATTCATACAAAAATGTTTGATGTCTTCATTGTATTTAGTATTTAATTTTTCATWCTCTCTCTCTCTCTCTCTCTCTCTCTCTMTCTATCTATCTCTCTATCTCTCTCTCTCTCTCTCTCTCTCTCTCTCTCTCTMTSTCTCTCTCTTTTAAATCGCTATTTTGTATTATAATACTGTAATAATAATAATAATAATACATAAAAATATATGTGTGTCTAATAGAAAATTTATGGCTTTAATGACTTTCAATAGAAACTTTAAATTATAATGACTTTAAAATATATACTGGAATTTATTTATTATATACACAATAATACTGTATATATATATAATAATAATAAAGTAGTTTTAAAAGACATAAGATTTTTAAAAACATTATAAACCCTATTATCTAACGCTTCATTTGTTTTATTTAAAAACAATGAATATRTAGTTTATAATATACTGTATATAATATACAATATATATATATATATATATATAACAAACAAAATGTATTACTTGTTTTATTTTTGTAATGATTATTATTATTTTATTATTAATAAGATTCTTATAAATTTAATCTTATTTTTTTCTAATCATAGATTTATTTATTATTCATTATTCAAAAAAAATATAGTTTAGTAACACTACTACTAATAATAATACAATATTAAAAAACAGTATAAAAAATATTTTTGTTATTTAAGAGGAAGAGAGAGAKAGTTTGTATTGAAAATGAATTCATTATTTTTTTCAGTAAAATAATAATAAATCAAAAGAATTTATCACAGAATTTATTGAAGAATTTATTCATTTTTTCATATATTTATATATATTTAGTATATCTTTTTGAAGAGAGAGTCAAATAAAATGGTAAATATGTGAGGAATTTGTGACAAAATTGAATACAAAATGATTTTTTCGTTTCGTATKAAATATATTGTACAATATATGAATAAATATATGAATAAAATATTTTTTCACAGATATTTTCATATATATATATATATAGAGAGAGAGAGAGAGAGAGAGAGAGAGAGAGAGAGAGAGAGAGAGAGAGAGAGAGAGAGAGTGATTGAATAATACATTATTAATACACAAGTAATGGTTATCTGATTTGTATTGTGTGTTATGTTTCACTACTAACTAACTAAACATGAGATTTAAGTGGACTGTAAAAGATAGGGTTAAATATCAAATTGTCTTTAACTATACAATAGTTATACAATTACACAATCATGTTATATGTATGTATGTATGTATGTATGTATGTATGTATGTATGTGTGTGTGTGTGTGTGTGTGTGTGTGTGTGTGTAAACTGCTATATATTTATACAGTTAATACTGGACATTATGCTTAAACAGCAACACAATTGACAACAAATCTAATAATATATAATATAAAAGACATACTAAACAGTATATATAATGTATTGTGTGTTATACACGACAAACATTAACTAATTTGCATTCAAAAAACATATACATATRTATATACTAAACATCAATAGCTAATCAAGTAATTAACACTTTATAGCAAATATATATACTATATATTGTATACAATCTAAACAATTGTTATTTATATTATATAATTTAGTTTATAAATTATTTTCTTGACTATATTTAATGGATATTTGTAGTTAACATTTGTATTATTAGTGATAGAGTAATAGAGATTTTATTTTATTTTTTTTGTTGGCAAATAATCAATTGTTTTAAGTCAAACACACAYAGAATATATATATATTATAAAACCTTTATATACTAAATAAATAAATTATAATAATAGCCTTATTTTATATTGTTTACTAATAACAATAATAATACTAATATGAAACTAATAAATTATTTGCTTAAAATATATATAATTGCTTTACTATACATAGTATGTATTATATACTATATATACGGTATAATATATATATATATATAATATATATATATATATATATATATATATATATATAAATGTATACAGTATCAGTAATGGTCATTATAATTACTAACAAATATATATACTGTACAGTAAAAAAACTAACTTTAATACCCCGGGTATTGGTAATAATAAAATAAAATATGATAGGTCACGGAGCGTACATTTGATGGTCATTTAAAGTGGCCATCAAATGGTACAGTAATAACCAACAAACAAAAAAACTATAAATACAGTACAAGTTTTATAGTATTATTGCTAAACTATTGGACTTAAACGGGTCTCTCGATAGACATGAAAAACATTTAGTCTGTACATCACTTTTACATTAGATTTTGTTTTATCCAACAAAAAAAAATATAACTGTATATACTTTAAACAGTATATATTATATACAATATGTGTTGTCTGTATATATTTTTAAGAGAGAGAGAGAGAGAAAGARAGAGAGAGAGAGAGAGAGAGAGAGAGAGAGAGAGAGAGAGAGAGAGAGAGATCAGAGATATATATATTGTCGAGAGAGAGAAATATAAAGATCCTATATATATATTATGACTAAATGACTATAATATCTTTGAAATATTTATTATATATATATATATATATGTATATATGTATGTATCATATTATGCAACATTATATACACACTCACTATTATTTATGGGGTTTGTTKGGTATCAAATTAAAGCCATCTCTCTCTCTCTCTCTCTCTCTCTCTCTCTCTCTCTCACTCACTCACTCACTCACTCACTCACTCACTCACTCACTCACTCACTATRTAATCCCCAAAAAACGTTTTTCATTTTTAATACCTTTTATTTCACAAAAAAATAACGATCAAAAACATGAAATATTAATAATATAATATATATATATGATATTTATGGAAAATACTGTACAATACTTTTTTAGAGATAATATATAACTTATTTATACACTTATAAGTACTATATATATATAACTACTGTATATTTTTATGTGTGTTTTACTAGTAGTGTTGTAAAACATTATACATTATTATTATTATTACTGTACAAACATTTATAATATCACAAACAAAAAAAAAGCCAACAAAAAAAATTAGATGAAAAATTTACTTAAAAATAAAATCAATTACAGACAGAGATTATTATCCGTTATATTATATATATAAATATAATGGCTATAAAAATAATAAATCTCTCAAAAACTTTTTTCTCATTGATAATAATRATAATAATAACAAAAGCTTTGTTATTAACAGCAAATATATTATATATAACTATAACTACAATATATATATATATATATATACAGTACACACAGTGTGTATACAATTTATCTCAACAACAAAACAAAAAATAAAATAAAAATATTAAGTGAGAAGTGATCACAATATATATAAAACCTCCAAAAGATCTGATGATAGATAGAGATTTGCAGCCAAACTATTATATCTATTAATACATTAGATTTAATACTCTATATATATATAAAATTGCTGTAAAAATAATAATAATAAAGTTTATATAACTTTGTGTGTGTGTGTRTGTTATGCAAGTAAATAATGGGTGCACACAAACAATAGTTTAGTAATAACACACACACACACACACACACAAAAACACATTATTAAACACACACACACACACAGACTACACACACACACACACACACATTTTTGTGCACACACACACACACACACACACACACACAATAAYACACATTACATAACTGTTTGAACACACTATTAATGATAATCAATATATTTCTATATATATATATATATATATATATATATATATAAAAAACACATTTTTTTCACTATCACTATATTTTAATTCATTTATTCATTCATTTATAATATTTTTTTTTTATTGATATGACGGCCAAAAAAATCTCATTACATTAAGTATAGTATAGAATATATGTATATTGTATTAAAAAAAAATAGTGGAAATATTTTTTGTAAAATTAAGAGTTAATCTCTCTCTCTCTCTCTCTCTCTCTCTCTCTCTCTCTCTCTCTCTCTCTCTCTCYYTCTCTTTCATTCAGTCATTCATTCAAATATATGAATAAAAAACTATTAATAAAACAATTTTAACTTTYATATAACAGTATATAGATATTTATGAAAGTAAATGTTAAACTTTATTTTATATAATATATATAATATAATGATAATATATATATATATATATATATATATATATATATATATATATATTAWGTATAGAGAGAAAATTGACTTCACACACAAAAAAAACTAAAATAAAATAAAAGATAATACTTTTGAATTAGACATAAATTGTTGGCTATTATGATAGAGAGAGACTTTGAGAGAGAGAGAGAGAGAGAGAGAGARAGAGAGAGAGAGAGAGAGAGAGAGAGAGAGAGAGAGAGAGAGTTAGGAGGGATTTGATGTAAAAATGAGTGAATAAGCCATAGAAATGAATAGAGAATTATAAAATCAATAGTTTTTTGTTTTGTTATATTTATTATTATTATTATTATTATAACTGTATTATGAATATTATAAGCTTAACTGTTGTTGAATAAAAAAAATAAACTAACGGTACGGTACTATAACTGTACAATAAGTTTATTATATAATAATATTCAATAATAATAATAATAATATAGTAATTTTAATAATGAAAAATAATCTACTAATTTTAATATTTTGAAAAAAAAATATTTTTTTGATAATTTCAATTTTCAAAAGAATTTTGTTAAATTATAATAGAAATTAAATTTTTTATATWTTTTGTTTGAAATTTTTTTTTGTTGGACAACAAAATATAACTTTATAGTTATATAAAAATTATATACAGAATATATAGTAAAATTGATTTATGCTTTTTATATTTATTTTCTAATAGACTTTCCAACAAAAAATATATATATATAAAGAATAGTGTATTAAAAATCGATATATATTTTGTTATATACAATAAAAATACAATATATTCTGTATATACAGTATATATATATATATCTATATATTAAACATTATTGAGTGCATCCCATGAAAACTTTATTACTCTTTATATAAAAATTTATGTCAAATATTGATTGAAAATTACAAAATAAAAACAACACACAATCTCTCTCTCTCTCTCWAACACACACACTATTGCTATAACAATAACAAAACAATATTTGTTTTTGAGATAATAGTTAGCMTTTGGTTTTTTTATAAACAATATATATATACAGTACTACTACAGTAAATAAATCTATATATAGAGTATATCTTTAACTTATTAGGAAATATAATATATATTTTTTAAATATTAGTTTGTTTTGTGTGCTAAARCAAACTCAAAATGCATTTATAATAGAGAGAGAGAGAGAGAGAGAGAGAGAGAGAGAGAGAGAGAGAGAGAGAGAGAGAGAGAGTATAAAAGTTTGAAACCTAAACATACACACAAAATGTTATATAATTTGTAGGAAAAATAWATCTAATACAATGGTTGCACTATTTTTTTTACATTATTATTATAAAACAAGTAAATTGCAAAACAAAACAAAAAAAAAAAAAGATATCACTTGTTGTAGAAAACAACTATACGTTTCGCTACATTACCTTATAGTACAACAAATAGTTATATACACTGTAAGTATACATACATTATATAATATAATACAAACTTATATTCAATACAATCTGTTAAATTCACATTATTATTATAATAATCTATATATSTATATATATTTAGTTTATATACAGTATATATYTATAAACATGTTATTAGCATAAAAAAAATAATATTTCTATCCATCAAACATAAAACATCTCTCAACTAAARTRTGATTAGATTTTTTTATTGTTATTAAAAATTAAACAATTTTTTTAAAATACTAAACAAAATTGTTTGAAAACAAATATAAAAAATTTATACAACATATAGACATTATTTATTAAAAATAATTTTTTTCAATTATAAACTGTTGAAAATATTTATAGTATAATAGAAAAATATTTCAACATTTTTTTATACACTTACATACATATACTAAATRATAACAGWTTAATCCTCGGGTTAAATAAATTTTAATTAAATTTTTTGTTGTGTGTGTGTTTGCATTACAATCCAATGAAATATTATARTATTATTGATATTGATTTTTKTAAGATTTTCAACTAATAATAATAATAATGATAATAATTTTTCCATATGTATTATATRCAGTATTAATCTTTTTTATTTTTATAGACAYAAATGTAATATTACATTACAATGTACTGTATATACCTGTAAATATAATATCACTGCATATATATGATATTAATAGTAATATAATACGGATTAATGAACTCATATATTAATAATTGAATGAATGAATGAATACTAACTGATAATACAGTAATAATAATAATAAATATATACGGAATTTGATATATACTTTATACCRAAAAAAACATATATAGTATTACACACACCGTATATATGCGTGATATTCTGTATATGGATTCTGTATGTATTAGTCCTAACACACACWCACACCTAATATTATATACACTGAAAAAACACGATAGCATTATAATACTGTTATAATAATAATACAATAAAATGTTAATTTAAAAGCTYGACTACTACTACAGTACACTACCTATTAGTGTAYARTAATTTTTTTATSTGTGCACTAATTAGTGATGARCAACATATATATACAATTATCTGTATATATATATATATRCACTATATATATATATAAGTTAGRGTAWAAAAATACCAGTGWATKATATAATAATAAAAAAAATCAATCACATGTTAATAATAGGARGAACTCCTCTCTCTCTCTCTCTCTCTCTCTCTCTCTCTCTCTCTCTCTCTCTCTCTCTTTCTYTCTCTCTYTCTYTCTGATAAACAATGGGAGAATMGGCGAGAATAATGGGTCACTAAAAGTAGGCAAAAAAAAGTTGTCTTCAATTTTTGCGCAAATAAATCACTGCCAATACTACTACTACTACTACTAGTATTACTATTATTATTAATATTATTTGTGTKAACAACTCGTTATATAATTGAAATTTTCTTCGGAAGCAATATATAAATTGGGTTTTCTCTCTCTCTCTCTCTCTCTCTCTCTCTCTCTCTCTCTCTCTCTCTCTCTGACAGTAACAACAACAACATCACTACAATACAGTACAGAGAAAAATATATCAMACAATATATATCAATATATTGTAGGTATACTTATAAATCATATATACAWWYACACACAATGTATAACACATTGCAAACCATACAAACTAACAACAAAACACTGTATATTCACAGAATATTCTTTATGAATGTATACAACAGATAATAACTTATATATAAAATATATTATTTTTTTTAAAAAAAGATAAACAAAACGGTAACACAAATATATATATAAAAAAACTAAATAAAAAAATGTTTTTCATAAAACAAATTTTTTTTATGTGTTTTGTGTTGATCTCAAACACAATATAAAAATTACAAACAAACAGTTATACTGTATATATTAGCAAACATAAGGTTATATAAACAACTAAAAAAACAAAACAAAAAAAACTTACCGATAGTTGATATGATAAGCAAGTAATGTAAATGTTTGACAAACATTTTTTTGGCCAATTATTAAAATTAAAAAAAAAACATTAGTAATAACAACAACAAAAAACTGTAGGCTTTCCTCTTTCTATATGATTTATACACTAAAAACACACGATATGACAGTCGAAAAAAACAACTATTAATTATTTTTTGGTCAATTTGTTAGCCAAAAAAAAGTTGTCGGTGTTGTTGTGATTAAAAAATATATATATAAATAATAGTTGATATCATATCATCAAAATTGTTGGCATAACTTMTAGTGAGTGATGATATGAACTACTAGTTCTCATATTACTAGTCCTACTACTATAAGACATGGCTTAGACATGTATTATATATTATAATATATTATTATATCGTACGGTATGTATGATATCAAATGGTTTTCAGTGAGACAATACAACAACAAAAATAACAGTAAAAACAATGAGAAAACTAATGTCTCGACACTAGTAGTGTAGTAGACATCCGACTATTTGGTCGCACTTTTTATTATAATTATTATTAGGGATGAGCTATAGTTATAAATATAGTTATAAACATCGATCATTGGGTGGCAAAAAAATATGTTTATATTTTATTGCTACAGAATATTCTGTATATTATTATTATATTGTTTTTATTTGTTTAACTTTTTTTTTTAAAAATATTTTCTCATCGATGGCTTAGAATTTCAGTGATGATGTATAACTTAGTCGCTGACTCTCTGAGCTGAAACTACTTGTCCACACCAAACATACACACTCTCTCTCTCTCTGTACATATGTATTCAGACAGTAAGTGTATGACAATCAGTCAATATGGGAATCAGTACCAGACCTGCGCTCACCCAACCATTCCTCATGGGTTAGAGATTTTAAGAGAGAGAGAGAGAGAGACTAACTGCCAGTAACTATAGTAAACACAATATCCCTAACAAAACGATACATACAATACTAGTTGTCGGCGCCGTTGCCTGTGTTKTGTGTGCTTAAAATGCATGTGTGTGTACATAATGTGTGTGTGTGTATGTCATGTGTATTTAGTGTGTGCCTATATATGATTCTCTCTCTCTATCTCTCTCTCTCTCTCTCTCTCTCTCTCTCTCTCTCTCTCTCTCTCTCTCTCTATTTATCAAACTCTCGCCCAATAWATTCTTGTRTRTATTCAATAGTAATAATAATAATAATAGTTTGTCATCATCTAGTTTTGGTGGTACTAACTAACGGTGCGAAACTCATATGCAATTCCCTTCCACTCTGACCCTACTTCCACCCCCGTATGACTACTGTGTGTACCATGTGTGTGTAGCACTGTTATAGCACTGGTATGTTCAAACACCACACACACACACACACACACACACACACACACACACACACACACACACACACACACACACACACACACACACACACACACACACACACACACACACACACACACACACACACACACACACACACACACACACACACACACACACACGTCGCCARTMTTAAAGACTAACGATTGAGAGTCCATCAAATAAATCATTTGTTTTAATTAAAAGCCATTTCTCTCTCTCTCTCTCTCTCTCTCTCWCTCTCTCTCTCTCTCTCTCTCTCTTTATATACACAATAATATATATATATTTCTCACAATCTATTGCCTCTCAAATATTATATATATATATATATAATRTTATCATTAAATAGTGTTATAAATTATTTTTCTCAGAGAATGCACACAGATTTCTTTGACTACTTATATTTGCTAACAATTTATTATTATTATTATTATTATATAAATGTTTTTCACTAAATTTATTATTAGTAGTATTTTTGGTGATAATTAACTAACTTCTAGTATGAAATGAGAAATTCATAAAATAAATAAATAGGACTAGTATTGCCAGTAATGCATACATTATTATTATTATTATAGAGATACCTGATATATAAATTATATAACACTTTTAGCTACTGTTCTCTCTCTCTCTCTCTCTCTCTCTCTCTCTCTCTTAAGCTGTCAAAAGTAGTTTAGMCTAATGTCACCGAAAAAAAATCTGTAAATAACTTTATATATGTATATTAATGAATAACTGTTTTTTTTGTTGGTTGTATTTACTGTAATATAACTTYATATATATATGTATATATTAATATATTTAGTTAATATCAAAACGATTTATGAATATTTGATTTGTCACTAATTTTTTTTATATTACATTTAATATGTGTTTTTCTACTCTAAATATAAGTACTATTAAGTTATATATATATATATATATATTATATAATCTACACATTTATACTTGAATTTATTATATTGAATAACACATACAGTAAAGGGCTTAATATGTTAAGTATATGGGGTTTTCATCTGTAACTTACTTTTAATACACAAACACACATCACTTCCTATTAAATGTATTTAATATACAGTATATTAGCCCCAAACACATACACACWCACATAATAAATAAGATAAATGCAAATTAATATATGTATTAATATTAAATATTATTAATAATTTATTTTTTCTATAATATACTGTATATAAACAGTATATGCGATGAAAAAAAAATATTATCTTTAATTTCAATTTGACTAAAAAAAATAATAATAACAATAAATGTTTGACATATAACAGACATATATATATATATATATATTTATCTTATACAGTATATAACAAACACGAAAATATTGTTATATAAGATATATATATAAATCAATTTTTTTATTATTATATTTTGTTTTTTTCTAATATAATAACTGATCCAACAATACTTCAATCAAACGTCTAAATATCCAAAAAACATTTCTTGTTGTTTGTCGTCAACAATAATAATATCTTTTTGTAATCGCATATCAAACGGAAGTATTGTTTTTGTCGATTCAATCAATTTCGATATCAATGTTACCATCAATTGTGTATCAATTAATATCAATTGGACATCAAATGCAAATCGATAACTATGTAGTAGGGGTTCAACAACACTAACAACACTAACATCACTAACAATAGTATTATTATTACAATGATTTTTACAGTTTGTATCAACTGTTTTATGTCGAAATAGTTTATATAAAACACTTGTTTTATTTGAATAATTAACACATTGTTCAACATTACTACTACTACTACTATCATCTAAATTGATATTCAAATTATTTGATGACAAAATAAATTCATAGTTAACTAAATTCATGGCCAGACTATAGTTTTTATCTATTGATTCAAATAGATATTTTTGAGAAATTTTTTCCCTTAATATTACAATTATTTGATCAAATAATGTCAGACAAGTAGGTGACGGTAGTAGTTGTTGTTGTAATAGGCTATCAGTTTCTTCAATAAGCTTCTCCTCATTAGTAGTAGTAGTAGTAGTTGTTGTTGTTGTCGACACTACTTCATCGTTAGTATTCAATGAATGGATTCGTTGACAAACATCATAGTCGTCAACAACAACAGTGGGGACAGTCGTCTCCTGACAGTTAGGTTTGTGTTTATGGTTGTGACAGAAAATCCAATCATTCATTAGTTCCTTATCAATGGGAAGGGGTGTCATAAGTGGTCTATTGATTGGCAATTTCATGGGTATAATACCTAAACACAAAAAATAGTAATAATAATAATAATAATAATAAATATCTATAGAATATTCCTGTTATAAGTTATAAATGATTTATTTCTATAATTAGTTTTTTTTTAATATTTACTATAAATATAATTAAAAGTAAAAATATATTATTTATATTAACAACAACAAAAATATGTTCAATGTCAATTTCATTTTTTTAAATAATAAAATAATGCTTAAACATAATAATAATTTTTAAAAAATTATTAAAAGCATTTTAATTATTTAAACTATTTTTTTATAAGCATTAATTAAACAGTTTTATAAATGTATGATAAAATATTCATATAATTAGTCTAAAAATAACTTTTTTTTTAAAATAATTATTAAATAATAAATAATTATTATATCATATATAATAAAAACTTTTTAAATTTAATATAATTTTTTTCCCCATTCAATAAACACTTAAATAAATTGAAAATATAATATAACTTAATATTAATAATAATTGTCTATAAAATTTATAACACATTTATAAAATATATATCATATATGATATGATAAAAACTTTTTGTTTTTTTAGTTAAATACTTATAATTAAATAAAAAATAAATTTTATATATTTTTAAAAATAAATTTTAGAAAAAATCGGTACAAATAACTGACCCATTTTGGCGTCGACTGTCATATAGATGTGCCGACAATAGCGGGGGGTTCGGTGGTCACCACTACCGCCGCCGCCGCCGACTGTCTGGCCGTCAAAAGCCTGCAATTGTTTCAGACATGACGTGACGGCCAACGATTGACGCGTCCAATCAAAGCGCACGTGTTTTCTGTCGGCGGCGGCGGTGATGTTGTTGTTGGCCATCAATGTTATGACCAGACAATTGCCGGTAATTTCCAAACTGCAGACATCGGGCGGACAGCCGTCGTTGCCGTCGACATCACTGTTAGTTACCGATAGTCTGATTGATAATTGATTTAAATGTCGGGAATATGTGGTAAACAGCGAGACATTCATTATATATATAATATAATTAACTATTGATTTGTTTGACAATTAATTAATTAAAAATTATATAATCATACTATCACTGCATGTTATAACAGTTAAAACACATGTATTATTATTATTATTACATAATATGTATGTGACATGTGTTTTACACAAACAGTAAACAGTAATATATTTATAAACTATATATACATTAGAGGTCGCAATCGTAGTGTCTATTAAATAGCATTTAGTTTTAATTTTTTTAGTGTGTATTATAGGGACTGAACCGACATCTATAGTATAGTGTAATCTATTTTTGTTTGAGTGAGTGAGTGAGTGAGTGAGTGAGTGAGTGAGTGAGTGAGTGAGTGAGAGAGAGAGAGAGAGAGAGAGAGAGAGAGAGAGAGAGAGAGAGAGAGAGAGAGAGAGAGAGAGAGAGAGAGAGAGAGAGAGAGAGAGAGAGAGAGAGAGAGAGAGAAAGAGAGATGAGAGTTAAAACTAAACCTATTCTATTGAATAGTTTATAATTAATTTTATTTTTATTTTTTATTAAAAACCAAACCGTTAACCAAATAATAAACCAAACTTAATAAATAACTATTATTATTGTGTGTATGTATGTATGTATGTGTATGTATGTATGTGTGTGTATGTATGTGTGTGTATGTATGTATGTATGTGTGTGTATGTATGTGTGTGTATGTATGTATGTGTGTGTATGTATGTATGTGTATGTATGTATGTGTGTGTATGTATGTGTGTGTATGTATGTATGTATGTGTGTGTATGTATGTGTGTGTGTGTGTGTGTGTGTGTGTGTGTGTGTGTGTGTGTGTGTGTGTGTGTGTGTGTGTGTGTTAAGGGGTTGGGAGGTGGGAGAGGGGGTTATGTACTCGAAAAATATATATAAATATACTGTATATTACAGTATGTATTAATACAATCTGTAATAATAATAAATATTGAATTGTTTTTTCCAATAAATTCAATCATATTTTTTTGCATTTCAATAAGTTTTTTATAAATTATTATATTTTTTAAAAATATCAATAAAATAATAATAAAATATATTTAATATTATATATTTTCTTACCCAATCTAGAGTATTATTATTATTATTATTACCAAGTACAACTAATTAGTTGAATTATTTAAAGTTTACAGTTTCTAAACAAACATATTTAGTAAAAAATATAAAAATTATTTTAGTTAAAAACAAAATATTATACAGTTTTTTTTAACTTTAATCCTAAACAGTGTTTAATATAGTTATAAATAAATAATAATATTAATAGTATTTTAATATTAACTTTTCATTATTAAGTATCTAATTATTTTTGAGTAGCAGATTATTATTAGCCTAGTACATTTATCTATTAATTAAAAATTTACAGTTTGCACATATTTTAGACTATACTGTACTACAGTATATGCTTAAATAATAATAATAATAATAGTTATTACAGTATTATTATTATAATCAATATTATTATATTTATAATTTTTTTTAACGATAGTTATAATAGATATTGAAAAAAATCTCTATAAATATTGCATTTTTTTTACAATATAGTTGATTTATATTTTGCATTAAAATTATGTTTATATTTATATTTATATTTTTGAAAAATAAATAATATCTGTAATAATAATAAATTGGCCCTCTATAAACTATTAAAATTATTATTATCAAGTACAATTAATTAATTATGTTATTTATAGTTTACAGTTTGTATAAACATGTTTAATTTAGTTACAAAAATTATTTATAAGTGAAAACTATTTTTTTTTTTAAATTTCTACTATAATCCTCATTAATGCTTAAATAATTATTTATAACTTATTGTTATCAATATTATAGATACTTATGAAAACTATATATATATATATATATATATATATATATATATATATATATTTCAAACAATTAATTTAATATCAATAATATATATATATATAATATTCTTAGAATTAATATTCAATAATATAATCGATTTAATACAACTGATAATAACACTTATAATATTAATAAATTCAATTTCAGTAAAAAAAATTTAATAATTTTGGTTCAATCATATCAATTGATAAAAACTAATCTCTAAATTAATTTAACAAAAAAAATCAAACAATTAAAACAAACAAACAAAAAAAGATAATAAATTGGTATATATTGTACTGTATATCAAACAAACAAAACAACAAAATAAAAAAAAAATAAATCGATTTTTTTTAAAATAATTTTATTTATTTATTATTATTTTTTTTGACTAACAATTATGAAAATATTTTTGTCAATTGTTTTATTATTAATTTCATGTATTAGCCATCAATTGGCTGACACAACACAAACAACTACACCATTAAATAAACCAATAGTTGTCTGTTATTGGGCCAGTTGGCGGCTCAGTTGGCTTAAACCGGAATCAATCGACCCGACCCTATGCACGCACCTGCATCACGCCTTTCACGTACTGGACGTCCAAAATAATGTTGTACGCGACTCAACGGGTAGTCCCCAACCGGATATCTATAGGCGATTGAATCAATTAAAACTAATGAATCCCGATTTAAAACTAATTGTATCGCTGGGCGGCGCCGGACAACCAGATCGGGATTATTCGGAACTAATCAGTGATAAGGAAAGGCGTTTGAAATTTATTAATAATACTATTGATTATTTAAATAAATATCAATTTGATGGTCTGGATATTGATTGGGAATATCCAGTTTGTTGGTCATATGATTGTAGTAAAGGTCCCGAATCGGATAGACCTAATTTCGGTATATTTTTAAAGGTTAGTCCCAGGTCATATAAAATATTACACACATACACATACACATACACATACACATACACATACACATACACATACACATACACATACACATACACATACACATACACATACACATACACATACACATACACATACACATACACATACACATACACATACACATACACATACACATACACATACACATACACATACACATACACATACACATACACATACACATACACATACACATACACATACACATACACATACACATACACATACACATACACATACACATACACATACACATACACATACACATACACATACACATACACATACACATACACATACACATACACAYACACAYACACATACACACACATACACACACATACACACACATACACACACATACACACACATACACACACAAAGCAATAATATAAATTTCCATAAATTATTATTTATTATTTAATTAATTGCCAGGAATTGAGATCAGCTTTTGACAAACAGTCTCCCCGACCACTATCCCTATCAGCTGCAGTAATAGCTGGTCTACCGGGTGGTCCAGCTGATCATGCTTATGATTTTCCATCAATGGCCAGGTAGGTAGATAGGTAGGTGCTCAACTGTATAACTTACCCTCTAATTATTGCTTATCTAACTTATCTAAAAACAGTGCATTAGACTATGTAAGCGTTATGACCTATGCCGGTGCTGGTGAATGGGATCATAAGACTGGACATCATTCAAAGTTTACGTTTTGTTTGTCAGGGACCCAATACTATGTCGATAAGGGTATACCCAAACATAAGTTGCTAATGGGTGTACCCATTTCGGGTACAACATTCAAGTTGGCCGATAAAACTAAACACGGTATTGGAGCACCCATTCAGGGTATGGGTCATACGCCCCATGGACTGGGCGATTGTTCAATGTATAGCGAAATGTGTGAACTGGTCAAACAGGCTAACTGGACTAAGGAGACTAGCGCTCAGGGAGGTCACGATCCGATTGCTTATAAGGACTTGATATGGGTTGGCTATGATGATCCATACGCTGCCTACGAGTATATATATATATATGATATATTTATATACAATATATAAATCAATATTTTTTTTTTAAATTAATTGTTTGGTTTTGTGTAATACTATTGTGATAGCAAAAGTAAATGGGTTAAAGATAATGGTTTCGGTGGTATTATTGTTTGGGAGATAACTATGGATGACTTCAAGCCTAGTTGTTGCTCAGTTAGGTATCCAATGTTACGGGCAATCAATTATGGTTTATATGGTAGTAAAGGACTGGGAGGGGGAGGAGGAGGACCTGAAACCTATGGATGCGAACATAAATGAATTATTTAATTATTTTTATATTTATTATATTATTACTGAATAAATGCAAATTTATAATTAAATTTATTTATAGATTATTATTATTATTTTGATGAATCTTATAATTATTAATTTTTTTAAAATAAAATTATAGATAACAAAACTACTATATATTTAAATATAAAAATACTATTTATTAGTTAATTTAATTTTTTTAATTAAAAAAATAATTAATTGCTTGTTTTTTTATTTTTAAAAAATTATTGTATAAATTGAATTAATAAAAAAAATATTTTCATATTATTTATAAAAATAAAACTTACAATTAATTTTTGCTGACATAATTGAATCAATCATTGATATTAATTGTCAATTATAATAAAATAATAATATTAAACATATTTTCATAGTTTATTAATGAAAAACATAAATTAATTATAAAAAAAATTACAATACATTTTAATATAGTTTTTAAAAAAATTTAATAAACGCTAATAAATAATTAAATACTTTTATATTAGAAAGTTATAAATTCATAAATATATATATATTTATATATAAATAATTAAATTTTTTATATATCACAGTATTTCTATCAACAAATTAACTATTTTTTCTAACAAAAAATAAATTTTGAAATATTTTTAATACATGTAATGGTTATTATTATTATTAATTTGATTAAAAAATTATTACTAACAATATAAATAAAATCAAATAATAAATTATAGATAAATACAATGTTTGTTTGTTTTTATTTTTATTTTTTGAAAACATAATTTATAATAAACGAAAATTTCTAACAAATAGTTTGATAAATAGTTTTTTAATAAAATAAAAATAATAATATAATCTAACAAAAGCAAATTTTTATTAAACAATTTTAATTATAGATTTTAAGATAAAATAAATAAAAGTTAGAAAATAATAAATAACTAATTTATTTTAAAAAATATAATTTTCTGTAAACTATATCAAAATAAAAATTACTTTAAATTACTTATTATATGCCATAACACGTAAAATATGAGAATTTTTACGCAATTCACTGATAGTATTGTCGGCCAAAAACTGTTTCCACGAGCCGTTAGGTTTGGCCGACACCGACACCGCCGACGCCGGAGGAATCGCTTCCGATGGACTAAAATGTGTATCAAAAACAATGTCCCAAAAGTTATCCTTATTTATCATCAGTTGGTCATCAAATTGGTGTCCATCCGGATAATTGTATCGATAATTGTTAACCAGTACTGGCATAAAATCTTTTTCAAAAAAATAATATCAATAATAATAATAATTTTTAATTAATAAAGTATTTAAATTAAAATCAATTTTGATTTATTTTTATATTTGTTTGTTTGTTAAAAACTAACCGATAATCTGTTTGCGATTTATAACAATACTGTGAGACAATAGTTCAAAGTTTTTAATTTGAAATCCATTGTCGACTAAACACTGTTTCCAGACATTCATCTGTTGGTCAATTGATGGACACAACAGTTGTTGTTGTTGTTGTTGTTGTTCATCAACCATACTGTTCATCAGTTTTTCATTTATATCTTCTTTGATAATAATATTTGCATAAAACAGACCACCGCTGGTCAACAACCGTCCAATTATGGCCATCACTTGACTCTTATCTGTGATATAGTGTAGCATAAAGTTACTGAACAGTAGATCTACTTTGGACTCCAGTTGTCTGATCCGTGGACTCAACTCTAGCCACGAAACTGTCATGTCTTGCAGGACATACTCAATGGTCGGATCGTCCGTATTGTTAGCCACAGCGTGTGCCAGCATTTCGGGTACGACATCGATGGCCACCAGTTGTTTGTGCGGAACATTTTGGGACAATAGTCGGGTAACATTACCGTCACCGAAGCCCAGATCGACAATCAGATCGTATGAACTGAAAATTAACAAAAAAAAACACAATAATTTAGATTTTGTTTTTTTTTCAAACAAACAAACATAAACTAAAATATATATATATTTTTAAATACCTTTTTTCATTAGTAATCAATTGAAATGACTCTAAATTTATTTCATCAAATTTATTGCATACTGTATTATAATCTTCGGGTTTTATTTTATACATATTTAAAAAAAAATATTTGTAAAACTTACTAATAATAGATATATATATATATGAAATGTTTTATTTTTTTCTTAATATAATTATTTATTTATTTTTTGTAAAAAATTATTAAATATTATTAGCAAATTTTTTAAGTAATTTTTTTTTAAACTATTAAATGATTTTACAAAAATAATTAATAATTAATAATTAATATTACAATAGTGTGTCAATGACACCGCATTAAATGAGATATATAACAATTTTTTTTTTATAAATAAGTTTTTTAATATTTAATTAGAAAGTTATTATTTAATTGAAAATTAAATCTGCTTATGTGAAATATCATACAAAAGTAATAAAAAAAAAATTTAATTAATATTTCAACAATAATACTAACTGGACTAAAGGAGACTAGCGCTCAGGGAGGTCACGATCCCATTGCTTATAAGGACTATATATATATATATATATATATGGGTTGGCTATATATATATATATGATTGTTGTTATGTTACGGAAATTTTTGTATCGGAAGTGCCTATTCATTGTTGGCACCGTTTTTCCCAATTGAGGTAAACTATTAAATAAATAAATAAAAAATATTAGATTTTTTTATGTATATATTTATTTTAATTTAATTAGATTTTATTTTTTTTAAAAAATTATTTGCATAAGTTTTACAGTTAAACTTTATAGTTTATTAATATTAAAAAAAAATAACTTTCATCAATTTTTTAATAAATTATAATAAATAATAAATTTTTTTAAATACCTTTTTTCATTATTAATCAATTGAAATGACTCTAAATTAATATATAATAAATGTATAATGAATTTCTCTTAAAATAATAATTTTTTTTAGTAAATATTATTAGCAAAAATTATAATTTTTAACTCATAAATGATTTTGATAAAAATAATTATAATTAATATAGAAAATATATAAACTTACTGAATCATTTAGCTAGTTTATTTAGCAATTAAAATTTATTATTATAAATGCAAAACTAAAAATATTTTTAATATAAATTTATTAATTATGACGATAAAAAAATCAATTTAGATGTATAATAAAAATTTTATATTAGACGTTTTTTAATGTTTTTTTTATAAATTATCTATAACTAATATTTTATTTGAAAAAATGTATATAAAAATCTAAAACTGCCAATTTAATAATTTTATTATCATAAGACAATTTAAAAAATATATATATATTATTAATTTATATATCTTTTTATAATATATATAATAATAATCATAATAATTTATTTAATTAATGTAAACCTAAAATTATAATTTATTTGATAATTGATATTGTTAGTTAAATCAAATTTATAATATTATTATTTTTTAATTTTTTAGATATTATTTTTTTTGTTATTAGGTATAAATAAGATTTAAGCACTAATATTTTTATTATAATTATTATTATTATTATTATTATTATTATTATTATTATTATTAGTAGTAGTAGTAGTAGTAGTAGTAGTAGTAGTAGTAGTAGTAGTAGTAGTAGTAGTAGTAGTAGTAGTAGTAGTAATAGTAATTTTAGTTACTAAATGCTTATTACAATTTAATTATTTTTAAATAATATTTAATTTTATTGTACATGTATATTTTTAGGTGTATTTATTGCAATGTACTATTTAACTGTATAATATTAAACTTTTTTCATATAAATAATTTTTAATATTATTATAATGTACTGCAAGTCATAATGATAATATTGAATTATTTTTACTTATTATAAATGTTTAACAATAATTTTATTGTTTGTTTAATAATTAACTAATAGTTTATCTAATAATTTATTTTAATGTTAATTCACTTATTATTATATTAAAATTTACTATTATTATTATTATTGTTGTTGTTGTTATATAAATAATTTATATAATTCAAGTTAATTTTAATAATCAATATATAATATATCTGTTATAGTTATGGATCTAATAAATAAAATTAGCAAATCAAATGTCTATATTGTTAATAATAATAATTTAACAGATAATGATAATAAATGTTCAAATAAAAAATGTTTTAATTTTTTCTATATATTTAATTTAAAAGATTTATTACTAATATTGTTGTTATGTTTCGGAAATTTTTGTATCGGAAGTGCCTATACATTGTTGGCACCGTTTTTCCCAATTGAAGTAAACTATTAAATAATTTTTTTGAAAAAAATTATTAGATTTTTTATATGTATTTATTTATTTTAATTTAATTAGATTTTATAATTTAAAAAAAAATATTTGGATAAGTTTTACAGTTAAACTTTATAGTTTATTAAAAAATAAATAAATAATTTTTACCAATTATAATATTATTATCATATTATTATATAGTAATATATTGCCTAATATTGTACTGTATTTTTTAATTGTATTGTAATCTTAATCATATATATATATATATATATATTGTTTTTAATTAATTGTTAATATTAGGCCAAACTAAAGGGTGTAAATGAGACATGGATTGGCATAATAATAGCCGAGTATTTAATTGCCTTATTTTTTGGTGCAACAATTTTTGGCAAATTTGTATATAAAACATAATCAAATTATTATAATATATAAATATAACTATATATATATATATATATATTTTATTATATTATTTAATTATTTAAATAAATTAATAATAAACTTAACTATAATTAATTGATATTATTATTATTATTATTATCTGATTAAATAATAGATACCACCGCTGAAACTAAAGTTTATGATAACTATCGGCCTATTGATGGCCGGCATTTGTAGCACAATATTCGGGTTTGTATTTAAACAAAACAAAAAATAATATAATTATAACTATTAAATGTGTATTAAATATTATTATTATTATTATTAACTTATTATACAATACATTAAACATTTAGTGCACTCCAATGGATACCATCGGGAACACCATTCATAGCCATAGCAATGGCCAGTCGTACTATTGAAGGGTTAGGTTCGGCCGCTTTTTTTGTCAGCTGTTGGACAACTATTTGTATAAAATTTCCTAAAAATATATCAAAATTATTTGTATGTAGTTTTTATTTGTTTGTTTGTCAATTATTTTTTGTTTTTAATAATAATAATTTATTAATACTATTACTATTACTATTAAAGGCCACAACAGAGATGTGTTACGGTGTGGGTATGATATTTGGTCCGGCAATCGGTGGTCTACTTAATCAAGTAATTAAAAAAAATAAAAATTAAAAATCAGTTTAAAAATTATTTATTTATAAGTTTATAATAACTAATTTGATTGAATAGTTGGGTGCAAACATTGGTATAGCATTTTGTTTGCCATTTTTCGTTATGGGATTACTTTTACTAATGGGTGGACTATTGATGATAATATTATATCCAAACACAAGTAATTATTTACACAATTTATTAACATTAACCGTATTATTATTATTATTATTTAAAAAACAGATAACAAATCATCACTAGAGAGGACCAGTGTTTTCAATGTTTTAAGCAATTTTAATATAACACTAAATGTCTTAATTAGTGTCAACTGTTGGCTATTGATTGGTTTCAATGAGGCAACACTTAAACTACATTTGGAAACTGTATTTAAACGAAATTTTGAATAAATTTTTTTTATATTATATAACCAGATATAATATAACCATTTATATACCTAACATAATAAACAGATACAGAAGCTATCATCGGTAACAACTGGCGGCATATTTGTCATATCGGGTGCATTGTATGCACTGTTCAATCAAGTTTGGGCTTATTTTGCCGATAAAATGTCAAACTGTCACCCGTTATGCCTAATAGGCTGTACCTCATCGTTGATAGCCTTCCTAATTGTCGGTCCGATGCCTTTCTTTCCCATTGAATCGTAAGTTATCCGTCAAAAAATATTTATGTATTTTTTAAAAACTATTATTACATAACTAATAAATTATAAAAATAAAATGATTATAAAATAATTTTATTACACATTTACTTATTGATATATATAAATGTGATATATGATACATATTATATAATGAATTTGTAGTTTATAGTAGTTTATGGTTTAAATATATATATATATATATATATTGATTAAATTAATTTTATGTTTATCCTTATATATAGACAACTGTGGCTTACAATACTCGCACAGGTATTCATAGGCCTGGGAATGGGCGGTCAGTTTGTCGGCAGTTTTATACAGGGATTACGTGAAACATTGTAAGAAAACATATACTATTTTGTTTGTAATTTACTGTTTGTTAGTATTATTACATATTATTATCAAATATTTGTTTGTTTGTTGATATCGTTTTTTATTAGTAAATCTGGTTTTCCCGATAATGTTTCCACATTTGCAGTGGTTTCCGGTATATTTTCATCAGCACTGGCAATGGGGTATTGTTTATATATATATATATATATTAACTAGCTAATTTATTATTTTCTAAATAACAATTTATTTATAATTTAAATATAAATATCTGTATATACTGTAACTAAAATATATAATTAATAGATCGGCAATCGGTTCGGGAGTTGGCGGTTATCTGTTGGGACAAATGGGCTATCGATGGGCAACCGTACCCATAGTTGGCCTACAATTGTTTATGGTATTTAAATAACAAACAATTTGATAAAAAAAAATTTTTTTATAAATTATAATTATTATATTTTTGAATTTATTTTTCATGTTATTTTGTAGATTATATTAATTATTTCATACAATCTGTGGTCAAAATATATGAAAAAATAATTATATATATTATATATATATATATATATATTGTCTTTATATGTTTTTGAATTATAATATCTATATTTATATAAACAAATTTTATTTTTAAATTTAATTAATAATGTAACCACGAGATGGCCACCTTTGACAGCACAAGCAAACACTATCTCTCATTCACTCTCTCATTGGCTGACCCTTCATGTCATCCACTATTTAAGTGGAGGTCAGCCATGCTTTCGCTCTCTTCCACATCGCTCTTGCATTCGGTCTCTGGACTTGACTTCTCTTCAATCACTTCCCTTCCTTTCAATCACTTGAATCAATCTTTTGTTTGATGTCTGCCATCAAATCAACACAAAAACGACAATCAATTTTAATCATTTAATCAATTATTTTATTTTTTTTATTTTTTAAACAATAAATTGTTTTTATCCGATCAATTGGTTGTGTCCACTCATTCATCACCTCATCCACGGTCACAACTTGGCGCAGTCTTCAAGAATCGAACCAAATCACGACTGAAAACAGACATCAATCAACTCAAAAAAACATTTCAAAAACAATGGCCAACAAGAAAGGAGGAAGAAAAGGTCGCAAAAATGGTGGAAACACAACACCAAATCAACTGAATGATACACTTGTCACCAACAATGCAGACATGACGTCACCAACGACTTCCGCTTCCGGTGCACATGGACTACAAACACAAAGGCTCCAAACACGTGCCCAACAGAGGAATGCCAGCGCTAACACCATGCAACGCATTGTTTTTGACAAGAGTGACGATGAAGAGGACAATCAACCAAATCAAAACAGATTCAAAAGCACAGGTAAACTCTGTGACACATTTTCTGGCAACGATTCAGAAAACAAAGCCGACGACTGGGTGTCGTTATTCACGCTCCTCACCTGTGACTACTCAGACAAGGAGCGAATCATGGCGCTCGGCCGTCATGTGACTGGGGAAGCATTGAGATTCCTCGTCCGCGAAATCGCACCACAAGTTCAAACAATCACTTGGGATCAGGCAAAAGAAAAGCTGCTCAATCGTTTCGCTCGAACCACTCAACACCCGATGGCCGAAGCATCACAACAAGAGATGAAACCGAACGAAACTTTCGAGACATACTTCAATGAAAAGAGAAGACTCATGGATTTGGCCAACCTATCGGATTCAAATCAGGTTGCGCTACTCACAGTGGGAATCTCCAACACTGACTCGAACACAAATCTCAGCTCAAGATCCACAAACTCCTGAAACATGGCTAAGGATAGCAACGGCTATCGAAGCTAGTCTGAAGGTGGGAAAGGATCGCTCAAACAAATCCAAACAACCTATCGCATCGGTTAGTCATCTGGACATCGACACAGACAAAGGAAACAAAGAATTTCCAAAAAACGATCCCAAAAAGTTTGACAACAAACAACCACCGGGCCCATGCCCTGTATGCAAACTGTTCGGCAAGAAAGAGATGCACTGGAAATCCGTGTGTCCTAAATGGGCCGAAATCTCAGGCACCGGTGGTACACCAAAATCTTCAACAACTGATGCTCCGCCGACAGCAGGCATCCATTGCCTTCAACCAATTGAAAATGTTGATGCGCCGAAACCTCACACAAGAGATGTCATGTCTACGGCAGGCATCCATTGCCTTCAACCAATTGTAAAGGTTGATGCGCCGAAACATTCAACAAGTGATGCTCTGCTTCCGGCAGGTATCCATTGCCTTCAACCGATTGAAAAGGTTGATGAGCCGATCGATTCACCCGTGAATTCAAACATTCAATCAACAGAAAAACCAAAAACAGTTGGCCTTCATCACATCAGTCATGAAGAGGATCCGCTGGATTTCATTTGGTTCACAACTCGTGTCAATGACAAACAAGTGCAAGCTTTCCTTGACTCTGGATCAACAATCAGCGCTATCTCAAGATCAGCCGCTGAAAGAATGAGACTGCAGTGGGACAGCAAGCGCTCAATTGCCATCAGACATGTTAACGGCATCGGCCGAACACTTGGACTCATTGAAACAATCATTGAGATTCAAAACAAAACATTTCATTTCGGTATTCAAGTGTTGGAACACCTGGAGCATGACATGCTCATTGCAGCCATGACTTGGCCAAAGCAGCTGCCCTGGAGATCAACTTTGAATCAATGGTCAAACACAAAACTTTTGCTCTTCAAAAACTGCCAACACCAGCACCGAGGACATCATTCAAGAAAGTGATCAACACAATCGCCGTTCTCTCTGTTGAAACAGATGTTGGAAATGTCAAAGAGTTTCAAGAGATTCAAAACAACAACTCAATCAAAGACAGAACTGGACTTCAACCGAAATTCTTGAACTTCGGGTTTTCGACGGAATTTCCGGCCGACGACACACTCGATGAAACCAGAAGAAAGGCCACTGAAGGATCCAGAAATCTGCAAAACAAAAATCATGAGAAAAACAAATCAACAGACGTTAAACAAACCTTTCAAATTGGCGATCAAATTGTCAATCAATTGCATAGCACTCATCCCGAAAAGGATGCCAAACTTTCACAACAATTTTGGGATCCATGTTTGGTCAGAGAGAAGCTCGGAGATGAAAGTCTTAGATTGGATCACATCGACATCAATACTGGTGTTGTTGTGAACACATTCACTGCACATTCATCAAGAGTTTCACCAATTATGGCCCGCGACACTCAAAACAACAATCATCTGACTGTCTCATCCGACATCAACATTGACAACACAGCCACCACAACATTGACAACACATTCAATCTCATCAAAAATCAATGCAACACAAGATGTGAAAAGTCATCGCTTGCATTCATTTCACTGTCTGAATATTCATTCAAATCAAAGATCACTTCATCAAAAAAGGACATTCAATCAGATTTTGAATCAAAACAAAAACAAACCATTCATTTGAAAATTTTGCGTTCAACCAAAACAATTGGCGGAAAATTCAAACATCTCTGGAATCAAGAAGACGCTGAAGGCTAATCGGCGGCGGATGTAACCACGAGATGGCCACCTTTGACAGCACAAGCAAACACTATCTCTCATTCACTCTCTCATTGGCTGACCCTTCATGTCATCCACTATTTAAGTGGAGGTCAGCCATGCTTTGGCTCTCTTCCACATCGCTCTTGCATTCGGTCTCTGGACTTGACTTCTCTTCAATCACTTCCCTTCCTTTCAATCACTTGAATCAATCTTTTGTTTGATGTCTGCCATCAAATCAACACAAAAACGACAATCAATTTTAATCATTTAATCAATTATTTTATTTTTTTTATTTTTTAAACAATAAATTGTTTTTATCCGATCAATTGGTTGTGTCCACTCATTCATCACCTCATCCACGGTCACAATAATATTATTAATTAAATACAATTTCTTTATTTTTTTGTTATATATTTTTATTTTTTAAATACAAAATAACTTCTATACTATACTAGTCCTACAAAATAACTTATAATAGTAACTAATAACTACTAGTAATTTAATTTTTAAAGTTTAAAATTTTAGTTATAAAAAAACTTATTGTTTATTATAAGCCATAACTTGTAAACTATGATAACTGAAACTCAATTCACTGACAGTATTGTCGGCTAAAAATTGTTTCCACGCGTTAGGGTTGGCCACTGATTCATCAGTCGCTGCCGTCGCCGACGACTCCGAGTCCAGTGGACTAAAATGGTTGTCAAATACAATGTTCCACAACAAGTGGTGGTCACTACTGGCCATCAAACCGCCGCCGCCGCCGCTGTCGTGTAAATAGTCTTCAACTACTATTGGCATAAAGTCTAAAACAATTTAATTAAAATTAATCAAAAAATAAATAAATAATATAAAATTATATTTAAATTATAATTATTTTATATAAAATATTATATAATAGTAATAATAATAATAATTATTATTATTTTAAAAACTACAACAACACTAACCGATAATCTCTTTACGATTCATAACTATATTATCGGTAATTAATTTAAATTCTTTAATTTGAAATCCATTGTCGACTAAACATTGTTTCCAAACAGTCATCTGTTTATCAATTGATGGACACAACAGTTGTTGTTGTTGTTCATCAACCGTACTGTTCATCAGTTTTTTATTATTTAAATCTTTAGTAATAACAGTATTTGCATAAAACAGTCCACCGCTGGTCAACAACCGTCCAATTATAGCCATTAGTCGATACTTATCTCTGATATAGTGTAACATAAAACTAGTGAACAGTAGATCTACTTTGGACTCCAATTGTCTGATCCGTGGACTCAACTCAAGCCACGAGACTGTCATATCTTGTAAGACATATTCAATGGTCGGGTCATCCGTATTGTTAGCCAAAGCGTATGTCAGCATTTCGGGTACGACATCGATGGCCACCAGTTGTTTGTGCGGAACATTTTGGGACAATAGTCGGGTAACTCTTCCGTCACCGAAACCCAGATCAACAATCAGATCGTATGAACTGAAAACAAAAAAAAATTAATTTAGATTTTTTTAAACAACTAAAAAACTAAATAAAAATAATATATTTTTTAAATACCTTTTTTCATTAGTAATCAATTTTAATGACTCTAAAATAAATTTATCCCTTTTATTGCTAACTGTATTATAATCTTCGGGTTTTATTTTATACATAATTTTTGTGTTTTTTTAAAATATATATAAACCTTATTAATAATAATTGTTTACTAACTAAATAATAATATAATTTAATTGATTCAAATTATTATTATTATTATTATTGAATACTAATTGTATTTTTTAGTTTGTTTGTAATTAGTAGTGGTACGCTAGAACCAGCAGCGTCCAATCATATGCGAAGTTTACGTAGCCAGCGTATTTGCAAATATATAGAGTTCAAGGTCAAGTCTCTGTATATAGACAAATATGACTTTGTCATTGGCTACGTAATCTTGGCATATGATTGGTCTATGCTAGTTCTAGCGTACAATTTTAAATTTAATGAAGCGGTGAAGTTAGACAATGAGAAAAGTTTAACAAAATCGCAAATAACACAATGTGTTAATTACTTAAGTTGCTAAACAAAACCCATCCCCTAACTGAAATTTAGTTTTTAAAAATATTTTATTAATTAAAATAAAAAATTATTACATATCAAAAATAAAAAGTAAAAATAAAAAATTATAAAATAAAAAATTAAAAATAAGTAAATAAAAAATGATTAAATATATTTAAAAAAAATCAATTATCCTTTGTTTGCAAAACTTCAAAAGGTGCACAATGTAAATACTTCTCTTCGTTTTCGCAAGTATGTAAGCCATCATTGTTATTTTCCATCCTATCAATGAGATCAAAAAAAGATCCATACTTTTCGAGTAGTTTTGATATTTCGTTTTTGTGTAAAGTAATATGTCTTCCTTGATCGTTTACATTCTGTATAACTTCAAAGTCTTTGTTTGATCCGGTTTGTTTTATAATTAATTCACGAGCAGATTTTTTACTTTTTAAAATACGATTATCGCCATCATTAATTTGTCCTGAATAAGTCAAAGATCTAGCAAGCCAATCAAACTCAAAAGCTGTTAGACAAATACCTTGTCTAGCAGGCAAATTTTTATAAGTTCCTCTAATATCAACCAAAAGAAATTCAGGATCACTTATTTTTCTTTTTAAACAATACTTTTTTTGCATATTTGTCAGATTCTGACAAATTTGCTGAAAAAATTGCCTCAAAAATTTGTTTATCCATTGCAAATAATGTTTGTGTGTTAGTATATTTGGCCCAAACTAAAATAATATCTACTTATTAGAAGTCTTTAGTATTTATAAGAAGGTAGGAGCAGTCGCAAACGTAACTTTTTTTGTTGATTTGTAATCGCCATCTAGTAAAGTCGTATTCAATAGATCTTCAGATAAAATTTTTTGTTGTATATAATCCCAAATAAAACAACTTTTTCTTAATGCACATCTCATCAATTTTGAAGTTTTATTTTTATTTTTGTTTATAAATCCATGTAAATAACAATATTGATTTGATGTTATTAATTTGTCAAATAAATGTAACGGTGGACAAATTTCTTGAGATAAGTTTTCAGGGGATAAGTCAATACAAGGAATCTCTAAATTGTCCAAAATGTATAAAAGTTGAGGATTTTTAACACCAATATAACATTTGTCATCAGTTTTGAAATAAAGCCATACAGACTTTAAAAATGTTTCCAAATTTTTATGTTTTATTGTACGACCATAAGAAAACGGCAAACAGTTTTTAATAGTAATACCATGAATAGATTTTGATTGAAAGAGTAAGGATTTCCATGACTTATTTTTCTCAATTTTTTCTATACTACATTCAATCTCGTAACTTGTTCTTATTTTATTGTTTACAATAGCAAGTTCTCTCGGATAAAAATTACTTCTAATCATAAAACCCTGCATATCAATAATTGCACAAATTTTTCTTAATTTATTTGAATCCATTTTTTATTTAGTCTTGCTTAGCCAAAGAAAAGTTGTTGAATATTTCTCTCATAAGTTTATCGTTTGCTAAAGTGTTTCTGCTAAATTTTGATATGTATGCGCGAGTCGATAAATTTTGACACCGAAAAATAATATACAAAACACAATAATGTCCACAAGTGGTAGATTTAATATTTTGTAGAGTAACTTTATTATAAGTCCAACCAAGTCTGCATTGAGTTTCTAAATAGTTAAATATCTCATCTTTTAGTGGAGGTAATCCAAATGAGTCAAAATATTCTCCATAACCATCTTTGGTTATTGAAATTGCTACCCAATGCTCTCCTGGTTTATAAGACGGGTCAGTGTTAACGATAATGTTTATAGGAAATTTGTCAAAATTGGTATATTGTCTGAACTATAAACTCCTTTAAAACAGCTAAATGATTTTAATAGTTTGTTTATTGTTACGGTATCCATTAATTGAAAGTATAAATAGGGTTTCTATCGTAATCGATTTCAAGTAATGCGTCATAATCCAAATAAACTAAAACAGTAATAGCGTTGGCTAAAGGTTCTTTAAATCTAAGCTGTAATCGAAGATTACCGTGTTTAATTGGATTTACATAACCTGTTGCACAGCAACCTGATGACAAATCTGGGTTAAAATTAACCGCGAATATATTGTTTCCTTTTGGAAAGTCCTGTCTTTTTAAGGTTATACAACTGTCAACATTGTCCTGATTGGTTGCTTCAAATAAACTTATATATTCCCGTACATAAAGATTTTTGTCGAAATCTGGAGTAAAAGCTTTTTCAGGGTATTGTATACCGTTTAAATAAAAAGCCAGATAGTTTAGATTGTAGTTTTTATAATTGTAAGGATTTTTTATTTCTGAGCCATTAAATGCACTATGATCAACCATTGTTACAAATGCTCTTCTAGGTAATTGTCCGTTGTGAACATTATCGATGATTGTATCCATAGTTCCTTTATTTATTGTAATTGGTACAACAAAACTTTCTCTAATTGGATATCTTACATTTGCTGGTTTCAATAATGCCATCTTATGACCTTCGACAACGGCAGGGTTGATTTTTGAACGATGAATGTATAAAGAAGCATCTTTAAATTCAACACTAGATATCCTAATACTGCTGTCACACATCATGTAAAATGAGGGCGAATTTGGTATTAATTTTAATGATATATTACACCCTCCTAGTAAAGCTTTACTTTGTTCAAACATGGGGATATGTAATTTACCGATTAAGTCTAATTCTCGTCCTTTTGATAAATCAGTATCACCTACTAGTGGTTTAATGTAATTAGTTCTGTTCAAGTTAATGCCTTCTAAATCATTTAAATTATCTTCTATCCATAAAATTGATGATAAATATGAATCTTTTGCTTCTTTATTTTTTCCTAATTTAATTTCTAAATCGGATTTATAAGGATATGTTTGATGAGATAATGTTACAATTCTATCCCCTATCATCAAATTTACTTGCTTAAATAAAGAATTAAATAAATTGTTAACAGGTGAAACTTTTTCCCAATCGGCAGCAACAACAGTAGCTTTTAAAACTTTTTCAATATTAATTTGTAATTTTATATATAAATACGTTTTATCAAGTCTAAGATATTCGTCAATTCCGGTCGATAAATTAAATTCTATATAGGCTTTAGAATCTATTGCTGATGCTGGTCTATGTTCTGTCAAAATATCTTTTTCTATTGTATTTTGAGTTGGTGGAACTCCAAAAATATCAAATTCGCTCAATGCTGTAACACTTGATAATTGCTCAGCAACATTGAGTTCACTGTTGAGTGATGAGATGTTTGTCGAATTCATAATGAAAAACTTTTAAAACTTTGTGTCGTAGACGTGAACACTTTGAATAATGAAAAAGAACTGGTGACGATCAAATCCTGTCAATTCAATATATATGTCTTGAAATGGGTGTTAACATGCGCAAAAACTCTTGATTTACATTGGTTTAACTGATCGACCAATCATGTTATATTTACACCTACTCAGCTTTCTGTGTACTAAATGTTTAAGTTCAAAGTTTTATTACTTTTTTCCAAGTATTGGATTTTAGTTCTATTACTATAATGACTATTTTATTATAAGCAGATGTGCACTTAGTTTTAATGGCTTTTTACTTTTAATTTTATGATTTAAATAACTTTTAAGTTAATGTGTTTTATTAACAATGGAATGTTATTTTCCATTGAATTAAACCTTGAGCCCTGCTAGAGCTAGTGGCCTTCAACAGCAAAGTTTACATGGTCAGGTCAAGGACTAGCCTCCATACGTAGGCATACACGTCTTTATCATTGGCTACGTAAACTTCGCATATGATTGGACGCTTCTGGTTCTAGCGTACCACTACTGTAATTTACTGTTTATTAGTATTATTACATATAAATTATCAAATATTTGTTTGTTTGTTGATATCATTTTTGTTTTATTAGTAAATCTGGTTTTTCCGATAATGTTTCCACATATTCAGTAGTTTCCGGTATATTTTCATCAGCAATGGCAATGGGGTATTGTTTAAATAATATTAACTAGCTAATTTATTATTATTTAAATTATTTATTTTTTTAACAAATATATATATATATATATATAATTAATAGATCGGCAATCGGTCCGGGAATTGGCGGTTATATGTTGGGACAAATGGGCTATCGATGGGCAACCGTACCCATAGTTGGCCTACAATTGTTTGTGGTATTTAAATAGAAAACAATTTGATAACAATTTTTTTATAGATTTTAATTATCATATTTTGAATTTTATTTCTAGATTTTATTAATTATTTCATACAATCTGTGGTCAAAATATATGAAAAAATAACTATATATATATATATATATATTTATATGTTTATATAATCATAAATGTTAAAATATTTATATAAACAAAACTAATTATATTTATTGAATTAAATTATTTATTTGTTATCTATTTTTATTTTTTACTATACTATTTATCTATACTAGTCCTACAAAATAACTAATAATAGTAACTAATAACTACTAGTAATTTAATTTTTAAAGTTTAAAATTTTAGTTATAAAAAAACTTATTGTTTATTATAAGCCATAACTTGTAAACTATGATAACTGAAACTCAATTCACTGACAGTATTGTCGGCTAAAAATTGTTTCCACGCGTTAGGGTTGGCCACTGACTCATCAGCCGCTGCCGTCGCCGCCGACTCCGAGTCCAGTGGACTAAAATGGTTGTCAAATACAATGTTCCACAACAAGTGGTGGTCACTACTGGCCATCAAACCGCCGCCGCCGCCGCCGCTGTTGTGTAAATAGTCTTCAACTACTATTGGCATAAAGTCTAAAACAATTTAATTAAAATTAATCAAAAAATAAATAAATAATATAAAATTATATTTAAATTATAATTATTTTATATAAAATATTATATAATAGTAATAATAATAATAATTATTATTATTTTAAAAACTACAACAACACTAACCGATAATCTCTTTACGATTCATAACTATATTATCGGTAATTAATTTAAATTCTTTAATTTGAAATCCATTGTCGACTAAACATTGTTTCCAAACAGTCATCTGTTTATCAATTGATGGACACAACAGTTGTTGTTGTTGTTCATCAACCGTACTGTTCATCAGTTTTTTATTATTTAAATCTTTAGTAATAACAGTATTTGCATAAAACAGTCCACCGCTGGTCAACAACCGTCCAATTATAGCCATTAGTCGATACTTATCTCTGATATAGTGTAACATAAAACTAGTGAACAGTAGATCTACTTTGGACTCCAATTGTCTGATCCGTGGACTCAACTCAAGCCACGAGACTGTCATATCTTGTAAGACATATTCAATGGTCGGGTCATCCGTATTGTTAGCCAAAGCGTATGTCAGCATTTCGGGTACGACATCGATGGCCACCAGTTGTTTGTGCGGAACATTTTGGGACAATAGTCGGGTAACTCTTCCGTCACCGAAACCCAGATCAACAATCAGATCGTATGAACTGAAAACAAAAAAAAATTAATTTAGATTTTTTTAAACAACTAAAAAACTAAATAAAAATAATATATTTTTTAAATACCTTTTTTCATTAGTAATCAATTTTAATGACTCTAAAATAAATTTATCCCTTTTATTGCTAACTGTATTATAATCTTCGGGTTTTATTTTATACATAATTTTTGTGTTTTTTTAAAATATATATAAACCTTATTAATAATAATTGTTTACTAACTAAATAATAATATAATTTAATTGATTCAAATTATTATTATTATTATTGAATACTAATTGTAACTTTAAATAAAATATTCAATTAACTAACATCAATGAAGAGTGACTTTGAATTAATAATTGATTTTTTTTAAGTAAAATTATTAAATACTTTTATAAAAATGATATTTCTTTAACTGTTCAAATGATTTTACAAAAATATTATTTTTTTCTAAGAATAATATTTGTTATATTATTTTTTTTTGATTTAGCTTGATCATTTAAACAATTAAAGTTTTTATATTATTAGTTAATTTTCAAAACAAATTATAAAATAAGTTAAATGTTTTTAAAAAAATTATTAATTAAGTTATTAATACAAATATATATATATAATAAAATTAACAGAAACCGTACCCATAGTTGACCCACAATTGTTTAATAGTATTTAAATAGCAAACAATTTGATACCATTTTTTATATAAATTATAATTATAGTAAATTTTTGAAATTATTTTTCATTTTATTATTTTTAGATTTTATTCATTTATATCATAAAATCTGTGGTCAAAATATATGAAAAAATAGTTATATATATATATATAATGTTTTGAATTATAATATCAATATTTATATAAATATTTTTTTAATATAATAAATAATATTATTAATTAAATCTTTCAAATTATAAAAATATTTTATATATATTATTAATAATTATAGATTAAAAATTCAGGTTTTATTTTATCCATAATTTATTGTTTTTGAAAATATTTGTAAATCTTATTAATAATAATTGTTAATAATAACTAAATATTAATAATAAGTTTTTAAAATAAATAAAAGTTTTATTAGTTAAATTAATTTTTTATTAAAAAATCTAAATTGAACTTTAAATAAAATTATCAATGACTTTAAATCAATTGAATTGATTTTTTTAGTAAAATTATTAAAAACAATTTTTTAAACTGTTAATATTAATAATTGTTTATTAACTAAATAATAATATCATTTAATAGATTAAAATTATTTTTTTTTTGAAAACTAATTGTAACTTTAAATAAAATTTTTAAATTAACTAAACATCAATGAGGAATGACTTTAACTTAATAATTGATTTTTTTAAGTAAAATTATTAATTAAATACTTTTAGCAAATTATATTTCTATAATATAACTGTTCAATTATTTTACAAAAATAATATTTGTATATATATATGACTCTAAATTAAATTCATCCAATTTATTGAATATTGTATTATAATCGTCGGGTTTTATTTTATACATAATTTTGTTTTTTGATAATATTTGTAAAACTTATTAATAATAATTGTTTACTAACTAAATATTTATAATATTTAAGACTTAAATTATTTTTTATATATATATTTATATAACTTTAAATAAAATTTTCAATTAACTAACTTCAATGATTTTAACTCAATAAATGATTTTTAAGTAAAATTATTAATTAAATACTTTTAGCAAATTATATTTTTTAACTGTTCAATGATTTTACAAAAATAATATATTTTTCTAAAATAATATTTGTTATATTAATTTTTTTATTTAGCTAGATCATCTAAACAATTAAGATTTTTATATTATTAGTTAATTTTCAAAACAAATTATAAAATAATAAGTTAAATGAGCTAAAAAATTTTTTTAATTAAGTTAATTAATTATTTGTTGTTTATAAAATATTTATTAAAAAAACTTATTAATAGATAATAACTGTTTATAGATTTACATTATAGACTTTAATTGAATAAATGTTTTGATTTTTTAATATACTGTAATAATTTTTTTAGTAAAAATTATTTTAATACTCTTAGAAAATTATAACTGTTTAATAAAAAAATTTTAAGTAAAATTATTAAATACTATATTTATTTAACTGTTCAAATGATTTTACAAAAATATTATTATTTTTTCTATAATAATATTTGTTATATTATTATTTTGATTTAGTGATTTTATTTTATTTTATGATTTTAGATATCAGTAACTTTGAAACAATAAATGATTTTTTTTGTAAAATTTTTTTAGCTACTTTTAGCAAATTATATTTTTTTTAGATGTTCAATGATTTTACAAAAATAATAATATTATTTGTTATATTATTATTATTTTGATTTAGCTAGATCATTTAAACAATTTTATATTTTATATTTTTTTTGGTAATTTTCAAAACAAATTATAAATAATTTTATTATAAAATTTATATATTTATATATTTGCATTAATAACTTAATTACAGTAATAATTTTTTAACTCATTTAACTTATTATTTATAATTTGTTTTGAAAATTAACTAAAAAATATAAAATATAAAATTGTTTAAATGATCTAGCTAAATCAAAATAATAATATAACAAATAATATTATTATTTTTGTAAAATCATTGAACATCTAAAAAATATAATTTGCTAAAAGTAGATAAAAAAAATTTACAATTTTTTTATAAATATTTTTTAGTTAATTTTCAGAACAAATTATAAATAATAAGTTAAATGAGTTAAAAAAAATTATTGCTGTAATTAAGTTATTAATGCAAATATATAAATATATAAATTTTATAATAAAATTAACAAAAACCGTACCCATAGCTGGCCTACAATTGTTTAATAGTATTTAAATAGCAAACAATTTGATTAGTAATTTCAATTAATTTTCCTTTTTTTAATTAGTAATCAATTGAAATGACTGTGAATTAAATTCATCCGTTTTATTGCTAACTGTATTATAATTTTCGGGTTTTATTTTATACATAATTTTTTTTTTGTTGAAACTATTATTAATATATATATATATATTAATATTAATAATAAGTTTTTAAATACTGTATGAGTAAATAAATAAATAAAAGTTTTTAAGACTTAAATTAATATTTTATTTTTAAATTCTAATCTAAACTTTAAATAAAATTTTCAATTAACTAAACATCAATGAGGAGTGACTTTAAATTAATAATTGATTTTTTTTAGTAAAATTATTCAATATTTTTCGCAAATTATATTTCTTTAACTTTTAAAATGATTTTACAAAAATATTTATTTTTTCTAAAATTATTTTTGTTATATTAATTTTTATTTAGCTAGATGAAATGTTTTTTTTATTTTTGAAAACTGTTTGTAACTTTAAATAAAATTTTCAATTAACTAAAGTCAATAATGAGCGACTTTAACTTTATAATTAATTATTTTTAGTAAAATTATTAAATATTATTAATTTTACTAAAAATAATTATAATTCTGTTTAAATGATTTTAGAATAATTTTTACTTATTATCAAATATGTGCATGTTGAATTTGTTAATTATTATATTATAGTTTAAATTATAAAATACATAATTAATAAAACCTAATCTATTTAATAAATATTTTATAAATAATCATTTTTTTCTCAATTTAAATATTATTATATTAATTTTTTTAAAAAAAAATTTATTTGTGAATATGGATCTAATAAATAAAATTAACAAATCAAATGTCTATATTGTTAATAATAATAATAATAATGAAAATCTTCAAGATTTAACAGATAATGATAATAATAGTTCAAATAAAAAATGTTTTAGTTTTTTCTATATATTTAATTTAAAAGATTTATTACTAATATTGTTGTTATGTTTCGGTAATTTTTGTGTCGGAAGTGCCTTTACATTGTTGGCACCGTTTTTCCCAATTGAAGTAAACTATTAAATAATTTTTAGTTTTAAATTATTAGATTTTTAATGTATTTATTTATTTTAATTTAATTCGATTTTTTAAAAAAAAAATATATTTTTATAAGTTATACAGTTGAACTTTATAGTTTTTTTTAAAAAAGAAAATAAATAATTTTCACCAATTATAATATTATTATCATATTATACTAATATTGTATTGTATAGTAATCTTAATTATATTTATATATTGTTTTTAATTAATTTAATTTAATATTAGGCAAAACAAAAGGGTGCAAATGAGACATGGATTGGCATAATTATAGCCGAGTATCAAATTGCAGTATTTTTTGGTTCAGCAATTTTTGGCAAATTTGTATGTAAAACATAATCATATTATTATAATATTAATTAATTAATTAAATTAAATTAATAATAAACTTAAATATAATTAATTGATATTATATATAATAACATAATCATATTATTATAATATATAAATATAACTAAATATATATTTTTTTAATTAAAAAAATTTTATATATAAAAAAATATAATTAATTGAAATTATTATAATTATTATTATTATTATCTGATTAAATAATAGATACCTCCGCTGACACTAAAGTTTATGATAACTACCGGCCTATTGATGGCCGGCATTTGTAGCGCTATATTCGGGTTTTATATTTAATATAATTTATAAATTAAAAACTATTAACTGTTATGTATTAGTGTATTAAATAACATTATTTTTGATATTATTATTATTATTACAATTAACTTATTATTCAATACATTAAACATTTAGTGCACTCCAATGGATACCATCGGGAACCACATTCATAGCCATAGCAATGGCCAGTCGTACTATTGAAGGGTTAGGTGCGGCCGCTTATTCTGTCAGCTGTTGGACAACTGTTTGTACAAAATTTCCTAAACATATATCAAAATTATTTGTATGTATTAATAGTTTTTTTGTCAATTAATTTTGTTTTTAATAATAATAATTTATTAATACTATTACTATTTAAAGGCCACAATAGAGATGTGTTACGGTGTGGGTATGATATTTGGTCCGGCAATCGGTGGTCTACTTAATCAAGTAATTAAAATAATTATTTATTTATATATAATATAATTATTAATTTGATTGAATAGTTGGGTGCAAACATTGGTATAGCATTTTGTTTGCCATTTTTCGTTATGGGATTACTTCTACTAATCGGTGGACTATTGATGATAATATTATATCCAAACACAAGTAATTAATTATATAATTTAATATTTTTATTTTAATTATCTGTATTTATTAACATCATAATATTTTGATTTACTTTATTATTACTTTAAAACTATTATATTTTTATTTAAAAAAACAGATAACAATTCATCACTAGAGAGGACCAGTGTTTTCAATGTTTTAAGCAATTTTAATATAACACTAAATGTATTAATTACTGTCAACTGTTTTATACTAATTGGTTTCAATGAGGCAACACTTAAACTACATTTGGAAACGGTATTTAAAAATTGTTTTAATTTATAACTATTGATATATCCATTGATAATAAACAGATACAGAAGCTATCATCGGTAACAACTGGCGGCATATTTGTCATATCGGGTGCATTGTATGCACTGTTCAATCAAGTTTGGGCTTATTTTGCCGATAAAATGCCGACAAACTGTCATCCGTTATGCCTAATAGGCTGTACCTCATCGTTGATAGCCTTCCTAATTGTTGGTCCGATGCCTTTCTTTCCCATTGAATCGTAAGCTATCCGTCAAAAAATATTTATAAATTTTTTAAAACTATTATTACATAACTAATAAATAAGAAAAATAAAATGCTTATACAATAATTTTATTACACATTTACTTATTTATATATATATATATATATATATATATATATATATATATAGACAACTATGGCTAACAATACTCGCACAGGTATTCCTAGGCCTGGGAATAGGCGCTCAGTTTGTCGGCAGTTTTATACAGGGATTACGGGAAACAATGTATGATATATACTGTATATATGTATATATATATATTGATATTATTTTTTAGTTTGTTTGTAATTTACTGTTTATTAGTATTATTACATATAAATTATCAAATATTTGTTTGTTTGTTGATATCATTTTTGTTTTATTAGTAAATCTGGTTTTCCCGATAATGTTTCCACATATTCAGTAGTTTCCGGTATATTTTCATCAGCAATGGCAATGGGGTATTGTTTAAATAATATTAACTAGCTAATTTATTATTGTTTATATTATTTTTTTAACAAATATATATAATTAATAGATCGGCAATCGGTCCGGGAATTGGCGGTTATATGTTGGGACAAATGGGCTATCGATGGGCAACTGTACCCATAGTTGGCCTACAATTGTTTGTGGTATTTAAATAGAAAACAATTTGATAACAATTTTTTTATAGATTTTTAATTATCATATTTTTAAATTTATTTTGAATTTTATTTCTAGATTTTATTAATAATTTCGTACAATCTATGGTCAAAATATATGAAAAAATAATTATATATATATATTTATATGTTTATATAGTCGTAAATGTTAAAATATTTATATAAACAATACTAATTATATTTATTAAATAATATTATTTATTTGTTATCTATTTTTAATAAAATCAAATCTAAACTAGTCTAATAAATAACTTTATTAATTTAATTTAAAAAAAAGTTTAGTTATAATAACTCGTTATTATGTATATGTATATGTAGTTTATTGTTTAATTTAAATCAGTTTAACTAAATAATAATATCATTTAATAGATAAAAATTATTATTTTTGAAAACTAATTGTAACTTTTCAATTAACTAACATCAATGAGTAGTGAGTTTAACTTAATAATTAATTTTTTTTTAGTAAAATTATTAAATACTTTTAGCAAATTATATTTCTTTAACTTTTAAAATGATTTTACAAAAAAAAATTTTTTTCTAAAAGTATATTTGTTATATTAATTTTTATTTAATCAAATGTTTTTTTTTGAAAACTATTATATTTGTAACTTTTAATAGAATTTTCAATTAATTAACGTCAATGATAAGTGAATTTAACTTAATAATTTTTAATTAAATATTATTAATTTTACTAAAAAATAATTATAATTTTTTAACTGTACAAATGATTTTAGAAAAATTTCATATATTATCAAATATGTGCATGTTGATTTTGTTAATTAACTAATAGATTAATTAATTATTTTCATTTAAATGACTACTATATAAAACTCATTAATTATTATATTATAGTTTATATTATAAAATACATATTTAATAAATATTTTATAAATAAATTATTTTTTTCTCAATTTAAATATTATTATCTTAATTTAAAAAATTTTTTTATGTGTGAATATGGATCTAATAAATAAAATTAACAAATCAAATGTCTATATTGTTAATAATAATAATAATAATAATAATAATAATACTGAAAATCTTCAAAATTTAACAGATAATGATAATAAATGTTCAAATAAAAAATGTTTTAGTTTTTTCTATATATTTAATTTAAAAGATTTATTACTAATATTGTTGTTATGTTACGGAAATTTTTGTATCGGAAGTGCCTATACATTGTTGGTACCATTTTTCCCAATTGTGGTAAACTATTAAATAAATTTTTTGTTTAAATTATTAGATTTTTTTATGTATTTATTTATTTAATTTAATTTTTTTAAAATTTATTTGTATAAGTTTTACAGTTACAGTTTTCACCAATTATAATATTATTATCATATTATACTAATATTGTATTGTATTTTGAATTGTATTGTAATCTTATTTATATTTATATATTGTTTTTAATTAATTTAATTTAATATTAGGCCAAACAAAAGGGTGCAAATGAGACATGGATTGGCATAATAATAGCCGAGTATCAAATTGCCTTATTTTTTGGTTCAGCAATTTTTGGCAAATTTGTATGTAAAACATAATCAAATTATTATAATATATAAATATAACTAAATATATATATTTTTTAAAAATAAACTTTCAATTTTTATATACAAAAAATATATAATTAATTGATATTATTATTATTATCTGATTAAATAATAGATACCTCCGCTGACACTAAAGTTTATGATAACTACCGCCCTATTAATAGCCGGCATTTGTAGCGCTATATTTGGGTTTGTATTTAATATAATTTATAAATATATAACTATTGACTGATATTATTATTATTATTAACTTATTATATAATACATAAAAACATAGTGCACTCCAATGGATACCATCGGGAACACCATTCATAGCCATAGCAATGGCCAGTCGTACTATTGAAGGGTTAGGTTCGGCCGCTTTTTTTGTCAGCTGTTGGACAACTATTTGTATAAAATTTCCTAAACATATATCAAAATTATTTGTATGTAGTTTTGTTTGTTTTTAATAATAATAATTTATTAATACTATTACTATTAAAGGCCACAACAGAAATGTGTTACAGTGTGGGTATGATATTTGGTCCGGCAATCGGTGGTCTACTTAATCAAGTAATTAAAATAATTATTTATTTATATATATATTATAATAATTAATTGGATATCAAGTAATTAAATAAATTATATTTAAATTTAATTTATATATATATATATATTATAATTATATAATTGGATTGAATAGTTGGGTGCAAACAGTGGTATAGCATTTTGTTTGCCATTTTTCGTTATGGGATTACTTCTACTAATGGGTGGACTATTGATGATAATATTATATCCAAACACAAGTAATTAATTATATAATTTAATATTTTAATTTTATTATATGATTAATATCATAGTATTTTGATTTACCCTTACTTTAATATTAATATTATTACTATAAAACTATTATATTTTTATTTTTTTAAAAAACAGATTACAATTCATCACTAGAGATACCAGTGTTTTCAATGTTTTAAGCAATTTTAATATAACACTAAATGTTTTAATTACTGTCAACTGTTTTATACTAATTGGTTTCAATGAGGCAACACTTAAACTACATTTGGAAACGGTATTTAAAAATTGTTTTAATTTATAATAATTTCTATAACCATTGATATATTCAACAATTAATACAACAGATACAGAAGCTATCATCGGTAACTACTGGCGGTATATTTGTCATATCGGGTGCATTGTGTGCACTGTTCAATCAGATTTGGGCTTATTTTGCCGATAAAATGCCGACAAACTGTCACCCGTTATGCCTAATAGGCTTAACCTCATCGTTGATAGCCTTCCTAATTGTCGGTCCGATGCCTTTCTTTCCCATTGAATCATAAGTTATCTGTTATTTTAAAACTATTATTATAAATAATAAATTAGAAAAATAAAATAATTATACAATAATTTTATTACACATTTTTCTATTGATATATATATATATATATATATATATATAGACAACTGTGGCTTACAATACTCGGACAGGTATTCCTAGGCCTGGGAATGGGCGGTCAATTTGTCGGAAGTTTTATACAGGGATTACGAGAAACATTGTAAGATATATATACTATATATATATATTGAAATTATTTTTTTAGTTTGTTTGTAATTTACAGTTTATTATTATTAATACATATAATTATCAAATATTTGTTTGTTTGTTGATATGATTTTTTTTATTAGTAAATCTGGTTTTCCCGATAATGTTTCCACATATTCAGTAGTTTCCGGTATATTTTCATCAGCAACTGCAATGGGGTATTGTTTATATATATTAACTAGCTAATTTATTATTTTCTAAATAACAATTTATTTATAATTTAAAAATAAATATCTGTATATACTGTAACAAAAATATATAATTAATAGATCGGCAATCGGTCCGGGAATTGGCGGTTATATGTTGGGACAAATGGGCTATCGATGGGCAACCGTACCCATAGTTGGCCTACAATTGTTTATGGTATTTAAAATAGCAAACAATTTGATAACAATATAGATTAATATAAATTATAATTAGTAGTAAATTTTTGAAATTATTTTTCATTTTATTATTTCTAGATTTTATTAATTATTTTATACGATCTGTGGTCAAAATATATGAAAAAATAATTATATATATATTTACTGTATATGTTTATAACCAATGTTTATAATCATAAATGTTAAAATATTTATATAAATAAAACTAATTATATTTATTAAATTAAATTTTTTATTTGTTATCTATTTTCAATAAAATCATATCAAAACTAGTCTAGTAAATATTCACATAAATAGTAACATTTATAGATTATTTATTAAATAAAATATAATTATTGTTTTTTAAAAAATACAGTATTGTTATTAAATAATATACTTTTATAATATATAATTTTTTAAAAAACTAAAAACAAAAAATATAGATATATCAAAGTTATTATACTATATATATATATATATATATAACATAAAACACTATAACTAACCGATAATCTCTTTACGATTCATATCAATACTTTCGGCTAATAGTCTAAACTTTTTAATATGAAATCCATTGTCGATTAAACTCTGTTTCCAAACGTTTATCTGTTTGTCAATCGATGGATACAACAGTTGTTGTTGTTTCTCAACCCTACTATTATTATTAATTAATAGTTTTTCATTTAAATTTTCATTAATCATAATATTTGCATAAAACAGTCCACCGCTGGTCAACAACCGTCCAATTATGGCCATCACTTGACACTTATCTGTGATATAGTGTAACATAAAGTTACTGAACAGTAGATCCACTTTGGACTCCAATTGTCTGATCCGTGGATTCAACTCAAGCCACGAGACAGTCATATCTTGTAAGACATATTCAATGGTCAGGTCGTCCGTATTGTTAGCCACAGCGTATGTCAGCATTTCATTTATGTCAGCACAAACAATTGGTGGCCATCGATGTCGTACCCGAAATGCTGACACACGCTGTGGCCAACAATAGAGGCGACTCTAACATTGAGTATGTCTTACAAGATATGACTGTTTCGTGGCTTGAGTTGAATCCACGGATCAGACAATTGGAGTCAAAGTGGATCTACTGTTCAGTAACTTTATGCTACACTATATCACAGATACAGATAAGTGTCAAGTGATGGCCATAATTGGACGGTTGTTGACCAGCGGTGGACTGTTTTATGCAAATATTATGATTAATGAAAATTTAAATGAAAAACTATTAATTAATAATAATAGTAGGGTTGAGAAACAACAACAACTGTTGTATCAATCGATTAACAAACAGATAAAAGTTTTTGGAAACAGAGTTTAGTCGACAATGTGTTTCATATTAAAAAGTTTAGACTATTAGCCGATAGTAGAGATATGAATCGTAAAGAGATTATCGGTTAGTTATAGTGTTTTATGTTATATATATATATTTATGTATATATAGTATAATAACTTTGATATATCTATATTTTTGTTTTTAGTTTTTTTAAAAAAAAAATAAATGTTTAATTTAATTTTGTTTAGACTTTATTGCCAGTAGTGGTGGATGACTATCGATACAATAGTACCGATCGGCGCCAGTTGTTTGATGACCAGACAACTGATGACCATTTCTGGGACATTGTATTTGACACACATTTTAGTCCACTAGACAAGGAGTGGTCGGCGTCGGTGTCGGTGTCCAACCCTAACGTGTGGAAACAATTTTTGGCCGACAATACTATCCGTGAATTGCGTTATAATTATCACATTTTACAAGTGATAGCATATAATAATAATAATAATAACAAACAATAAGTTATTAATTTAATAACAATTTATTTTTAAGTTAAATTACTATTAGTTTAGTTAAATACTATATTATAAAAGTATATTATTTAATAACAATACTGTATTTTTTAAAAACAATAATTATATTTTATTTACTACTGGTAAATAATCTATAAATGTGTTTATTTTTTTAAAATGTTTTAATGTTAAATATACATATACATATACATATACATATACATATACATATACATATACATATACATATACATATACATATACATATACATATACATATACATATACATATACATATACATATACATATACATATACATATACATATACATATACATATACATATACATATACATATACATATACATATACATATACATATACATATACATATACATATACATATACATATACATATACATATACATATACATATACATATACATATACATATACATATACATATACATATACATATACATATACATATACATATACATATACATATACATATACATATACATATACATATACATATACATATACATATACATATACATATACATATACATATACATATACATATACATATACATATACATATACATATACATATACATATACATATACATATACATATACATATACATATACATATACATATACATATACATATACATATACATATACATATACATATACATATACATATACATATACATATACATATACATATACATATACATATACATATACATATACATATACATATACATATACATATACATATACATATACATATACATATACATTAGTTTTGTTTATATAAATATTTTAACATTTATTACTATATAAACATATAAATATAGATATAATTATTTTTTCATATATTTTGACCACAGATTGTACGAAATAATTAATAAAATCTAGAAATAAAATTCAAAATAAATTTTAAAATATGATAATTAAAATCTATAAAAAAAATTGTTATCAAAGTGTTTGCTATTAAATACCACAAACAATTGTAGGCCAACTATGGGTACGGTTGCCCATCGATAGCCCATTTTTCCCAACATATAACCGCCAATTCCCGGACCGATTGCCGATCTATTAATTATATATATATATTTGTTAAAAAAAATAAATAATTTAAACAATAATAAATTAGCTAGTTAATATTATTTAAATAATACCCCATTGCCAGTGCTGATGAAAATAAACCGGAAACTACTGAATATGTGGAAACATTATCGGGAAAACCAGATTTACTAATAAAACAAAAAATGATATCAATAAACAAACAAATATTTGATAATTTATATGTAATAATACTAATAAACTGTAAATTACAAACAAACTAAAAAAATAATTACAATACATATATATAAATCATACATTGTTTCCCGTAATCCCTGTATAAAACTGCCGACAAACTGACCGCCCATTCCCAGGCCTATGAATACCTGTGCGAGTATTGTAAGCCACAGTTGTCTATATATATATATATATATATATATATATATTTATATATATATATAATATATATATATATATATATATTTATATATATATATAATATATATATATATATATATATTATATATATATATAATATATATATATATATATATAACAATAAGTAAATGTGTAATAAAATTATTTTATTTTTCTAATTTATTAGTTATAAATAAATATTTTTTTTTGACGGATAACTTACGATTCAATGGGAAAGAAAGGCATCGGACCGACAATTATGTAGGCTATCAACGATGAGGTACAGCCTATTAGGCATAACGGGTGACAGTTTGTAGGCATTTTATCGGCAAAATAAGCCCAAAAATGATTGGATAGTGCATACAATACACCCGATATGACAAATATGCCGCCAGTAGTTACCGCTGATAGCTTCTGTATCTGTTTATTTAATTGTTTGGTATATAAATGGTTATATAAATTATTATAAATTAAAACAATTTTTAAATACAGTTTCCAAATGTAGTTTAAGTGTTGCCTCATTGAAACCAATTAGTATAAAACAGTTGACAGTAATTAAAACATTTAGTGTTATATTAAAATTGCTTAAAACATTGAAAACACTGGTCCTCTCTAGTGATGAATTGTTATCTGTTTTTTTTAAATAAAAATATAATAGTTTTATAGTACTAATAATATTAAAATACGGGTAAATCAAAATATTATGATATTAATCAGATAATAAAATTAAAATATTAAATTATATAATTAATTACTTGTGTTTGGATATAATATTATCATCAATAGTCCACCGATTAGTAGAAGTAATCCCATAACGAAAAATGGCAAACAAAACGCTATACCACTGTTTGCACCCAACTATTCAATCAAATTAATTATTATAATATTATATAAATAAATAATTATTTTAATTACTTGATTAAGTAGACCACCGATTACCGGACCAAATATCATACCCACACCGTAACACATCTCTATTGTGCCCTTTAATAGTAATAGTAATAATAAATTATTATTATTATTAATAAAAAATTAATTGACAAACAAACAAAACTACATACAAATAATTTTGATATATGTTTAGGAAATTTTATACAAATAGTTGTCCAACTGCTGACAAAAAAAGCGGCCGCACCTAACCCTTCAATAGTACGACTGGCCATTGCTATGGCTATGAATGGTGTTCCCGATGGTATCCATTGGAGTGCACTAAATGTTTTTAATGTATTGTATAATAAGTTATTATTAATAATAATAATATTTATTATACAGATAATGCTTATATGATATTAATTATTTTTTTGTAAATACAAACCCGAATATAGCGCTAGAAATGCTGGCCATCAATAGGCCGATAGCTATCATAAACTTCAGTGTCAGCGGTGGTATCTATTATTTAATCAGATAATAATAATAATAATAATAATAATAATATCAATTAATTATATAGTTTTTTCTGTATATAAAATATAAAGTTTATTTTTAAAAAATATATATATTTAGTTATATTTATATATATATTATAATAATATGATTATGTTTTACATACAAATTTGCCTAAAATTGCTGAACCAAAAAATACTGCAATTTGATACTCGGCTATTATTACGCCAATCCATGTCTCATTTGCACCCTTTTGTTTGGCCTAATATTAAATAATTAATTAAAAAAACAGTATATATGTAGTGGACAGGGGTTTAGTCGAGTCCACTTCAAGGAACTATAGCTCAAATTGATGAACTTCTGGTACTCGGGGTATCTTCGGAAAATATATCCGGTCTATAGATATCCTTCTCTTAGAAATATAGATCTCTGAACTTCTCTATGCCGGTCAAATCGATTAGACTACTATTACAACACTCATAATCACTGTTACACTCATAATAAACATGTTTTCGTATACTCATAGCTTGTTCACTAATTCAATGAAATACTTCTCTTTATTCAAAATACTTTTATTAAACACTTAAATTCATTGATAATTAGATTAAATACATGTATAATTAAAATATAAAATAAATGATATTATAATTAATTGACTATTCAATAGCACACCCTTTTAACACTCGGATCTTAACATGACTTCTCTCTACGACAGCATAGCACACACTGCTAACTACTCTGCAAACTGATAACTGCACACTTTCCCTCTTTTTCACCCCCTTTTATAGTCATATCACATTAACATAGATTATTGATTAAACATAAGATTATTGATAAGTTGAGAATAATATGAAATAATAATTATAAATCTTAGAAAATAATAATATTGAATATCTAATAGTAATAAATATTAAAATATGAAATTGAATAGATTTTAAGGCCTTATATCGTTATAAATCGGGTTATCCATTACATATATATATATAATTAAGATTACAATACAATATTAGTATAATATGATAATAATATTATAATTGGTGAAAAATATTTATTTTTATTATTTTATTAAACTATAAAGTTTAACTGTAAAACTTATACAAATAAATTTTTTTAAGAATTAAATTAAATAAATAAATACATTAAAAATCTAATAATTTAAAAAAAACAATTATTTAATAGTTTACAATACAAGTAAAAATAAAAAATCAATATTAGTATAATATTTTTAATAAACTATAAAGTTTAACAGTAAAACTTATACAAATAATTTTTCTTAAAATCGAATTAAATTAAAATAAATAAATATAAAAAAATCTAATAACATTTTTAAAAAAAAATTATTTAATAGTTTACCTCCATTGGGAAAAATGGTGCCAACAATGTATAGGCACTTCCGATACAAATATTTCCGTAACATAACAACAATATTAGTAATAAATCTTTTAAATTAAATATATAGAAAAAACTAAAACATTTTTTATTTGAACGATTATTATCATTATCTGTTAAATCTTGAAGATTTTCATTATTATTATTACTATTATTATTAACGACATAGACATTTGATTTGTTAATTTTATTTATTAGATCCATATTCACACATAAGAAAAAAAAATTTTAAATTAATATAATTTAATATTTAAATTGAGAAAAAAATTATTATTTATAAAAATATTAATTAAATAGCTTTTATTATATGAATATGTGTTTTATAATATAAACTATAATATAATAATTAAGCAGGTGTATTTTTATATACTAGTCATTTAAATTAGAAAAAATTATTAATTAAGATAATAGTTAATTATAACAAAACGCACAATCATTATGACTTTTATAAAATATATTTAATTATTGTTATTATTTTATTATATATTTCCTATATATTTGTTATAGTGAATATATATATGTGAATATTATACTGTATATTATGTAAAATTAGATTTTTTAATTTTAATTTAATTTGATTTTTATTCAAAAACTTAATAATAATAAAAAATTAATTATAAATTCCAGAAAACTTGTGAAAAACATAATTTTTTGTACATAATATCAACAAAAATCTAAAAATTACTTATTATATACCATAACACGTAAAAATCGATAATTAAATTGCAATTCACTGATAGTATTGTCTGTCAAAAACTGTTTCCACGACCCGTTAGGTTTGGCCGACACCGATACCGATAATGCCGTCGAGTCCGCCGCCGCCGCTGTCGCAGTCGCCGTAACCGTTTCCGATGGACTACTAAAATATGTATCCCTAATGTTATCCTTATTTATCATCAGTTGGTCATCAAACTGGCGTCGATCCGGATAATTGTATCCATAGTTGTCAACCAGTAATGGCATAAAATCTTTTCAAAAAAAATAATATCAATAATAATAATATTTTTTTTAAATAAAGTTTTTAAATAAAATTAATTGATTTGTTTTTTTTTGTTAAACACTAATCTGTTTGCGATTTGCAACTAAACTGTGAAACAATAGTTCAAACTTTTTAATTTGAAATCCATTGTCGACTAAACACTGTTTCCAGACATTCATCTGTTTGTCAATTGATGGACACAACAGTTGTTGTTGTTGTTGTTGTTCATCAACCGTACTGTTTATCAGTTTTTCATTTAAATCTTCAATAATAGCAATATTTGCATAAAACAGTCCACCGCTGGTCAACAACTGTCCGATTATAGTCATTACTCGATACTTATCTCTGTTATAGTGTAACATAAAACTAGTGAACAGTAGATCTACTTTGGACTTCAATTGTCTGATCCGTGGACTCAACTCATGCCACGAGACAGTCATGTCTTGCAGGACATACTCAATGGTCGGATCATCCGTATTGTTAGCCAAAGCGTATGTCAACATTTCCGGTACGACATCGATGGCCACCAGTTGTTTGTGCGGAACATTTTGGGACAATAGTCGGGTAACACTGCCGTCACCGACGCCCAGATCAACAATCAGATCGTATGAACTGAAAACATATGAAAAATTAATTTAGATTTTTTTTAAACAACAACAAAAAAACTAAAAATAAAAATAATTTATTTTTTTCAAAAATACTTTTTTTCATTAGTAATCAATTGAAATGACTCTAAATTAAATTCAACCAATTTATTGAATATTGTGTTATAATCGTCGGGTTTTATTTTATACATTTTATTTGTTTTTTTATAATATTTGTAAAACTTATTATTAATAATAATTGTTTACTAACTAAATATTTTTTAATATTTAAGACTTAAATTATAACTTTTTATATATATATATATATAAAAATAGTTTGAACTTTAAATAAAATTTTCTATTAACTAACTTTTCAATGATTTCAACTCAATAAATGATTTTTTTAGGAAAATTATTTAATACTTTTAGCAAATTTTAGTTTTTAATTGTTCAATGATTTTACAAAAATAATATATTTTTTTCTAAAATAATATTTGTTATATTATTTTTTATTTATCTAGATCATTTAATCAATTAATGATTTTTTATATTATTAGATAATTCTTAAAACAAATTATAAAATAAGTTAAATTAGTTAAAATTAATTAATAATTAAGTTATTAATACAAATATTAATATATATATATATATATATATAATTTTTATAATAAAATTAACAGAAACCTTAATTTTTGTTATTATTTAAAAAATAAATTTAAGTACAATTATTATTATTATTATTAATAGTAGTAGTAATAGTAATAATATGTACAGGTATATTTTTTAAATGTTAATATATATTATTTAAACTTTTCCATGTAATTAATTTTTAATATTTTTATTTTTTAAGTCATAATGATAATATTGAAAATTTTTGTTAATCATTATGAAATATGTGGCAATAATTTAACTATTAGTTTATTTAATTAGTTTAGTTTAATTTACCTATTACATTATATAAAATTATATAAATTAAAAATAATTATTACTATTATTTTAAAAACAAAAATTTATCAAGTTAACTTATATATTAATTAATAAATTAATGAATTAAAATTAAAGAATATTATATATAAATAGTCTAAATTTTTATGATTATATTTATGTATGATATTATTATTTTTAAAATTTAAAAATACATTAAAAATACATATAATTAATGAAATTACATTTTAAACATATAGAGCACCATAATTTTATAACAATTTTTATATATATACAGTATATATAAATTAAAATTTTTTAAATTATTTTTCATTATATTATTTCTAGATTTTATTAATTATTTCATATAATCTGTGGTCAAAATAAAGGATGAAAAAAATAATTATATATAATATTATTAATTTAATAAAATTTCTATTTTTTTGTTTGTTTTCTATTTTAAAAATAAAATTAAATCTATACTATAGTCCACATAACATGAATAGTAGTTAAATAGTTAACCAATCTATTAGTAATTTATTTATTTTTAGTTTAAAGTTTAATATAGTTTAGTTGATAACAAAAAACTTATTGTCTATTATTATAAGCCATAACACGTAAAACATGATAATTGTTACGCATTTCAGTAATAGTATTGTCGGCTAAAAATTGTTTCCAAGCGTTAGGGTTGGACACCGACTCCGCCGACATCTCAGTCGCCGCCGCCGCCGCCGACTCCGAGTCCAGTGGACTAAAATTGTTTTCAAATACACTGTTCCAGAAGTGGTCACTAGTCTGGTCAGAAAACTGATGACCGCCGCCGACATGCAAATAGTCGTCAACTAATACTGGCATAATGTCTATAATATAAAAAAAACAATTATTAAAATTTAAAATAATAATAATTTAATTTAAAAATAGACACTAAAACAACAACTAAAACACTAACCGATAATCATTTTACGATTCAAAACTATATAATCGGTTATTACTTTAAATAATTTAATTTGAAATCCATTGTCGACTAAACACTGTTTCCAAACGTTAATCTGTTTGTCAACCGATGGATACAACAGTTGTTTCTCAACCCTATTATTATTATTATTGATTACAAGTTTTTTTGTATTTAAATCTCTAGTAATAAGAATAGTTGAATAAAACAGTCCACCGCTGGTCAACAATTGTCCAATTATTGCCATCAGTTGATACTTATCTGTGATATAGTGTAACATAAAGTTACTGAACAGTAGATCTACTTTGGACTCCAATTGTCTGATCCGTGGACTCAACTCAGGCCACGAAACAGTCAGGTCTTGCAGGACATACTCAATGGTCGGATCGTCCGTATTGTTGGCCACAGCGTGTTCCAGCATTTCGGGTACGACATCGATGGCCACCAGTTGTTTGTGCGGTACGTTTTGGGACAACAATCGGGTAACTCTGCCGTCACCGAAGCCCAGATCGATAATCACATCGAATGAACTGAAAAAAATAAATAATAATAAAATATTTTAGTTATTTAGTTAATAAAATTTTTTTTAATTTTAAATACTTTTTTTCATTTGTAATCAATTTAAATGACTCGATAGTTAAATAGTCCAAATTTTTGGACACTTTAACAAAATCGTCGGGTTTTATTTTATACATTTTTCTATATTTTTAAAAAAATATATATATATATAAATTTTAAAACTTTATTTTAATAATAATCATAAAAATATAAATTTTATATTTAGTATATAACTAATATACTAGTGTATTTATTTACTGTATATATAGTAAATTAATTAGAAATTATGTTTAATACTTTTACTGTTTAATTAATATTTTTACAACAATAAGCTATTGAATTAATATTTATATATTTTTTTGCTTAATAATAAATTTAGCAATTAATTATAAGTTATAATGATTTACAAAATTTAAGAAATAAAAACATTGAATAATGAAATTTATTATGAAATTTATGAAACAGTAAACTATATATTTTTTTTAAATATTAAAATTTGTCTATTATTTTTATTTTTATTTTAATAATAATAATAATAATAAATATAAATATATATATATTTTTAGTAATATTTAACATTTAATAATAAGTTTTTGTAAGCTTTTATTTATAAAACTATTTTATTTATTCTATTATTTAAAATTAATAGTTTTTTTCTATAGGTTTTGTTAAAAAAAATTAATTTATAATTAATCTAAATAACAGACAAAAAATTTATTTAAAAAAATATTTTAGATTAAATATTAGTTTACAGAATTTTTTTATATTAATTATTAAAATTAATTTTTAATAACAAAAAAGTTATATTATTTAATATATATATATATATATATTATTGAAATAAATATGATTTGATTAGTTTTATTATTATTTTAAATCATCTATATTATAACTTATTTTTAATATAATTATTTTTGTATAGTACATGTATATTATAATAATGATAAAACAAATAGTTTTTTATTAGTTGAAGTTAAAATTTATAATATCATTATATGACTTATTATATAATATAAAACTATATTTTTATATTTTGCTTAGTTTATTAAGTATTATAACTCTAATTGTAATAATAATAATTAAAATAATAATAATAATTAAAATAATAATATAAAAATAGTAAATTAAAACATATAGTAAAGTAAATACTATTTTAATAATTATAATATTTACTACTTTATTATAATTTTATAGATTTTATACTCAATGTAAATCAATATTTATTTCAATATATATAACTTATTATTACCATTAGAATTATAACACTTATTAAATATTATTAAATAATAAATTATTAAATTAAATTATGAATAGTTAATATCAAATTATAATTACCCAGATTACAGTAATTAATTAAGCTTTAATAATATGCATTGTCATAAAAATAATTATAATAACAATAGGATAGTCCTAAACTACAGTAAAATGATGTCAACATTAATGGTATAAATGGATATTTTTGATGACAAATGAGCAAACAGTGGACAACCGATTGAATAAATCAATTGAATACTAATCAGTCCTAACAAATACATTGTTTCAATTGAATTCATTAGTGGAAAACTAATAGTAAAAAAAACTATTTGTATTATCATTATTGCTATAATGTTTGCTTTGTATTGAATTATGAAATCATATGATATATATCTAAACTTTTCAATGAATATATTATACAATACAGTATATTCATTGAAAAGTTTAGATATATATCATATGATTTCATCATTCAATAGTAGCAAACATTATAATACAATGTATATATCAGTTATAATACTATTTTAATAAATATTTTGAAATTATTTTTCAAATTTTATTATTTATAGATTTTATTAATTATTTTTCGTACTATCTGTGGTCAAAATATATGAAAAAAATAATTATATAATATATTATTATTTATTAAATAAAATTTTTATATTTTTTTTGTTTTGTTATCTATTAGTCTACATAACATAATAGTAACTAAATAATTAACTAATCTATTAGTAATTTATTTTAAAGTTTAATATATATTAGTTGATAACAAAAAACTTATTGTTTATTATTATAAGCCATAACTCGTAAAATATGATAATTGTTACGCATTTCAGTAATAGTATTGTCGGCTAAAAATTGTTTCCAAGCGTTAGGGTTGGACACCGACGCCGCCGACGACTCCGAGTCCAGTGGACTAAAATTGTTTTCAAATACACTGTTCCAGAAGTGGTCACTAGTCTGGTCAGAAAACTGATGACCGCCGCCGACATGCAAATAGTCGTCAACTAATACTGGCATAATGTCTATAATATAAAAAAAAACAATTATTAAAATTTAAAATAATAATAATTTAATTTAAAAATAGACACTAAAACAACAACTAAAACACTAACCGATAATCATTTTACGATTCAAAACTATATAATCGGTTATTACTTTAAATAATTTAATTTGAAATCCATTGTCGACTAAACACTGTTTCCAAACGTTAATCTGTTTGTCAACCGATGGATACAACAGTTGTTTCTCAACTCTATTATTATTATTGATTACTAGTTTTTTTGTATTTAAATCTCTAGTAATAAGAATAGTTGAATAAAACAGTCCACCGCTGGTCAACAACTGTCCAATTATTGCCATCAGTTGATACTTATCTGTGATATAGTGTAACATAAAGTTACTGAACAGTAGATCTACTTTGGACTCCAATTGTCTGATCCGTGGACTCAACTCAGGCCACGAAACAGTCAGGTCTTGCAGGACATACTCAATGGTCGGATCGTCCGTATTGTTGGCCACAGCGTGTTCCAGCATTTCGGGTACGACATCGATGGCCACCAGTTGTTTGTGCGGTACGTTTTGGGACAACAATCGGGTAACTCTGCCGTCACCGAAGCCCAGATCGATAATCATATCGAATGAACTGAAAAAAATAAATAATAATAAAATATTTTAGTTATTTAGTTAATAAAAATTTTTTTAATTTTAAATACTTTTTTTTATTTCTAATCAATTTAAATGACTCGATAGTTAAATAGTCCAAATTTTTGGACACTTTAACAAAATCGTCGGGTTTTATTTTATACATTTTTCTATTTTTTAAAAAATATATATATATATAGATTTTAAAACTTTATTTTAATAATAATCATAAAAATATAAATTTTATATTTAGTATATAACTAATATACTAGTGTATTTATTTACTGTATATATAGTAAATTAATTAGAAATTATGTTTAATACTTTTACTGTTTAATTAATATTTTTACAACAATAAGCTATTGAATTAATATTTATATATTTTTTTGCTTAATAATAAATTTAGCAATTAATTATAAGTTATAATGATTTACAAAATTTAAGAAATAAAAACATTGAATAATGAAATTTATTATGAAATTTATGAAACAGTAAACTATATATTTTTTTTAAATATTAAAATTTGTCTATTATTTTTATTTTTATTTTAATAATAATAATAATAATAAATATAAATATATATATATTTTTAGTAATATTTAACATTTAATAATAAGTTTTTGTAAGCTTTTATTTATAAAACTATTTTATTTATTCTATTATTTAAAATTAATAGTTTTTTTCTATAGGTTTTGTTAAAAAAAATTAATTTATAATTAATCTAAATAACAGACAAAAAATTTATTTAAAAAAATATTTTAGATTAAATATTAGTTTACAGAATTTTTTTATATTAATTATTAAAATTAATTTTTAATAACATAAAAGTTATATTATTTAATATATATATATATATATATATTATTGAAATAAATATGATTTGATTAGTTTTATTATTATTTTAAATCATCTATATTATAACTTATTTTTAATATAATTATTTTTGTATAGTACATGTATATTATAATAATGATAAAACAAATAGTTTTTTATTAGTTGAAGTTAAAATTTATAATATCATTATATGACTTATTATATAATATAAAACTATATTTTTATATTTTGCTTAGTTTATTAAGTATTATAACTCTAATTGTAATAATAATAAGTAAAATAATAATAATAATTAAAATAATAATAATAATTAAAATAATAATATAAAAATAGTAAATTAAAACATATAGTAAAGTAAATACTATTTTAATAATTATAATATTTACTACTTTATTATAATTTTATAGATTTTATACTCAATGTAAATCAATATTTATTTCAATATATATAACTTATTATTATTACCATTAGAATTATAACACTTATTAAATATTATTAAATAATAAATTATTAAATTAAATTATGAATAGTTAATATCAAATTATAATTACCCAGATTACAGTAATTAATTAAGCTTTAATAGTATGCATTGTCATAAAAATAATTATAATAACAATAGGATAGACCGAGACTACAGTAAAATGATGTCAACATTAATGGTATAAATGGATATTTTTGATGACAAATGAGCAAACAGTGGACAACCGATTGAATAAATCAATTGAATACTAATCAGTCCTAACAAATACATTGTTTCAATTGAATTCATTAGTGGAAAACTAATAGTAAAAAAAACTATTTGTATTATCATTATTGCTATAATGTTTGCTTTGTATTGAATGATGAAATCATATGATATATATCATATGATTTCATCATTCAATAGTAGCAAACATTATAATACAATGTATATATCAGTTATAATACTATTTTAATAAATATTTTGAAATTATTTTTCAAATTTTATTATTTATAGATTTTATTAATTATTTTTCTTTAACTATCTGTGGTCAAAATATATGAAAAAAATAATTATATAATAAATTATTATTTATTAAATAAAATTTATATTTTTTTTGTTTTGTTATCTATTAGTCTACATAACATAATAGTAACTAAATAATTAACTAATCTATTAGTAATTTATTTTAAAGTTTAATATATATTAGTTGATAATAAAAAACTTATTGTTTATTATTATAAGCCATAACTCGTAAAATATGATAATTGTTACGCATTTCAGTAATAGTATTGTCGGCTAAAAATTGTTTTCAAGCGTTAGGGTTGGACACCGTCGCCGCCGACGAATCCGAGTCCAGTGGACTAAAATTGTTTTCAAATACACTGTTCCAGAAGTGGTCACTAGTCTGGTCAGAAAACTGATGACCGCCGCCGACATGCAAATAGTCGTCAACTAATACTGGCATAATGTCTATAATATAAAAAAAACAATTATTAAAATTTAAAATAATAATAATAATATAATAATAATATAATTATTTTATTTATTTTTTATAATTTAAAAATAGACACTTAAACAACACTAACCGATAATCATTTTACGATTCAAAACTATATAATCGGTTATTACTTTAAATAATTTAATTTGAAATCCATTGTCGACTAAACACTGTTTCCAAACGTTAATCTGTTTGTCAACCGATGGATACAACAGTTGTTTCTCAACCCTATTATTATTATTGTTATTATTTATTACTAGTTTTTTTGAATTTAAATCTCTAGTTATAAGAATATTTGAATAAAACAGTCCACCGCTGGTCAACAACTGTCCGATTATAGCCATCAGTTGATACTTATCTGTGATATAGTGTAACATAAAGTTACTGAACAGTAGATCTACTTTGGACTCCAATTGTCTGATCAGTGGACTCAACTCAAGCCACGAAACAGTCAAGTCTTGCAGGACATACTCAATGGACGGATCGTCCGTATTGTTGGCCACAGCGTGTGCCAGCATTTCGGGTACGACATCGATGGCCACCAGTTGTTTGTGCGGTACGTTTTGGGACAACAATCGGGTAACTCTGCCGTCACCGAAACCCAGATCGACAATCAGATTGAATGAACTAAAAATAAAATCAAATAAAATATTTTAGTTAATAAATAGAAAAATTTTTCTTTAAATTTTAAATACTTTTTTTCATTTCTAATCAATTTAAACGACTCGGTAGTAAATGAGTCCATATTTTCGGACACTTTAACAAAATTTTCGGGTTTTATTTTATACATTTTAAAATATATATATATATAAAAAATTTAAAACTTTATTTTAACAATAATAATCATAGAAAATATAAATTTATATTTAGTATATAACTAATATACTCGTATTGTATATACTGTACTATATAGTAAATTATTTATAAATTAAGTTTAATACTTTTAATATTTAATTAATATTTTTACAATAATTTTAGCTATTAATTGAATTGATTTGAATTTATATATTTATAATTTAGTGCTGAATAATAATTTTATGTATTTTGTTATAAATTATAATCAAATAAAAACTAGTTATAATGATTTACAAAATTGAATAATTAAATTTATTATTAAATTTATGAAACAGTAAACTATATATTTTTTTAATAAATAATAAATAAAAATTTGTCTATTATTTTCTTTTTAATTTTAACAATAATAATAATTAACAATAAATATATAGTTTAAATAATATCATACTCAATGTATTGATAAATTTTAAACCTGTAATTAATATTATGAAATAATATGTATAATATATAGTTATAATAATAATAATATGATATAAATGTAAATTTTTTGATTATCATGACAAGTACATGAATAAAGTTTTAATTTATTATTATTATTGTACTGTATATTACAGTACTTTCAGTAATATATTGTTATATTCAATATACTGTATATATGTATAAATTAATTGAATTTATATTTTCACGAATTCCTGAAAGGAATACGTATATGCATTCTAAAAGTCTGCCTGTCTGTCTGTCCGTCTGTCTGTCCCACGAGGACATAGGTTCGAATCCAGGCTCCGCTACAAAATTTTTTTTTGATTTTTTTTGGTTTTTTTTCTTTTTTAAGTTAAGGAGATCGTATGGGAATGCTTTTGAAGCATTCTCAACTGTTTTTTTTTATTTTTTTTAAATTTTTTCCTTTTTAAGTTAAGGAATTCGTGTGGAAATGCTTTTAAAGCATTCTCAACTGGTTTTTAATAATTTATTGCTGAAAATAGCAATTAATTATAAATTTAATAGTTATTCAGATACTACTAGTTATAATGATTTTAAAAAATTTAATAATAAAAAAAATTAATAATAAGTTTTTTGTAAGCATTTATTTATAAAACTATTTTATTTATTATGTTATTTAAAATTAATAGGTTTTTTCTATATTTTTTGTAAAAAAAATTTAATTTATAATTAATATAAACAACAACTAAAATATTTTAAATTAAATTTTTTATATTAATTATTAAAATTAATTTTTAATAACAAAAAAAATATATTATTTAATATATATATATATTGAAATAAATATGATTTGATTAGTTTTATTATTATTTTATATAATCTATATTATAATTATTTTTGTATAGTACATGTATATTAATAATAATGATAAAACAAATAGTTTTAATTAGTTAAAGTTAAAAATTTTTAATATCATTATATGACTTATTATATATAGACTATTGACGTTAAAGTCAATATAAACTTATAATTATTATTATTATAATAAACTTATGTTATATACGTAATACACATTGATATTTGTTTAAATTGTATCACTTATATAATAATAATAATTTACAAAAAAAAATACATTTATATCATATAATTATTTATATTAATTACAGGTTTAAAATTTATGAATACATTGATTATGAAATTATTTAAACATTAATTAATAAAAAATTATTTATAAAATTACTAATTATAAAAAAACATTAATCAGATTTAAAAACTTATTAAAATTTGGTTTCTTCTCTAATATTTTTTTTTAGTAAAACTCAATAAAATCTAACCAATCATTTGTACAAATTTTTTTGTCATTAATTTTAATTATTTAAAAATAATCTAAAATTTTTTTTATTAATCTTCTTTTACTTAATGAATCTATTTTTTTTTATATAAAATATTATGAAATACATACAGTATTGGACAAAACAATCTGTGAAAGGTTTGAGTCCTAATATCTTAAAAACTACTGGATCAATTTTGATACAGTTTAGTAGTAGATGTACTGTATATAATCAAAATTTAATATAATTAATATTAATTTTTTAAAACTAGTCATTTAAAAGTTATAATAATATAAGTGAAAAGTTTTGTGTGTTTTTCATTAATATCGTTACCAGCATTAAGGGTTGCTTCCATACATTTTTTCATTTTTTAATTAATTTTTAAAAATTACTTATATTATTTTGTAAACAATTTTTTTTTAATTTTATATAAACTAGATTATATAATCTATCATTACCATAAACTTTATACAAAATTGATCCAGTAGTTTTTAAGTTATTAGGTCTAACAACCTTTCACAGATTGTTTTGTCCATGAGTATGAATATGAAATACCATTTGAATAAATCATATTAAAAAAAAAAAAAAAAATTTTTTTTATAAATATTTTATTGTGTCTTTATTTTGTGTTGAAGTTTCCAATGACTTGATATTAATATTTACAGCTGTAATATAAGGATCAGTTTGTGTTGTGAAGCACCTGGTATTTCGGTGTCAGAATATAAGGTTTCAGCGATGGGATTGTATACAACAACAAATAAAAAAACTGATATAATTTTGTCGACGGAATTATTTATTGTCAGAGTTGTTATAATAAGTTACTTCCAGTCATTTGACACTCCAGTCACAGAGCATTTGACAAAATCCAATCATAGAGTTGAACTTTTTTATTTTAAAAATAAATATTGTTATCGTAGTAAAACTAATTTATCGCATAATAATAAAAATGCCATTTAAAACGCAATTTTAACTTTGGATCTCTACAATATATTTTGTTCAAAATAAAAATTCATAAACTGACCCTAACATATTTAGCATTAATATGATCCGATGCATGTCAAATGCTCTGTATCTCTGGTTACTTCTGTAATTAAGGGTCGGTTTCTATTGCGAAACCGGAAAGTTTTGCCGATCGAAAGGTACGGGTTTTGTTTAATAGAACAATTGTCGAAACGGGAGCCGAACCCGAAACGTTAAACATTTGTTTAGCGTAACATAATCTCCTGTAATGATTACGTCCAGTAATGGTCTATATACTGTATATATTGGTTACATTAATGGGAAAATCGTTAAATTGTTTGATTCAGAGATTTCTCTTCAGTTAAAATATCTATACATGAATGTGAACAGTGATGGACATTAAACCCAATTGTCCAAAAAAAATGATTTATTGGCTGAACAACAAATATCACAATTCAATGATGAAAACGGAGAGAGGTTCTCGGTATGCAGGACTTCGTAAAACCCATTGGAAAAAGTAATCGCCGAAAGTGTTTAACAAATTGGTTTTCCTTAAAGATTCGTTTGGAAGATAGCGCGATAATTACTCGTTTACAAGAGTTGTATGAAAAGGTTCGAAAGCTGATACAAGTGCCCATTAGCCAACAGTTTTGTTTAGTTGGAGAAATTTCTAAAATTATATATTGTATATAATAACAACAATTTTAGACAGTATAATCCGATCATTTGCTACCAATGGGAAATATGATATTGATACATATATAAACAACATTCACTTAAGAATAATAATCAAATTAAAAAATGAATTTAATTGTTTTTAAAACAACAATGACATTAAAATGTCATAAAATATACTTGTAGTGTTGTTGTACGACTTATTGCAGATTGAAGTGTATAATCAAAGTACAGAGTATATAATACCGTTATATCAACCTGTTGTTAAATTTAGGATAATAGCTGTCTTTGTTTTGAATTTAGGATATGATCAAGTGATTGATCTGAATAATTATAAAATGAAACAAAACGCTCGGTTTATTAAAGTCAATGATGAGTACAGAAGTGCTACAAGTAAAATCTAAAGAAATTGAAGAATCGTAAAGAGAAATAACGTCTCAATGAAGTCGTTGAATGACGGACGTTGAATGGGGATTTGGCCAAATCATATGGTGGCGGATAATGAAATGAAAATAACATTTATATGACGTATATTTATTTAAAAACATTTTAACTTATTTATATATAATGACCAGGGATCTCGAGATATTCACGCAATTATTGGGTACTGTTGACGTTGCGCGCTGACGCCAAAGAAAGCTAGGATGAGATCAATGGTATTTTAGGATCAAATACTATTAGTCACTCAACAGTTGATCGTTGCCATTTTGTATAGCCATCTCATAGCCATAACCCCCCATATATTTCCGTCACAATATAATATATTGTATTATTAAATAACTTATTCTGGGCTTAAAGTTATATACTTTTTATGCTATTATTTAAAAAGAATATTTTTTATAATAGTAGTAGTTTACTGTATTGTTTGAAACCAATCTAATAATAAATTTACAGAGTTTTACACTAAGAGATTGAATGTTAACAATTTATTTTGCAATACTACTGTAAACTTGATATTTACTTATATATTATTATTAAATATAAATATAATATATTTTTAAAGAATTATTGTTAAGTTAAATATATGTCGTGGCGTAAAATAGATATGAATTATAAAAAACAATTGAAATAATGTGCAGTCAATTTGTTAGAATGAAAATGAAAAAACTTTATTAAAAACTTTATAATTGAAAATACATTTGATATGAAATATTTGTATTTCATATATAATATGATGTCTATAAGCATAGACTGGTATACAATGCATAAGTATCTATTGTTTGTCATTCATTTATATTAATATAATAATAGTAATTATTACATATTTTATTTAAATATGGCTTAAAATTTATTAATAATAACTGTATAAATTTATGAAAACACAATAATGATTTTATAATAGCTTAAAATATGACATATTTTATATATTATATAATGTTTAAAGGATAAAATTGAGTATTTTATAATAATTATAGTTTTAATATAACATACTGTTTGTTATTATTAATTTTATTAAGTTATAAATTCAATAAAGTATTTTATATGCAAAAGTAATCTAACGCTATAGTTGCATACAAATTGTATGCTTAACATTAGCCTTATTGGTGTTTATTATCAATTGGAATATCGTAACATTGGCCATAGTACTAGATTATTTTACTATTATTAATATAGAGTAAGTTATTTAGATTGATATTTAATATTTATTTGTATATAACTGGTTACTACCGTAACACACATTACGGTAGTTGTTATGAGTGGCCAACTGGGGCCAGAATCGGGTGTTAATACCCTCGAATAACCGGTGCACAATATAGTGTTTAAGTATATCCTAAACTGTAGTGAATAGTTGACCACTTGATGGTCAGTTTGACAAACTTATAAAATTAGTGTATAGTTTGTGACAGTAAAACTACTTTATTATAATTGTTATAAATTTTATACTCACTGTAAATCAATATTTATTTCAATGTATTATTATTAATATATATATAACTTACTATTACCATTAGATTAAATTAATACAGTCTTGCTCATCTTTTTATAATAACGATAATTTAAAAACTACTAAAATATATTTTATTTAAACAAAAAATATTAATAAAGTATGATAATTGGCGTTACATATTTTAATGTAAAAATTTTAATGTTGACATTGCCAGACAACCAAAAATGACACTCATCTGTGAAATTTACAGTATTGATATCAAATTCACGACAGTCAATTAATACTGTCAATTGATTTGCGAAATCCACTTAAGTTCACTTAAGTTGACTTCTCTTAACTGTTGAGTAATTTGAATTTTGTATGTGAACAGATCCAAATGATTCTTCATAATTCTATGCAAACTTGATCTGGATATACCCAGCATTTGTGATGTACGCCGTTGTGATGTTTTCGGCTGATTTTCATATAATTGTTTGACGCGTTCAATGTTGTCCTCTGTAACCACTGGTGACTCTCTTGACTTGTGCTATACGTTCAATCATCAAGAACACTACCAGTTTTCTTAAATTTATCGATAATACTTAAAAAAAATTAACAATGTGTTTTAATTAAAATTTGATGATAATAATACCCCCCCCCCCCAAAAAAAATGTTTATTTTAAAATGACTATAAATTACTATTTTATAGTTTTTTTTCGGTGATTGTTAAATGTTTGACATATTTGTACTTAAAATGCTTTGACGGTTGTCTCATAACTGCCAACTTTCGACTAAAAGATACTTAAAGACAATATCGACTCTTTGTTCAGTTGAATATGTGGTGCGTGTCGACGCCATTTTGAAACTTTTATTAAATATTTTTACTAAATATTTTTAAAAACAATAACAAACCAAAAAACTAACCAACTACTCCTCACCCCATTTACCGTAAAAAAAATTTTACATTACCTTTAAATTGTGTTTAACTTCCCATATGGTAATGTCTAAGTTATGGAAAATAATGCCAGTTTTTTCCCATATATGAAAAAATAGTTTTTTTTACTTTGTATAATAACTTAGTGCTTAATTATTACCAAATGTGATTAAAAAATACGAGTTTTTTCCCATATGAACATTTTTTTACATTTTTTTTTTTTGAATTCCATACGGGAAATTATACACGATTTTACGGTAATTTAAAATATAGAAATAGCGCTATTTTTAAAAATAAATATACATGATGAGCCAGTCTGTACTTAATAAACTTTTTTTTTTGTTTTTTTTAAATATAAGTTTAATATGTAAATGTATAAAATATTTTACAAAAATAAATTATATTTCAATAATTAGTTACTAGTGTATTGAATTTATACTATATTAATCTCTTACTAAATATGTTTAGCAAAATTGTACTAGTCAAAAAATGATTATTAAAAAATTATTTAATAAAATTATTGATAATGAAAATTATGAAATATATAATATTTTTTTAAAAACAAATAAACAAAACAAACAAATAATAATAATAATTTATTTAATTTTTATTATACATTTATTTTTTGTTGCTATAATATTTTAAATATCTACACAAATAATTTAATTTAATTAATTAAATAGTTAATATGTAAAATTATTAAATTACCCAGGTAATTAATTAAGCTTTAATAATATGCATTGTCCTGAAATAATTATAATAACAATAGGTTAGTCCGAGACTACAGTAAAATGATGTCAACATTAATGGTATGAATGGATATGATTGATGACAAATAGCAAACAGTGGACAACCGATTGAATAAATCAATTGAATACTAATCAGTCCTAACAAATACATTGTTTCAATTGAATTCATTAGTGGAAAACTAATTGAAAAAAAACTATTTGTATTATCATTATTGCTATAATGTTTGCTTGTATTGAATGATGATATCCTATGATAGATATCTAGACTTTTCAATGAATATATTGAATATATTAGTAATAATACTATTTTGGTTATAGTTTCCGATTCTTTGAATAGCAGTGGAAACAGTGAATAGTTGCCAACAATGGATATCCAGGCAAACCATTTGCCGTCCCATTTGGTTATCATTGCCAATGGTGTTAACGGTATGGTTATCAATAGTATAGCTTTTTCGTGTACGTGCCAACCGAACATATAGGAACTGTAGGCACACAGTACTACACACCGGAGGAACAGTATATGGGAATAGTTTTGATGACTTCGCTTCCATAGTGTATATAGCGATGGCTACCCAACCAAACAAACACCAAAAAAACAAACAAAAAATTCAGTCATTATTATCACATCAATGGTATAACAAATATATATATATATACTGTATATAAATGGCTTACCATTATGGCCACTATAACCAATATAAAGGTAACAATCGGTGCAATATTGAACAGCACCTGATGTTCATATTGTTGGACCAGTCCTGATGTCATCGTCGATGATGATGTGGTGGTATTTGATTTGATCTTTAAGGCCGTACCCAGCGATTTGTCGACAGTATTATAGAGGGCCCAAAAATTTGGCGCCCAATAGGCGTGACTGAGTCCACGCCGAAAGGGAAACAATCGGCTGACCAATTGATTCAATTGGCCCATAGCTACGAACGGACCGAAAGATATGGCGAATACCGATAGTACTGTTACGGCCAGTTTAGCCAAATTAATTGGCCGAAACTTACGGTGCCGATCGAAACAATAGTTACGCAATAGATAGACAAAAAATGCTGGACTCATATACATGTATATGTGTTTCATATTCAATAGTATCGAAAACCATAGACTGGCCTCTACTTCACGTTTCTGTACAATACGGGCCATCGATAGCAATAGTATACCACTTAGTAGACCATTGTATTGGAAATGGATGTGATCGACCAACAGTAGGCCCGGATTCCATAGGAATAGCATTACTAGCATTACATTTGGATGAAACCATTGATCGCCTAAGGATTGTCTACCCGATCGGTTAGCTTTTAATTTGCCCATCAATTGGCACCATTCAAATACCGAATAATAGTAGACCAGATCCGATCCGATAACTGTTAAACGTTGAAATAGGATAGTCTGGTCGCTTATATAGCCAGTGGCAGCTATTTTCAACATATTTTCATCGAAATACTGGCCAATCAGTGATAATAGATATTCAAACCATGCAAACAGTGGCGGATAGTCTAGTGTCCACTCGGATGTCGACTTTATGATCAAAAAAATAAAAATAAATAAAAAAATAAATAAATAAAAGTTTTTAATATTATTTATATTTAATAAAATTTATGATTACCTCATAATACCATTGACTTATAGGCAAACTGTGTGTAATTGATAGCCAATTTCGGTGGACTTCAAAATCAGTTGAATAACTATTTTTTTGATAATTGAATTTAAAAAAATAAAACAAACAATTTTTTTAGTATTATTTTTTTTAATGACAAATATTTTTTGTTTGTTTTAATAACTATATTAAATAATTTTTTTTTAAAAATTTTTGTTGTTTAGTATACATACTATGATTTAATTAGCAATAGTTTAACACATGTTATACTTAAAGCCATTGACCAGAACTTGTAATCCCATATCGATTGCATTAATATGTTATCATCGCTGGACTTATTTCTTGATCTTAATCTCATTGTTGATGTCATTATTGTCTTAAAAGTGATTTTTTTAAAATAATTGATTTTTTTAAATCTAAAATTTTTTTGAAGAAAACAACAACAAAAATTATTCAGTATTTTATACAAAAATAATTTATAAAAAAAATTATATGATTTATTCAGTATATATATATATATATATATTGAATAAATCATATAATTTTTTTTTATATATATATATAATTAATTAATTAATTGTAAAAACAATAAACAAACAAATAGTACCCTGGTAACTTAGCATATATATAATTTTGTGACATAACATTTTTTGAAAGTAAAAAAATCTAAATTTAATTATTTATTTTTTAAAAATTAAATTAAAAAAAATTGAAACAAATAACATTATAAACTTTATAAACATTAATAACATTAGTTCTCATAATAAAAATATTTACTTACGTAATAGTTGTTAGCTGTCGCGTAGTTTAATATATATTTTTTTATAAAAATTTTTTTTAGTTTCAAAATATATATTAAAACTTTTTTTTTGTTGGAAATTATTACTATAATTATTACTATTAATTAGCATTTATTTTATGGATTAAATTATTTATTTATTTATAAAAAAAAATAATTTACATGTATATCACATACATATATGTTAATATCTATTGTGACATATTGTGATATTTTTTAGACTTTTTTTTTATAAATATATATATATTTATTATCAATAAATAAATAAATAAAATGATAATTATTTACTTGTATTTTTTGAGACCCAATCAAATCAGCAGTTTTTTAAATCAAACAAAAAATTTTTTTTTTGTTGTAAACATATTTATTTAGTTATTAAAAAACATTTATTTAGTTATTATTATATGATATGAAAAAACTTAGCTATACTTTAGTGTACAGTATTAACACTAATGTATAAACACATTGTATTTATTATTAAAAAAAATTAAATTAAAAAAAAATGTAAATAAAATATTACTGTATTTGTCATCAAATATAAAATAAATATTTTTAAAACTATCATAGCAGATGCTGCATGTGCACCAACTAATATACATATTATAAAACTAAATTGATTAATTTAAATAAATTAATAAACAAACAAAAAATCAATTTAAAAAAAATAAAAAAATTATATAAATAAATGTTTACAGTAATATTAAATTAATAAATAAATTGTTAATAATTTTACATGTTTTTTAAAAAACATATTAATAAATTATTTACAGTATTATTATAATAATAATAATAATAATATACAAACAATCAAATTGTGTGCAAATGCTGGCAATGTATGGAAAATAATGTACAGTATATTCAATGCAATTATTGTGTTGTTATGCTGTGAAACATACAGTTAAAAAAAACTAATTCGATTATATTTAAAACCAAAACAATAATGACTGCCCACTAACACAGTAGGGTATATATGCGCGCAATATTAGTATTTAATGCTTAGGGAGGGGGCGGAGTTTATACAAATCATTGACTTTGTTATATAGTTATTATACACACACTATTTTATTTGTATATATTAAGTATAATCTAATGAGATAAATCTATGTGCTTGTCTGGTGCGTCTACTATTTGTTTTTGGTTTTGAATATAATTTTCAACAATTTTTTATATATTAATATTTGTATATCATATCAAACAACACACACAACACACACACACACTGTGTTTCTATAGTAACACAACAGTGTGTATACTATTATATTTAATATATAGAGTGAGATATTATAGTGTGAATGATATGATTATTATTATTATTATTATATAATGTATTAAATGTCGACATTTAGTGTCAAATCAATTATTATTAGTTTTTTTTGCCAATTGATTGTTTGAATCGCGACCTGTATTTTACCGAATTGTGTGTTTGGCCAGAGTGTGACCAGAGCCGTGAGTGTGTGTGTGTGTGTATGTTATAGGAGGACATCATTATAACCATATAAATGATGGGCATCTTCGGTAGCGCCACTATCTTCGACCCGTTAGTCGGTAAGTGTTTACCGTTTTTTTTTTGACTGTCCATGAAATTGGTCGGTAAATATCAAATTGATTATTAATAATTGATTTTTTTTTGTTTGTTTGTTGGCCACCCGCGCACACCATCCCCGACCCGACCACCGACCTCACGCAGAACGGGTAACCTCGGAGACCAACACAAGCGACGATTGGGCATTGATTATGGAAATATGCGACCGAATCGGTACCGATCCGAACGGTCCGAAAGATTGTATGCGAGCTATTGTCCGCCGACTGAATCATTCGTTGCCTTCGGTTGTCATGCAATCGCTTACTGTATGTATAATAACCAACAAAAAAGACAGACAACCCATAAGTCTTTTAGTATTGTTGTTGTCTGTTGTTATTGGATGAGTCACCACAACAACAACCTCGTCGTCGTCGTCATCATTGTTGTCGTCGTTGTTGTTGTCATTATTGCATCACTTGATGGCAATGTTTTCTCTGTTAATAGATATGAATGGTGTCTCAATGATAATGCATTTTATTTATTTATTATTATTATTATTATTGCTATTGTTGTTTGTTATCACTTGAACTGAACCCCTTAATAATGGTGACAATGATGATGACTGATGATGACTGTGTGGTTATCATCCACTAGAAGACAACCAAAAATTTATTTTTATTGATTGTTTTAATTAATATAAATTTATTTCATATAAAACCCGATACCAGTTATTGGACGCCTGTGTTAGCAATTGTGGCAAAATATTTCATTTAGAGGTAATGTAATTATATTTTTATTTATAAATAAAAACTATTTTATAGTATTATTATTATCTATTAGTTTTTTTTGTTGTTTTTGATGATAAAATGTAATGAATAATAACCTTTTATTTAGATTATTATTACTTATACTTATACTATACAATACCCTAACTATTATCTCACTATACTTGAAGTTTTATAATAATTGCATTATATATTTGATGATAAAGTCTATGAAATTATTATTATTTGACATTTTATGATTACAGTAATAATAATAATAATAATTATTATTATTTGATGAAATACATTGTAGTCATATATATTAAATAATATTAATTGCCATAAAAATATATATATACCTTAATATAGAAAATTATTTTATTTTTTTACTAATTGTATAATTTTTTTAAATTATTTATTTTGTTTTTATTTTTTTAAAGGTGTGTTCCCGTGATTTTGAGTCCGAAATACGTAAACTATTGCAAAAATCTCATCCAAAAGTGTGCGAAAAGTTGCGATTGTTGATCAAAAAGTGGGCCCAAACTGAGTTCAAAAACGATCCGCAACTAAGTCTAATACCAGCCCTTTATCATAAGCTGAAGAGCGAAGGAATGGATTTTACGTCATCCGAGCCGATCAAGAGGTCGTCGCTAGCGTTGCAACAGTTGCCTAAAAATCCTGATGTAGTTACCACTTCGCAGGAAGAAGAAGACATAGCAAAAGCTATCGAAGCCAGTCTGAAGGAGTCGGGCGGCGGCGGCGCCGGCAGTGGTTCGCCAAAAACGCCGTCCTCTTTGAGTAAATCCAATAATAATAATAATAATTCAAACAATACTAGAGTCGTCAGTAGTAGTCTATATCCGTCATTCAATTCGGACATAACAACTAATCCGATAAACAATAGTTCGTCGACTACGACAACCACTACCAACACTACCGGTAATAATAATAATACCACTAATGGTGTCGAAAAAGAGTTGACAAAAGTCAGGGCACTCTATGATTTTGAGGCCGTAGAGGACAATGAGCTAACATTTAAAGCTGGAGAAGTGATATTAGTTTTGGATAATGGGTACGGGTTTTCAGTATTTTTTTGTTGTCAATATTGTTTGTTTAATAATTATTGTTTGTTTGTTTGTTAAACAATTGGTTACCACCTAATCCAGTGATGCCAATTGGTGGAAAGGATCTAACCATCGAGGAGAAGGTCTATTTCCATCAAACTTTGTGACACTTGATTTGGAGGCCGAACCCGAACCCAGTTGTAATTATTATTATTATTTAAGAGAATTATTAATTTAATAACAATTTTTTTTAAATAACAATTTGATTGAAACAACAGATAAACCAAACGAAAAGAAAGTACAATTCAGTGAAGAGATTAAAGTAAAAGTTGTCGAAGAAAAAGAATCGGAACCGGAGATCGATGAAGAAAAGATCGACCGATTGCTTCATCTGATACACGACGCCGATCCCAATGGAGACAAATCGGATTCCGAAGAACTTCTAGTACTCGAAGGTTCGTAGTATTTGATTGATTCCCAATTGACAAAGACATTGAATATTTTTTCATTTTTTTTTGAAGAACAATGTACGGCAATGACACCGCTTATCGATCAAGAGCTACAACTAGTGGACAAAAAACACGCGGCACTGACCGCCGCCAACATTCAGCTCAATTCGGCACTCAATTTGTATCATTCGCTGATGAAGGAAAACTTTGCAATGATGGCGGCGGCGGCGGCGACTGCCAATCCATACTACGGAGGAGTAGGAGGAGGAATGCCTGTAGGCTTTCCATCGCAACCATTTCCGCCTACCTATGCTGGTGTCGTCAATCAACAACAACAGCAACAACAACAATACAGTGCAATTCCGCCACAGACTACTACACAAACAAATCAATTATACACTCATCCGACACAACATCAGCAACAGATGCCGATTGTCTCGCAGCAGATGCCTATGATGTCACCGCCACCATCACAACAACAACAGCAGCAAATGGCACAGCATTTACAACAACAACAACAACAACCTCAGCTATCGAGTGGCTATCATCAGTCGCCGGCGGCTACGGGACCACCGCCACCACAACAACAACAACACTATCAACAGCAGTCAATGGCGCCACCGATTATGTCTACACCACTACCACTATCGCAACAGTTGCAGAACCAGAATGTCGGTGGCGGCGGTATGGTTACCGCCGATGCAATGATGAACAATAACAACTATTCGCAGCCATATGTTGTCAATACTACTAGTGCTATGGCCGGACATCCGACTTCAATTGTTCCCAACAATTATCTGTCTTATTCACCGCAATTTCAACAACAAAATGCTTTAAATTGAATTTATTTTTATTTTATTTATATTTTTTTTTGAAAAACAATTGCAAACAACACTTTACCACACAATATATTATTAGACACAAAGTTATTGAATGAGTGTGTATTGTAAATATGTTTTTTTTTAAATAATAATAATAATTAAAATTCATAATAATTTTTTGTCGGGTATTAAATAACAACAAAAAATTGTCGATAAATATAAATATATATTTAAAAAGATTATAAACCAATTGTTTTTATCAACAAAAAAAAAGATTTTCTAATGAATTATATATATTATAATTAAAAAGATATTATTATTATTATTATTACAGTATATTATAATTTTTAATTATTATAAATATTTTAAAGCAACAAAAAAAATTTTATTATCAAATTTTTTTATTATTAGGCGTTTAGTAAGTAATTAATTAAATTACAAATAAATAGTTCAAAAAAACAAAATGAAAGATAAATAATACAATTTGTTTTTATTTTTTATTTAATTTATATTTTATTATATATATAAAAAAAAATGAAATAATTATCAAATGAAATCAAATCAATTGTATATTTATTTTATTTGAATACAACTGTCGATAGCATAGCACCCAAACATTGGACAATATTGTTGGTCATCAATACATCCACATTCTCTTCCAAGTGTCGTTTCGGATCTTGTTTGCCAACATTTTTGATGGCCAACTGTTCCGCTGTTAGTTTGTCCTCTTCCTCGACGGCCTTATTATACGATTTGGCCAATTCTAACATATCGATTACCGTCTTCTCATTACGGGAACAATGTTGGTCATAGTTGTCCAACATTAGGCCGTCGATCCACGATTTCTTATGCAAATTCAATAACATTTTCTGTTCCAATTCATTCTTCCGGTAGTTGATGGCAATGGAATAGTAGTGTCTATTCAGGCCGTGTATCAGGGCTTGAATGGCCGGCTTATTCAGATGACCTAAATTGCTGGTCGTCTGACGCGGTTCCTGACCCAAGACCATCATATTGGGATTAATTAGCCGAAAGGCGTCGATAACTACTTTGCCTTTAACCGACTGTATCGGATCGATAACGACGGCCACTGCCCGTTCGCTGAGGGCTTCGAAACTTTGTTGTGTATTAATATCGACACCCGATAGCCAACAACCGAAACCCGGATGCGAATGATACCAACCGACAACCATCTCTGGCCGACCAGTTTGCTTCAACATGTCCAACATCTTAGCCTGAAATACTGGATCAACTGCTTCTACACTAACACCCTAATCGTTAAAATCAGTCAATTAATAGTCAATCAAATCAGTTCCGATACACACATACCGTTCCCGACTGTGGCATAGCAAACACGTCGATCACCCGTACGGTATAGTCGTCGACAAATTCGCCTAACATCAGGCCCATCACTTCCATGGGTACGCCGGCCCGTCCGTGTTTCAACATCTTCAGCAAAGCCAACGATGATATGTATACCTGTTCGGCGGTGTCCACTACCGGGCCGTCGGTTGGTGCGGCACCCTATTTGGTTGATTGGTGTAGACAAACAAAACAAACAGATTAATTAACACATCAACAACAACAATAATGATCACCACCGATGATGATGATGATGATGACCATCGATGGCTAATAATATACATACCTGTCCTAAACTGCCTAAACCGCCGCCCAATCTTAACAAGCGATCCATTATTATTATAATCTAAATAACTAACTAAAAGACAACTATCTGTCTGTCTGTTTGATTGAATGAATAAATAGATCCAAAGATCAGTGACAACAACGACACTGAAGATTTAAAAAAGTTTTTTTTTCACTTAAACACTGATTGACTGATTGAAGTGATTCAGCGAAATATGTGTTTTTCACTGTGTATTCAATTGTATTGTTTATTATTAATGGGTATTACAGTAAACAACACATCAATTGAATACATCCTTTTTGATATTATACTAAATCTATTGTATTACTATAGATTGTTAGTTATGTTAAATGGGCCCAAATATTATTACATACACACACACACACACACACACACATAGTATTGTTGACGCTATTGATTGTAATACTTTCAATGTTTGTAATGTTTATTAAATAAATTTTTTTAAAAATTACAGTACACACAATGAGTCCTTTTTGATATTAGACTAACTCTATTGTATTACTATAGATTGTTAGTTATGTTAAATAGGCCCAAATTTTATTACATACACACACACACACACACATAGTATACATAACACTAGTATTGTTGACGCTATTGATTGTATACTTTCAATGTTTGTAATGTTTATGAAAATAAAAAAATATAAATGTTTTGAAAATTATTTATTTATTTTTGAAAATTACTAAACAATTAATTAATAAATAAAATGTTTTTTATTAATTAAATTATGTTTTTAATTGTTAATTGTTTTCAATAATAATAATAATAATAAAGTCATTAAATTAATAGTCATTTAATTAATTAATTAATGGATCGCTTGTTAAGATTGGCCGCCGGTTTGGACACCGGTTTGTTGAGCGGCGGCCGACACGTATGTGTTGCCGGCCGACGACAACGACGGCCACCGATGACTGACCATCAACTGTCGGCCGCCGTCGCATCCGCAAGACGTTCGCTGTCCGTATCGGCCGTCCAGTGGTCATCAGTCGGCAACGATAACTATTCGCCGTTCGACACAATGGACGGTCTGGTCTATCGGTTGCGGCGATGGTTCGGCTATACAACTATACCGCGCTATCGACTGCATCCGACATCCGTCTACTTATACGAGGCCTGCAGTGACGGTATACCTATTGAAAAGTTTTTCGCCGAACTTCGGCTAACCGACACGTATTTGTCGTGGTTTTTGGTCACCCAATTGCACGTCTGGATGTGTTTGGTTCGGTGTATGTCCGCCGGTCAAGAGGGTCGGGTGTTGCGCAACGAAGTGGTCGCGCGTATGTGGGATGACTGTCAGTCCCGATTGAAATTGTTGGCACCGATGACCAGCAAAGTACGGCGCCAGTCAATGGATCAGCTGTTGCAACAGTTTCAGGCTATGATCGTAGCCTACGATGAGGTGATTATTATTATTATTATTATAGTTTTGGTCAGTCATTCAACTACCAGATGATCCGCAAAAATGATCGGTCATTACCGGTGATTGTCATTACCGATAATACCCGTAATATTTTGTAGTATAATATGTGGTTTTTAAAAAAAACTACTGTATATTACCGTAAAATAACTTTTTTTTTGTTTTTAATTTTTAGCTAAATATCTATTTATTTATTTTTTTTTGATATCAGTATTACCAAAAAGTTTTAGTAAATTTATTAAAATTTATTATTATATTTAATTAAAATTTTATTTATTTATTATCCTTAATAATTGAATTAAATATTAAATTTAAGCTAGATAAGTTTATATATATAGATATATTTATAAAAAAATATACATGTGCAACTTTAGGATTAATGAGAGATATCACACAAATTTATTTTTAAAAAATTACCATGCGGTATTTATTTATTTAATTAACAAACACACACAAACAATTTATAATATTTTAAATATTTGTCTTTTATAATTATCTAATTAAAAACTAATATAATAAATTATTATCTTGATTATATTAAAAAAAAATTAACTTATCTACCAAACATTTTGTCTACTAGTGTTAGACTAACCATATTATACACATACATAAGTTTAATGTACTGTACTTTAATGTACCCTCACCCAGCCACCCACCCACCCACCCCCATTTGATAGTATTGTTTATGATTAGGTAGATTTATTATTATTATTATTATTATTATTACCACATATATACAATGTACCAAGATAATAAAATAAAACTGTATTGATTATATATATACTAGTATATATATATATATATATACAGTATCAAAAAATTTTATACATATACATATCTAATTTTTTTGGTGGTTTTGTTTGATTGATTTTATATTCAAGGGTCTACTAACTGATGATAAAACATTGTGTGCCGCACTTTGGCGAACCCTATTTATATATGAATCAATTGATCCCAAACACCTTGAATTGATGGTCAATTATATTAGGACCCAGGTATTATTATTTTTATAATTAATTAATTAATGAAATTATATTATATGTATATATATAATAATATTGATTTGATTAGTTAGTTATTTGATTTTTATTTAAAATAAACAAACACACAAAAAAATTGTTTATATTATAAAACTAAAAATAGACACTGATTTTTATATACAGTAATGTTTATTATAATATAAACAGTTAACTACTACTGTAGTATCACGTAGTATAGTAATAATAATAATAACATTAAACTAATTGATGATTAAATATACTGTATATATATATATAAATTGTTGTTTATAATAACCATGATGAAAAAATTACTAAATAATTGAAAAAATAAAATTAAAAATTAATAACTAACTAATCAATTAATATTATTATTATTATATTTTATTTTATTTTGTGTGTATTAAAAAAAATTATTTAATTACACTAATTTTAATATTTAATTTTTTATTTAATTTATTATTTTTATTGCAGCTAGATCATTTACATACAATTGAAACTGAAAAGTTTCTATTAAATGGCAAATTTGTTTGGAAACCATTTCCCCCATTATATCCATAATTATATATATATTTTTAAATTAATTATTTAAAATTATAACTCAACAGTTGTTTTACTGTAATTTACTGTAGAATATAATTAATAAGTTATTATTATTATTATTAATATATTTATCTTCAAAAAAAAAAATAATAATAATTTTTATGTATAGAGTGTACTGTAATTTATCTTCAAAAAAAATAAAATAAAATAAATTGACGATTAAAATAAAATGATTATTATTGTAATGAAAATTAAATTGAATTATTGATTTTGCAATTTTAGTTTATTTTGTTGCAAATTTTATTTGCAATATTTTTTTATGTTCTCATTATTAACTAACCATATAAAACAATTTGTGTTTATTTAAGTTGAATGTTATTTTTAAAAAATATATATATTTTCTAAGTAAATATTTATCTATATATTTCATGTCTAATAACTTTCATCGTTTGGTAAATAAATTTGATATATTTTTTAATAAAAAAAAAATTATTGTGAAATCATATTACCAGTAGTATATGAAACACGAAAATAAATAAAAAAAAATTTAAATTTAAAAATATTTAAAGATTAAATATTCTTTAAATAATAATTTAAAGTTTAGCTAAAAATAGTAAACAAATTTTTTAAATATATATATATATATACAAAATAACTTTATTTACTAAAAATTTATTAAAAATAAAAGGCTTTTAAATAAACTATTAAAATTTAATTTAATAATTTTTAATTAAAAAAAAATCATAGAAATGATTTGTTAATTGATAAAACATTACACACAAAAAAAATTGCAAATCAAATATTTTTAACTAAATATTAAATAAATTAAATTTTTTTAAATTAAATTTTCTGTACCACTGGTGTCCTTCGTGGTCGATAATATAACTTTTAAATATATATATATATTTATACAGTATATATATATATATTAATAAATATATATTTATTAATATATATATATATATATACTAAATAGTTATGTTTGATTGGCTGTTTTTAATTTTCAATCAAAGTTAAGATAATTACCCATACATTTTAGTTTATTTAAGCATTTTTTTATATGTTTAGTTGATTGGCAGCCAATCATCATCATTGGGTGCTATTAGTTAAACAAAAAAAAACCAACTGTCCTTCGCTCAGTTACACAACGCACCGGCAGATAACTGGCACCAACCACTAGCAACTCGTTATATATACAATATATATATATATACAGTATATATATATTTATAAAAATTATAATATAAATATTATACATGTATTTAAAGATACAATTTATTTGTGTGTAATCTAGTAATACAGCAAACAATTGATTTATTTTTTGTTGAGAAACTTTTTTGAAAAATTAGTTATTTATTATTTAGTTATTAAATTAAAAATAATTGAAACACTATTTGCAAATTAGTTTTTTTTCTCACTCTCACTATATATATAGCTCTCTCTCTCTCTCTCTTAAACAATAGTAAGTAATTTTAATTAATTCATACATTTTTTTTATAATTATTATTATTAATATATATATTTTTCTCTCTCTATTTATTAATATAAGTGAGAAATTGTTTGTTTATTATTTAAATTTATGTACACATAAACTAACTAATTTAATTGCAGATATTTTTGTTTGTTTGTTATTGTTTTATATAAATTATTTAAATTTATTTATAAATTTATTATCAACTATTAAATTAAATAATTTAATTGATAAATAAATAGTCAATACTATAATAAATTAATATTAGTTTAAAGTCAATTATTTAATAGTAGTTATTAAATGTTTATAAGCATAATAGTAGTAATAATAAATAACAATTTTATTTTAATATTTTTCAAATAAGTAATTTTATTTTTATTTTTAAAAATTTAGTTTTATATATATATATATAATGATTATATAATCTATACGTAAAGCTGATATACCTGTGCTATTACAGACTGATATACCAGTGCTGGTCAGTTAGCTCTGGATTGAATACCCCTTAAGGCAGTCTAAACTTTAGTATTTAAAACAACTTCAAAATTTTGATTTTTAAGTTTATTTTGGATTTTTTAAAACAGAAAAAATTACGACTACTTTATAAAAATAAATGTTTGTTTGTGTTTAATATTAAAATATTTAATTTTAAAATCAATTGCAGTTAATGTTAAAATATTATTATTAAATTTTACTATTATTATTATTACTACTACTATAATAATTATTAAATTAAAAAATTGATTATTGTCATAATAGGTAATATAATATATATATATTAATTATTAAAATTGTTTAATAATATTGCATAATATTTGAATAATTAGTTTTTAATATAAAATAACATTAATTGTAATTATTTAGTATTTTTTTAATATAATCTAATTAAATTTAATTATAATACTACAATAGTGTTAATTTAATTTTATATTATTATTATACAGTATTATAAGTAAATATATTTTTAATGTTTAGCTATAATTTATTTTATTTTATTTTTTTGTTAAGCGCAACCATTTTATAAGTAAAATATAAGTTTAAAAAATAATAAATATATATATTATAAATATATTGAATATATAAAGTCATTTTGCGTACACTTTTATTATCAGTTTCTCTCTCTCTCTCTTTTAAAACATATATTTTAAACATTAATTTCTATTAATATAATTATTATTTGTTTGTTTTATTTAATATTAGAAACTAATTGCTAAAAAGTAATTGATTGACAATTTTGACAATACTTTCAACAATAATACTAATAAACATTTTATCATCAAAAACAACAACAATGTCATCGATACCATTGATATCGTTTAGTGCCATTAAAGTCCATCAGACCATCAAACAGGAAAAGGCCCGACAAAAAAGTTTTGGGTCCACTCAGCCAACCGATGTCGCACCCGATCAATGTATTTAACCGATATGTTTACCCGATATGTTTATCCGATATGCTTACCCGATATGCTTACCCGATATGCTTACCCGATATGCTTACCCGATATCTTTACCCGATATATGTAACCGATATGTTTGCCCGATATGTTTAACCGATAGAAACTAAATATTATTATTATTATTAAATACTATATATATATATATATATATATATATATATATATTTAACCATAATTTTTTCGTAAAAATTAATTATCAACTTATAATAATAATGATCTCAATATGATTATTACATTAATATCTAATATTCCCGGTTTTTATTGAACACTTTCACACCCCCGGCAATATTATCTCTGGTCAACCCGTATGTGTGACCACACACTGGCCAACCTTCCCCCATTCCCCGACCTTGAAAATTGTAATTTTTACCGATATATACTATCTATCTATATAATAAATATATATATATATAGCTTTTAGTTGACCAGATTTATTGACCTGCCGTATAAAATAATGCATATATACGGGGAAAATGTGTGTGAAAATCGGGTTATTTATAAACCTTATAATATTTTTTGGTTTAGTTATCAAAAATCATTATAACTTCTAACATATTAACATTCTAACATAAGTCATAACTTAAACAATTTATTTTATTTTTTTAATAATTTATTTCTAGAAATCTACTGTAATATGTTTTTTTCAAAAATTATTATTATTACTAATATATTAATTAATTATATCTTAATTTAGACGATGACAGGACTCACCTAAACTATAACTCCAAGTATATGAACAGTGTTTGGGGTCTCTATAATAGGTATGCACCGCAAGCCTTCCAGAAGAACCACGAGTTGATCCAACCGTCCCCTTACAAGACCACCCCAACCAATGCCAAGTAATTTAATTAATTAGTTATTTATGATTATTATTATAATTATTATTTTTAAAAAAGTGTTATAATTTTATCATTTTTTTTGTTTGTTTGAATGTTTCAAAAAAATTTCAATTGTTTTGATGGTTTTTTAAGCAAACAAAAAAATTACCATGATAATTTTCTAATTAATCAAGCTTACCCAGTGTGTGTGTGTGTGTGTGTGTTTTCAACAACAAAAAATTATACCATTGTTTTATATACTGTATAAATTTATTTATTTATGTGTGTGTGTGTGTGTAAATGTGTGAACTAGCTAAAAAAATTATGTTAAAATATATTTATTTTATTTTTTGAAAAAAAATTAATTGACTTGAATAGTTTATGTATCTATTGACTTGATTATAATATTATAAGTACTAGTAGTCTAGAGTTGCCAGGTTGTAAATAAAACACATAAATAAAGGGTTTCCATAAAATAAATAAATAATTAAATTATATTTTAAGTGAGATAGCAAACTAAATACATGTAGTATTTATTTAATTAACAATAATTAATATTATTATAAAAGTTTAAAATATTCAAAATGTTTTTTTTAAATATAAATATATATAAAAAAAATGTAAACAATATTTTATATATTATTTATAATTATTTATGGATAATATATTTTATAGTTTATACAAAAACATTTTTTTTAAATTTGCAATTTTTACATTTAATTAATTAAATCATTAATTGATTACACAAAAAATAATTTAATATATTTAACAATAATGTTTACAAAATATAAATATATAACCTCAACAAATGTACTAGGTTAAAATTATTTTTTTTATCTATTTGGTAATCCTATTATCTACCCCCACCCTTTTAACACACATATATATATATATATATATATACATACAAACATCTATATCATTGTAATTTATAATCTAGACATAAACGATAAACACACACACATACACAACAAAAATTAATTCAAAAAAAAAAATATTTATCATGGTGCTTTTGTAATAATCAATTGCATTTTGCATCATTTTTATATTTTATTATAATAATAATATTATTATTAATATTCATTAGCTAATTTATTTGTTTAATACTTACGCACACACACACACACACACACACACACACACACACACACACAGTAAAGTGAAAAACAAATAAACTTATAAATAATATATCAATTTATTTATTTATTAAGTCAATGAGGTATATAAAATATAAAATAATATATATTATATATACTGTATATTTCACAAGTTTTTTTAGTTAGTTGCATAAAAAATACAGTATATATATATATATATATATATACGTATATAACTTATAAAATATGTATATAATAGTAATAAAAAAAATGTATTTAATTTTTTTCATATGACTTGTGTGTGTGTGTGTGTGTGTGTGTGTGTGTGTGTGTGTGTGTGTGTGTGTGTGTGTGTGTGTGTGTGTGTGTGTGTGTGTGTGTGTGTGTGTGTGTGTGTGTGTGTGTGTGTGTGTGTGTGTCTATCTATATGTATGTATATACAGAATATACAGTATATATATAAGATAATAGTGAGAGTCATACCATTTATGGCATTCATTACTTATTAATTCAAAATTCAATGCAATCGTGAATTTTCTCTCTTTAACTCTCTCTCTCTCTCTCTCTCTCTCTCTCTCTACGTATATAAAAAAAGAGTTATTATCTAATCGAGTGATTCAAATATATATATATATTTATGTGTGTGTGTGTGTGTGTATGTGTTATAATTTATTATATGAAAAATAAAATAATTTATATTAAAAAGTTATATAGAAATAATATATATATATATATATAATTTTTTATGATGTCACTAATATACTGTATAAATATTTTTTTTACTCTATATAACTTATAATATAATAAGTGTGATATATATATATATATATATATATATATATTAAATTGAAACAAATTGCATTAAATTGAAATTTTGTTTTTTTTTAAATTAATTAATTAATTAATTATTTTTTATTTTCTCTCTAATTTGCTAACAGATTCATGTGAATTGGTATCGGAAGGGGTGGTCTATAATTGGTGGCCAACCTATATATATATATATATATAAATATATATACAGTATATATATATATTTGGTGGCCACCAAAATACCAGTGTCTTTGCAAATCAAATATAAAATATATATATATATACAGTAATAATAATAATTATTATTATTTATATAATACTGTATAAAATAATAATTGCAAAGACCGTTCAAATTATTTTTTCAGAAAAAAATATCTAAATAAATATAATTAAATGTTTTGTTTGTTTTTTTTTATAAAATTAAAAGGAAAAAAATCTTTTTTTTACAATTTTTATTGTTTTGTTTTAATATTAACTATTTTTTTCGATAATTTTAATATACCGTACAATATGTATAAGTATTATAATATAAATAATAAAATAAAGTATGATTTATAACATACACGCTATATAGTGATTATTAAAATATATATCTATAAATGTTTTATTATTATTATTATTATTATTATTATTATTATTATTATTATTATTATTATTATTATTATTATTATTATTATTATTATTATTATTATTATTATTATTATTATTATTATTATTATTATTATTATTATTATTATTATTATTATTATTATTATTATTATTATTATTATTATTATTATTATTATTATTATTATTATTATTATTATTATTATTATTATTATTATTATTATTAGTTTAATCACTGACCACACAATAATAATGATAATATTAAATATATGTGTTTGTATTAAAAATGTATTGTAATTTTTTTTTTAAAATTTATTAAATGTATGTAAGTTTGTTTGTTTGATATATAAAAAAAATCTGTTTAAAAAAATATAATATAAATAGATTTTTTTTGTTTAAACAAATGAATCAATAATATATATAAATATATAAAATAAACTTTTAGTTAAATTATTTGGTCATTAATTTTATTTATTTTTTATATATACATACAATGTTTAATATATATATATAGGATTTTGCTATTCATTGCTATTTATAAGACAATAGGAGAGAGAGAGAGAGAGAGAGAGAGAGAGAGGGTTGTTATATTGTGCACCTGTAGACACCTGCAGTTAAAAGTACATTCATTATCATCAAGTGTTAGTGTGTGTGTGTGTGTGTTGCGTAAGTCATAGCATCCATTGATTATATTAATATACTGTATATATAAAAAAATTTTAATAATAAATTATAAGATACACACATATTCTCTCTCTCTCTCTCTCTCTCTCTCTCTCTCTCTCTCTCTCTCTCAATATCTACAGTATATGTATAGATAGATAGAATATATCTGAAAATATTCTGTATATAACTTATATATACCTTATATATCTATATATCATTATGTCTTCAAAAAAAATATATATATGTATAACAATCATATCACTAACTAACTCATTAATAACACTACTGTAAAAGCCCAGTCATCTGAAAATGACCAGGCGCCCACACATATATTTATATATATATATATATATCAAAAACAGCAGGGTCATAATTGCATAATCATTTTTATACTGTATTAACACCATATGTATACTACTATAGTATACTGTATATGTTTGCTGATATGCATATGCATTGCATTTAGCACCTGTATCTATGTATGCATGCATATACTATATGTATGTGTATGTGATTATTATAAATGTGATAAAATGCCCTCAAATTATTTATATATATATTTTTTGATTAAAAACTTTATATAATATTTATTTGTATCACAAATATATATATGATATTTAGGAACAACATTATTATTGGCGACCCCACCACCATATATACAGTACATATTGTGTGTATATATATATATCCCAAACTTACGTAATACGTGTCATACGTAATACACGTATATATATATATATTAATGTGCATTGAATATGACTACTACCCCTCCCTGCCCGGGGGTGGGGAAGGGGAAGGGGCAAAGGCAACATAGCATTGGATAAAACTGTTTTTAACAAAATCAATGCCAGGTTTTGGGTGCTTATACACACACACACACTATACATACATATACATACCATTACCAGAGATAACACTACATAACCCCATATATAATGTAATAAAACATAAAAGGGTTGCCAACAAATATATACTGTATATGAATATATATATAGTATAACTTTTTCCCCCCTATAAATACTTTACTACACATTTATACAGGGGTTGTAAAAACTCATAAAATATTATTATTGTTGTTTCACTAACTAACTAACTTAAAAACCCAACCAACCTTTCAATTGATGACTTACGTTATATAAGAGTGTGTGTGTGTGTGTGTGTGTGTGTGTGTGTGTGTGTGTGTGTGTGTGTGTGTGTGTGTGTGTGTGTGTGTTATAAAAGTATTTTTTTGTTTGCTTTTTTTATATATATATATACCCCTACAGTACCAGTACTACGACTACATGTATAGTGGATATGATATGTCAAACACTGGTTTCACACTATACACACACACATACACACACATAGACACACACACACACACACACATAGACACATAGACACATAGACACACACACACACACACACACACACACACACACACACACACACACACACACACATAGACACACACACACACACACACACACATACATACACACACTTGTATAAAGAGAGAGAGAGAGAGCACTGTTAGCCTACCAATAGATGTCGGTGTTTGCCGTAATGTTATGTCTATCAGTGCTTTGTGTTGTGTCTCCACTGACTCTCTCTCTCTCTCTCTCTCTCTCTCTCTCTCTCTCTCTCTCTCTCTCTCTCTCTCTCTCTCTCTCTCTCTCTCTCTCTCTCTCTCTCTCAATGTTATGTCTGTAGTTTTATACACACAGTGTTAGTGTATATATAAAATCATATCACAGTATATATGTGTGTGCGTTAGTAAAGTAATGGCCACTCGTATGGTATGTATATATCTATCTATATATTGTTAACTAAAAAATTTATTAATTATGAATGAAAATTCATTGATAACTAAATATTTTGAATGGGATTTTCATTCAAATTAACTAATAATTAATATTGAATAAAGTTTTCAGTCAATTTACGTGAAAATTAAAAAGTTTTCATTCAAATTATTAATTTTTTGATAATCACTCATTCACTGCAACAAAAATTTTTTTTTTTTTTTCATTATTCATACATACATACAGTATATATATATATGTAGCCATCAATTGCTCGCTATTATACACATAGCAGAGCGCTTATACACAGTGTATGTATGTGTGGTTATACTGTATGTAGTATTAAAAAAAAACTACATAAGCTTTTTGTGTGTGTGTGTGTGTACTGTAGTTGTTGTGTTTTGTTGGTTGTCTGTATGTATATACTGTAGTGTCAAGCGAGGAGATATACATACATATATATATATATATAAAATAAAAAGGGCTACCATTGCTGACTGTGGGCTCGGGCTGTCAAACATTTAGTTAAGTTTTTTTTGTTGTTGTTGTTGTTGGTGACGTTATCTCACCCCTTATAATATATCGGGAGGGGTAAGGCGGGGGTCACCACCACCACCACCATCATCATCATCATCACTGACCATCATCACTTGGGTGGGGGTGCTATTGGATGGACATATCATATATATACATGTATATATAATTTAGTTGATACCCCCCCCTCACTAACCATAAACCAATTGATGGCTACATTGGTGTTGTTGTGATTATTATATAAAAGTTTTTTTTTAATTAATTAGTTATTAATAATAATAATTATTATTATATATATATATATATATATATATATAWAWAAATAAGTCTACGCTATATAAATGTCATATCATTTATATGTATATTATATATGATATATCTATACAGCAATTGTCGGTATAATTAGTGTTGACTATAAAAAAAATTATACATCAAAATGAAACCAATGGTATTATTATTATTATTTATATTATTATTATTATTATTATATGATTTTTATTTACATATAACATATCCTTCCCATTACAATATCCGATTGAATGGCAATTAATATATATATTTATTGATATATATATATATATATATCGATATTTAGTTAGTATTAATTGATATAATATATTGATGTCATTCAACTGATTTTTGTGCGATAATCTGATTGACATTCAATGAAAAATTGACAATTAATTGCATATTTAAATGAAAAAAATATATAATATATAATAACTTGTATTTACTATTAAATAATAATAAATTGCTTTATCATAGTCTCTCTCTTTCTTTATATACAATGTATTCATATAATAATAATTATTATTATTAAGAAATTATATCATAATTGTTAGTATATTATAATTATAATTAATTAACAACTTTTTGTTTGTTTGTTTGTTTGTTAGTTAGTTAATACAAAATAATTATTTCTATAATACATTTTTATTTAGTTTCCCTTTAAAACAAATTTTTTAAATCCCCTTTAAATACCAATACACTCACATAAACACATACACACACACACACACACTGTTTAAATCATATGTATTGGTATTGTTTAGCATAACTTTTTTTTATTACATTATATTATATAATATTATTTTAATACATAATGAGAGAGAAAGAGAGAGAGGACTTTATATTATTATTTTTATGGATACCCTTACATACCTTATATATATATATATATATATTAAAACATTCATATATTATATAATATGTTATATATATGTGTGGTGTGGATATAATTAGTAACTAACTATACATAAGCGCTTATATATATTGTATAAGTGCATTATGTTGTTATTAATTAAGGCATAATTTTATTTTTTTGGTTTTTTTTGTTGTGTTGTTGGTTAGACATTGAATTTTTTATATATATATATATTATTATTGTTGTTGTTTAATACAATAGCTAAAAGTTTTTTTTTATATAATATGTACTGTATATTAGTATTATTATGATTATAACAATAGTGATTATATATATATATATATAATTTATATAATACTGTAGTGTAATGAATAGCCATATTTACTAACACTAATGTATAGTATATTTACTGTATATTACACACACATGTATATAATATATATATATATATATATATGTATGTATATAATTTATTTATTATAATATATATATATATATATATTAAAAATGTTTAAGCTAGCAACTTTATATATATATATATATATATATATATTGGCTCATTGACATGATATATGCGTTTATTAATATTATAAATATATATATATATATATATATGTATAATAAATGGTTAGTTGTCATTATAATGTGAAATATATATATAATATATAAAATGTAATTAAATTTGTATAAAATAACACTTAAATGACATAAATATTTCAATGCTATTCACCGCTCAATTAAAATTATAAGTCAAACAACGCTTTTTTTATATATATATATATATATATTTCTACAGTAAAAAAATGACTATTTAATTATAAATTTTTGATTAATTAATTAATTAATGAATTATTAGTTTTAATTTTTTTTTATTTGTTTGATAAAGTCAATAGTATATGTCTTTATTATTATTATACTATAATAATAATAATAAATTAATAATTATGTGTTTATTAAACTTCAATTAATCGATAATCAATCGTTGAATATATTTTTGTTATTATTATTATTAGTAGTAGTAGTAGTAATGTTTGTAATATTGATATTTAAAAAAAAGATATTATTATTAGTAGTAGTATTTTTTTATTAACATTTTTATTTACATGTACTAAATATATATAAAAAGATATTTAATAGTTATTATATATGAAACTTATAATACTATAAATTTACACTACAGTACATATCATATATAAATATATATATATATATTATATTTACATTGATATTAATTAATTAAGTCATATGATTATTATTAGCTAAAGTGATATAATAATGTTATTATTATCTTATTATGTAATATATATATATATCATATATAATTTTTTTCTATCATTAATTAATAATTATTTTTTTTATTTTTAGGAAACGGTTAGTCCATCGCACTGTGAAACAAGTGGTGCCAAACAAGTTGTCAGCGGTGGTGGCGGCGGCGATCAGCACTCATCGTCGTTGGCCGCTCTAACCGATGGCCGCACATCCAAATCGGACGCCAACTCCGGATCGTCATCATCTGATGAGGAAAGAGTTGGTGGTGTAGGAGTGATGGGAGGCCCTAAACCAACCGGTGCAAATAATAATAATAATAATCAGTCCACACCACAACAAAACTGTATATATATTTATATTTTTTTATTGATATCCCTAATAACTACATACCTAAGCTCTTAAAATCGATAATCCATATAATCTTATTGTTTGTTTGTTTGGTTTGTCCTACAGATATGAGTCGTTTCTCCAATTCTGCCTATCAGTCGTCGCTGGCATCGCCGGCAGCGGCGGCCGCAGCGTCGGCCCAAAAGCGGCCAATGAATGCGTTTCTAATATTTTGCAAACGACACCGTAGTGTTGTACGCCAAAAGTATCCGCATCTGGAGAACCGTAGTATTACGAAAATACTCGGCGAATGGTGGGCAGCCCTCGATTCTGACCAGAAACTCAAGTACACGGAACTGGCCCGTCAGTATAAGGAAGCCTTTATGAAAGCTAATCCACATTTCAAATGGTATAAGACTACCGATTTAAGGTATGGGTCCAAAGTTTTTAAGTCGTGTCTGTCTAATCTCATACCCCATAGTCCACCCCAACCCTAACCCTAACATCTATCAATTTCTCTAATTATGTGTCAATAATTATTTTTCTGTCCTCCTCCGCCCCTGATTAGGCCACCGCCGCCTACAGTAGGTCCACCATCGCCTCCTCACCCGCCGCCACCGACACAACCGCCGCCATCATCAGCAGCAGCGCCATCAATGTCGGTGCCAATGAATACACACGAATACAATAATAATAATAATAATAATAACAAATCATTGGTACCGCCGCCAGTCAGTCAACAGTCAACACCGAAACCACCGAAAAAGCGTTATTTAGAAAATCTAGAAAACGGCGAATATAATAGAGGTATGTATTTTATGTTGGAATTTTACGGGTAATTACCGGTAAAATTTTTTTTAATTACCGGTTCTAATAACAATTGACTCCCGAAATATATAGTGACAAATCATAACAACTACAACAATAGCAACAATAAGATCACAAATAATTATACAAACGGTGAACAACAACACCAACAATCTTCTTCTTCTTCTTCATCATGTTTTACTTCATCCATATTATCGGCCGCCGCCTCATCGCCGGCCAAAATAATTGGTACAAATAATAATAATAATAATTCGGGAACGGGTCCGCCGATTTTGGACATTGAAACTGCTAACCGTGTTATCGAAGACGCATTGAGCGGATCTCTATCATTGGGCTCAATGTCGTCTTCGTTGTCGTCGTCCAGAAATTCGGCGTTGAATTCGCGTCGGGAAAAGTCGGCATTCAATTCGGATATAATCAATGGCCACATCAACAGCGTTCTGGAACAGCATTCGATCGAAACCAGAGAACTCGAGGCACTCGAACGTAGTTCACAGCAACGACTGTTGTTGGACCACCAAGAAGTTAGCGGTGGTCACCATCACCACAGCAGCAGCAGCAGCGGTTCCAATACCATCGGCAACAATACAAATCATCAAATGAGTACAACAACAACGGGAACTGTCGACAGTAGTGCAACAAATCACATGACAAGAACATCAAACAACAACAACAACAATCGGGTCGTCGTATCGTCTGATGATGACATCGACAACGACGATGAAGACACTAACCATGCAATGGATGTTACGGAGAACAACAACAACAACAGTGTCGCCTCCGCTGCCGCCGTCGTCGTTGCCAATGACGCCGAAGAGGAGGAAGAAAAACCATTAAACCTGTCGGCCTCTACTGTTCTTCATACTTCCAATCAGCACATTATCGACCATTTTATTGATAAGCTGTTGAGCACCGGTATTCCTGAAGGTATGTATGGTTTTTAATATATATATATATATATATATATATATATATAACAATTACCGATATATTTAATAAATTGTATCTTTTTTCTCATTCAGGAGAGTCCACATCTTCATCATTACATTTATCTTTGCCTTTCTATAATAATAATAATAATACATCTGATGATGAAAATAATCAATTATGTAAAAATAGGACTAATAATAATAATAATAATAATTTTAATTATAATTCAAATACAAATTGCAATACAAACGCCAATAGCGCCAGTGGTGGCGGTGGTAGTGGTAAAGGTCATCATCAGCAGCAGCAACAGTCAAGAAAGGAGAGATCGTGTAAAGGAAAACGATATCTGGAAATACTGTCGGAAACAAAACTAACAAAACGCAGCCGTACTGTGTCGTCGATGAGCGCCAACAGTGGCGGCGGCGGCGCCGGTGATGATAACCATCATCACCACCGGTCGGACCATACAAAAGACGGGTCGTCCTCTACCACCACCGCCGCAGCCGGTAGTACTGGTAGTGTTTCCAAATGGGTTTCGGGCGGTTTCGACTTAGAGGAACACATCAAACAGTTGCCACAATTGGGTGATACACATCTGCTCAATGCGCTGAGTCATAGCAAAGCTAATAAAACGGTTAACAATTCGTCGTCGTTGTCATTGTCGGCTTCATTGTCGACGACGACAACGACAATGAGAACTAGCGGTTCCAATGATCTAATGATTAAAAATCAAGAGTCAAACAACAACAACCACATGAATAGCCATTTGATTGGTGACAACAACAACGATGTCGTCGACGATGACAACGACAATAATAGTGATAATGATTATGAAGATAACGATAGATTGATGATTAATAAGAAGAATCAGTTGATTACTGATAATACTCTCAATACTAGCAGTGAAAGCACTTTATTATACAATCATAATAATAATAGTAATGATAATAATAATGACGAATCAGTTTCTTCTGTAACACCGACGACGACAAAGTCAAGCGGAGACAACAACAACAACAGCAGCAGCAATAGGATGGACCAAATGGGCGGCGAAGAGTTGATGTCAACAACAACAGCAACAATCAAAGATGATATGAAGATGAATGACTTAACTAATGTTAACCACACCACTACTAAAGACATGATCGTCAGCAACAACGACACTATCACTACTACCACTACTACTACTACTACTACTACTCAGGGAATTGAATTCAGTGATGGTTTGGTAGCGTTGGCCGAAGTAGCTCTCCAGCAGCAGAGGAATACCATCTGATCTATTGATTAGTTGATTGATTGATTGATTGGAGAGGTATACACACTACCGGTACAACTATACAAACACACCCACACACACACACATACACTCACAAACTATGATAACAAACATACCATCAATACCTTGAACCGCCATCATATAAACAACAGCTCCACACACCTCCTCCTATTCCGCGCGCCTCCTCTTTCACTGAATATATATATATATATATATATATATATATATATATATATATTACACTTGAATTTCTTCTATAAAGAGAGAGAGAGAGAGAGAGAAAGAAAGAGAGACAGAGATTATTGTATTTCTAATTATTTTTGCACATATTTATTATTGATATAAATAATAATTACTGTATAATATATTGATATTTATATTTATATACAGTATATATATATATATATATATATATATAAATATATATATAAATGGGTAACTGGTATTTCTTTATATATTGAAAAAAAATAGATTTTTTAAAATTAATTAATTATATTATAAATAAATATATAATTTATATATTTATAGAGAGATTTTCATTTCTCTAATTTAATTGAGAAAAAAAATCACAATTTTTTTTGAAAAATTATAAAATACAGAGATTTTTTTTTTTGAAACCATTCGATACGCTTATCATCAAAATATTTATAATAAAAAAAAACAAAAATATATATTTAAATAATATAAGTCAACAACAAAACAAAAAAATCTATTTTTATCACAAATTTTTTTATTAGTAGTTAATTAATTAATTAATTTTTTTTTGTTAATTATTTTTGTGATCAACTCTAACAACAATATTATTATTAATTAATTTAATAATAAAAATGATATCAAAAAAAGGCTTAACATTATATATATATATATATAATATAAATATTTTTAAAAATAACGATTCATATATAAATTATATATATATTTATATTTATTGAATTATTTTTGGTAATTTGATACATAATATATGTATATATATTATATATATATATTTATGAGATTTCAGGAATTTTTTTTTCGATAACTATTTGTAATATTTTTTCCCACATTTTTTTTAAACCCCTATTTTCTCTATCAAATCACTATATAATTTTAATTACCGTAATATTATTATTATTATTATTATCAAAACTACTCTTTTTTTTAGCTATCATTGCATCAATTTTTTTATTTATAATATTTTTTATTGTTGTTGTCTCTATCACCTCATATTATAAATAACTGTTTTTTTTAATTATTATTTCATACAAACAAAATGTTAAGCCTTTTTTCTGTTTGTTTTATTTTTTAATAAATATATATTGATTTTGGGAATCAAAAAACAAAATCAAATGCCAGACTTAAGATCTGAACCGAAATTTCTTTTATTATTTTATTTTTATGATTTGTTGAGAAAGAGAGAGAGAGAAAAAAAATTATAATTTAAATATATATTAATATTATTTTACATAAATATAGAGACAAAAAATTGTATGTATATATATATATACAGTACAATATATATATTTATAAATGTCAACAACAACAAAAAAACTATATATAAAAGTACGGCTATTTTTTTGGGGGTAAAAATTTATCCCCAAATAAAAACAAACAATTAAATGAGTCGATTAAAAGATTTTTGTAAAAAAAATTATATATTTTCACAAATATAACGTAAATTAATTTTTTGTTGTTTTTGTTATGTAATAATAATTAATTAATTAATTAAAAGAAAAATTGGTTTTTTGAGTGATATCAAGAATATTCTGCTAATACAACAACAAAAATATATTATATATATATATAAATATATTAACAGAATATTCTTAGGAAAATAATTCAAGTGATTGTGTATAAAGTTATTTAAAAAAAAAATATAATAATAATAATTGATTAATGAATTTGTTTTATTTGTTGAATTTGTATTTAATTATTATTATTAAGAAAGCAGTTATTATTGATTATTATTATTATTATTGATTTTTAATTGTAATGTAATTATTATTATTATTATTAATTATTATTATGAATTTATCATAATTTAAAAACAAACAAACAATTAAAACAAACAAACAAACAAAAAACAATTGAATTCTATGCAGCAAATTGTTATAAAAAGACAAAATATATATATATATATATATAATTATCTAATTAAAAAATAAAGCGTTTAGTTTTTATTTTAATAAAACGCTAAAAAATCATATGACAACTACTTAAAAAAAATTAAAAATAAATAATATCAAAAAATTATAAATTAGAGTTAATAACAATTCAAATAACAATTCAAATTTTTAAAAAAATATATATAATAATAAAACTCTAATTAAATGTTGCATTTTAATTGAAACATTATATACGTATATAAATAATTCAAAAAAAAAATTGTAAGTTATTATTATTATTATTATCATTATTCTTATAAGTTATAAATTATATATAAATATATATATATTTATATATAATTGAATTACAAACGAAATATCTCACAAAACACACAAACATTAGTTTGAAAATCAATTGTTTAAAATCCAACAAAAAAACAGTAAAAATGTGTCTATAAATGTGTAAATTATTAGTAATTAATTTATATATTAAAACTAATTTTTTGTATAAAACAAATACAGTATATATATTGTGAAAAAACACACAAATATAAACAATATTATTATATAAAAAAAATTTTGGTGACTATAATATATATTGTATATTACATATAAATTTTTTTGTAACATCATAGACAACAATACTGTTTATTTAAATGTCATATTAAACAACAACAAAATTATTAATTGTTTGTTTTTTATATATATAAAAAATACTATTATTTATATGATGTGTATAATTGAGATATATATATATATATGTGTATAAAATATAGACACGAGAGTTGGGTTACAAACAAAATAACTGAGTGAGAGATAGGGATAGATGTTTCAAAATATTTTATTTATTTATTAAAAAAAAATTATTAATAATTAATAAATTTTTTTTTATAAATAAAAAAATTTGTTGCTCTTATGCTTTGTGTGTCAGTCAGTATGTGTTGTGTGTTGTGTTATGTAATAAATTAAATAATAATAATAAGCTATCAATTATTGTGTAAAATTATAATATTTTTTTTACACACATATATATAAATTTATATATTATTAGATCATATAATTTATTATCAATACTATTATTATTATTATTATTTTAAGTGATATTTTTTGTTTGATTTGTTTAGATTATTATTGATATTGATATGAATTATATATATATATAGTAATAGTATTATAAAAAATGATTTATTTTTTAAATAATTAATTTAATGAGAGTACCGGTAATTTGATTTGATTTTTGTTTTTTTAATAGACATCCCATACACTCAACAAATTGAAAGCTTATTATTATTGTTGTTGTTTAGCTTACATACACACACACACACACACATACACTCATGACCTCCCGGAGCGTCCAATTGTTTTTATTATTATTATTATTAAAACATTATTATTATTATTATTATTAAAAAAAATACATACATAAACATACACGACTGTGCCCTTTAATTTAATATTTAAATTAAAATAAAATTGTTTTAAAAAAAATAATTGTTGAATTATTTATATATATATATTTTTTTTTTGAAAAACATAATTAATTTTATTATTACCAATTATTATAATTATTAATTAATTAATTATTTTTTTTCCGATCATTTCATGATATCATTTAAATAATATTTAAATAGATTATACAGAAAACAAATATATATTTATTTATTTAAATACGATTTAATTACTGTATATATAATTTATATAATATATAAATATATAATTTGTCTACACATATCGTTTTGTTTTGTTTTATTTAATTACCATCAGTTAATTAATTAATTAATTAATTAATTAATTAATAATAATTACAGTATTTATTTTATTTAATTTTATTTTAAATGTAACACAACATCGAAAAATAATGATTTTTGTTTTATTAGTTTTTTTTAATAATATTTATAACGATTAGTTAGTAATAATAATAATAATAATAATATATATATATATTTATAGTTTCTCTCAATTACGGTAATGTTTTTTATGTCCACAAAAAAATAATATCATAACTATATTTTGTTATTTTGTTTGTTGCACTGTTGTCTTTTCAATTGCTGGCACCTCCTCCTGATCCCCGAGCAGTACCGCCACTACTACTGGTATGATAATGATTATTATCATCCATCGATAGGTTAACCACTTGATGTTGTTGTTGATCGCCAGAAGCCGATCCACTACTACTACCACCACTGATGCTGGCATTAGCGGCCGCGGCCACTACCGCTGCTATGGCAGCTGCCTGTTGGGCACCCGGCGTTGTCGGTGTCGTCGACATTAGCTTCTGTCTGACTTCTCTGATCTTCAGCTGAAGTGTATTCTTATTCGGAAATATCGACGAATATTTCATCTGAAATTCTGCCGTTTCTTGAGCTATAGGAAGAAGAGTACAACAAGTGTTAAAAAAAACATAAAAACCACGAAATCAGTTACAATCAGATCCATTACCAGAAGGAAACAGTCCTTTTTCATTGAAGAAGTGCATCACTAGCTGTCGTCTCTGATCTAATGTCCGGCGAAGTGATGAACTTTTTTCTGTTTCGATACCTATTTTGATGAAACAAAATGAAAAAAAAAACATAAAATTAGTTCAGTGTTTGTAATCATTCAACAACAACGACAACAAAAATCCAATTACCGGCTGGAGTTCGCGGTGAGTTCGGGTCACAATCTGGCGAATTGGTGGTCGAGGCCAGTGCTTCGCCCAAATTAAATGTCGGACCAAAAAACGTATTGCCCGACGATGTTGTTGTCGAAGTGTCCGGAGTAGTAGCAGAAGCACCACCAGTGGTTAGATTGGCTGTTTCGGGAGTTCGGGGCGCGCCAGAGGCAGCGCTCGACGGAGTATTAAGCGTATGATTATTATTATTATTATTAGTGGCCATCGACGGTGTGTTGGCGTTGGTGGTGGCAGATGATGTAGATGAGTGACTCGTTCGCTGTTTTTTGCGATAGGAGCTAACAAAAGCGGCCGTCAAACTGGGCGACAATGGAATCGGCGTAGTCGGCGTAGCCGTAGCCGAGGTCAACAACGGCGTACGGCTGGTCGGTTTGAATTCGGGTAGTTGGGCAAACTGGCGTTCAAAGTTAACCTCTTCCAGTACACGATCCATGGCATCCTTTTCGCTGGTGGGCGACGAGTTGTCGTCGTCTTTGGTTTTGTTATCGTCATCGCCACCGCTTCCGCTGCCAGTGTTTGATTCGCCGCCGCCGTTCGTACCTTTCGGCGGCTGCTTATTGCGTGCCTTTCCGAGCTGTGCCGGTGTCGGCGCCAAAACAAACTTGGTTTCGACACCACCACCACCGCCGGCGCCAGTAGTGGTGTTAGTTTTAGTTGCTTTTGATTTGGTTGAGTTGGTATTGTCGACACCACTACTACTACTACTACTACTACTAAACGGTGGCTCATTGGGCGGCGGCTCTACTTTGACTGTTGGAATAGTTAGCATCTGAATGGGAGGCGTCAATGTCGACGATGTTGTTGTTGTCATCGTTGTCGATAAGTTACCAGTTTTCAGATTCATAACTGTCTTATAGTAAAGCGGTTGTTCAGCTATTGTTGTTGTTGTTGTTGTTAAGTGAGTGGATGTGTCACTAGACGACGACGACGACGACAACAAACGGGGTGATTGTGCGACAATAACAGGAGATCTCTGTTGTGCGATGTGGTAATGATGATTGACAGACAATTGTGTTGACGGTGACTGAGGAGGAGCTGCTGGTGGTGGAAGTGGTTTAACCATATTCTTGTATTTGCCAGTCATATAACCACCACCGCCGCCGCCGCCGCCGGGAGAGGAGGAAACAACTGATGTCTGTGTTTGCGATTTAGTTGCTGTTGTATTGATTATAAGCGATGAAGAAGTAGCTGTTGTTGTTGTTGTGGTCAACAGTACTGTCGACAGTGTTGTTGGTGTTGTCTGATTGCTGCTAATAACTGGTATAATCAGCGACGACGGCAGCGAACTATGCGACAGTAGTTTCTGAACTACAGTAGAACCAGATCGCGAACTGACGGTTATATCTTGAGATGATTGAGTGGTGTTGTTATCTTCTGCTAAAGATATTTGATTGTTGTTGTTGTTGTGTTCACTGACTGTTGTTGTTGTTGTGACCACAGGTGATAGTATTAGACCAGTAGTAGAGATGTTGTCGTTGTTGTTAATCATCGACAGCTTCTGTAGAGGAGTGGTAATTGACGACAACAGCAGACTATTATTAACTGATTGAGATCTAATAGATTTAGGTGTTGTAGCCATAGATTCGGTATTGTTTGGCGACGAATCCATTGATGTCGAGATCGGTGAACTAAAGCGAACGCTCGGCTTCTGTTGCTGAACGTCACCGGAGGACGACTCGTCTTCAGCTACCACTGACTCTTTGCACTTGAGATCGATAACCATAGCATTGGATGCTTCGTCGTCGTCGACATCGGAAGCGGACAACATGTCCACCACATCGCCGCCGCCGCCGACGACGACAACGACGCCATCACCGTAGACACCGACACCATGTTGTTTGCCATCAGCGGAATCATCGCTCAATGATTTTGATTTAGATTTTAGATGATTTTTGGCAAATTTCTTATCATTTTCGTTCAGACCTCCGCCGCCGGCGCCGCCGCCATTCGGTATCATATTCGGCTGCTGTCCACCACCGGCAGCACCGCCGCCACGGGAACACCATTTCCAATCGGGATGACGTTTAAAGTGTGCCTCTTTGACCTGAAATGCCAGATCGTGATACTTTTGCTTTTCTTCGTGTCCTAACGAGTACCACCATTCGCCGAGAATCTTACTAACTGTACGGTTATCTGAATTCGGATGGCGCTGATGTACCAGTGCTCGGTGTCGTTTCGAAAATATCATAAACGCATTCATCGGTCGACGAATATGTTGTTTACCCGAACCGCCGGAACCTTTCAAACCTCCTTTGGTTGTAGTATTTGCGCCGTCTTTGTTATCTTTTGAACCTTTAATTTCAGGGTAAATGAAGAGATTAGACATTAAAAAAAACTGTCATTTTTTTGTTTGTTTGGTTTGAATGGTCTACTAATCATTACCTGAATTCTTCATCTGTTGCAATGCACTCAACGATTGACTTCTTCGCTTATTATATGTCATACCATTTTGCTGGTACTCCTTATTATTATTATTAACCCCGCCATCAGTACCACCACTACCTCCTCCTCCTCCTCCTCCACCACCACTACCGGACTTGTCATTAGTCGAACTACTATTGTTGGACATCTCAAACACATCGTCATTATCAGAGTTGTTGTCCATATGAGGCGGTGCCGACAAAGGCGGCGACGATATGCCTGACGACGATGTTGTTGTTGTTGTTGTAGCCGATGATGGTGTTCCCGTCAAAAACGGTACCAACGAATGCCAGGGAAACACTGGTATAGGTTTACCATCACTGGTAGTGGTGGTGGTGTTGGATGTATGCTGTGATGATGGATGTATTGGCGAAAATTTTGATGAATCAGATGATGCAATGGGTGTCATAAAAATAATATCGTTTTGATGCGGATGCTGTTGTTGATGATGATGATGATGATGATGGCCGTTAAGTGTCATATTATTGGCTACTGATGATGATAATGATGATGATTGGCTATTGTTTCTGATGGTAACGGCAGCAGTGGATGATGTCGGCTGAAATACGGGCAACAAATGGGTGGCCGGCGTTATAATGTGATACTGAGATGATTGCTGGCTATGATTGGCGGTAGTGTTGGTGTTGGCGGCCATCGATTCGTAGCCATTATAATGTGTAATAAGCGGCGGCATCGATGCCGATAACGATGATGACTGAGATTTGTTTGGCTGTACGATAACACTGTTATGGCCACCAATGTGATGGCCATTGGTGGTCACCGACATCGAGTTAGGCGAATGGCTCAACGACATCAACATATTGGCCGCCTCTGCCGTATCGAACTGTGTGGGCGTTCGCTGCCGATGGCGACCCGTTAGAGATTCACTGGGAATGACGACATTCATGCCGTGCGATAGCGGTTCGAGAGCTAGAATACGGCTAGATTTGGTCGCCGCCGCCGCGGACGACGGATTGAACACTAAATTATGATTGTTTTGCGAGGAGACGGCTGCAGAAGTAGCTGCAGATGTCGATGACGACGACGACGACGATGGAGTCGATTTCATGCTTAGATGACGGGAACAATAGCCCCGACGTTGCGACTCTTTAGTACAGCCGTCGCGCGAACACAATCGGCGCCACTGTTTGCCATTGAATTTCTTTCGTATGCCGTTCGGTGCGGACACTATATCGCCCTTCTTATACTTGTTCGGTGTTGTCGGTAGGGCTGACGATGACGATGACGACGAAGACGGCAACAGTGCGCTCAACGGCGGTCCCAATACGGACAACGATAGCGGCGCCGAACTATTGGTCGGCGTTGTCGGTGCCGAACAATGTTTGAACGTAAATACATTCGGCGTCGTCGGTGTACTACTACTCGATAAATGTCTCACTTCGTCGTCGTCTTCTTCATCGCCAGAAAATCCGTTGTTGTTGTCGTTGTCGGCATCGTTATCGTCGTTATTGTTGTCGTCATCCGAACCTATAGAGTATTGGCCGACAATTTGCTGTTGTTGTTGCCGTCCAAACATTAATGGCGACGACGATACGGGAGGACTACTATTGTTATTATTATTGAGTAATAGAGGCAAAGGCGGCGGTTTTTGGTGGTGTTGTTGTTGAAGTGGCGGTGATTGTTGTTGTGTAGGTGTAGTCGTCGGTGTCAACGATGCCATAGTTATAACACTGATAACGTTCGGCGAAGTCATCATTGGCTGCTGTTGTTGGCCACCGATTGTCGTCGGTGTTGTCGGAGGGCTAGTAGTGTCCATAATATCGACACAACTATCGCTAAACAACTGAGAGCTGCTGTTTGTCGGTGTCGTAGTCATCGTCGGTGTCGACAACATTTGATCAGCACTTCTATCCAAACAATCAATCGAAACACAACTAATCAAGTCTTCCTCACTCCACGGCTGAACCATTAGCCTGAGATTAGCTCTGGTAAGCCATTCAAATTGATCACCGCCGCCAATCGACTGGCCACTACTGGTGTCACCCGTAAATCGTATACGATAGATTGGTTTTTGGCAATTGTCTACCGATATTTCCGCGACCAAACCGTCCTGAAAAGCGGTCGTACTGTTGGCACATTTGGCAATCACTTGGGCGCCGACTTTGATCTGGGCGGCCGACGGGCAACTGTCGCCGACTATCAAACCCAGTGACGACAGGCCATAGTATTTAGTATCGCCGCCGACACCGACGCCAACACAATGGCCATTATCGCCGTCGAACACAATACCGATGCCTTTACGGGGATCGCAATCATCGACAACACCCTTACGGTAGAGTCCGCCATCAGTTTTGGCCAATACTCGGGTACCGATCCATTCGGACATATCGTTCATCATCAGCTGCTGATGATGTGATGGATAACCAACTGTCGATCCATTTGTCTTATAGCTGTTGTCGCCGCTGTTATTATTATCAGTTGTCGACAAATTGATGCCATTGTTATTGTAATCTTCATTGAAATCGATGGCAAACTTTCGCTTTTTCGGTAGAGTCTTGGGCTCTGTTGTTGTTAGTGGTGTTGTTATCACATGTGTGCCACCAATTGATGGCAACTGATTACCACCACTACTACTACTACTAGTACTGTTCAGATGATGATCATTGATAATCATTGGCGGTGTAGTCGTCGTCGTCGTCGTCGTCGAAGACATCTTTAAATTATTGTTGTCTATCATTGTATTTGATTCAAAAGACATCTAACAAAAAAACCAAATCAAAAAACAAAGAGTTAGTTATAATTAAAGATATCCAACAAGTGATGGACAATAATAACAACAATAAATATAATTACCATTTTGTTGGTGTTGTTGTTTAACATCACCTAATCATCTGATCCTCCTTTTTAATCAATGGATGAAATCACTGGTCATTTTCCCATTCATTCACATAATTGGTTTGCAATTCATTTACTTAATATATTTATATATAATTTAATTGCAAATCATATTCACATTCATTATAATAATTATTATAATAATAATAATAATAACAACAAAAACAATACTATAATAACATTATATATAATGAATTAGTTTTTTTTAATTACAATCAATTGATTCATACATTTATTTTTTTAATACTTTTTATTTTATTTTTTTTTTAGTGTATATATACCGTAGTAATAGTAATCACAATATATTAATAATAATAAATGTCTTATCAATGTATTTGAAAGTATATATCATTGAGAAACAAAAAAAAAATGTTAATAACATTTAAATGAATGAATCAATCAATGTATGAATGTATGAATGATTTGATTCAATAATAATAATAATATTCACACAACAAGTATATAATAGTAATAATAATAATTATTATTATTATTAATAATAACTGATATATTTTAATATTTATTTTTTCCCCCAAATGACAAACAAAATATATATTTACTGTATATATATATATATATATAACACAACAACAAACAACTGATTATTATTATTATTATTATTTAAGTTATATTAACTTAACGTATAATACAAACAACACATGATATACATGTATAATACAGTAGTAGTAGTAGTAGTGATACAGCAGTGATAGTAGTATTAATAGTAGTAGTATTGGTAGTGATTGTAGTATTGGTGGTCAACAACATCATCATCACTGGTGATGGTTATGATTGTTGGTTGTAATTATCACTTGAACTAAAGTAATAGTAGTTTTTATAGATACCATATCCTCTCTCTCTCTCTCTCTCTCTCTCTCTCTCTCTCTCTCTCTYTCATCAATGATATCACATCCAACTGTCTGTCTCTCTCTCTCTCTCTCTCTCACCAAATGAGTCGTCAATTATTATTAATATATACTAATAATAATAATAATAGTATAGTATTTATAATAACGAGAATAATAACTATAATATTATTATTAATGAAAACATTTTTTTTAATTATTATTACAGTATTAGTAATAGTATTGTTTTGTCTATCATTTGATTTGTTTGGTTTGAATACTCTAACTATAACTTAAACTGACTGTTGGTTTGTTATGTTTTTGTATTATGTTTTCAATGTTTCACTACTTTTTTCTCTGAAAATTCAATGAATCATTTCGTATATAATATTCATTCAATTCATTCACTAGTTTTCTCTCTCTCTCTCAATGTTTTATAGTTAGTCTCTCTTTCTCTCTCTCTCTCTCTCTCTCTCTCTCTCTATATATATATATATATCTAATGCATTGCATTGCAAACACATACTACTATAACAACAACAACTGTGAGACAGCTTTCACTGCAAACACACTGTGTGTATGTACTGTATGTATACCTACCAGTGCTTATAATACTGTAATACTAAAACATGACATTTCTATGAAACAGTAGTAGTAGTAGTAGTAGTAGTAGTATTTCTAGGGGTTGTAATCATAGGTTGACTGACTATGACTTACTATACAATTTATATTTTAGAAATAAAATCAACAAAATAATAATAATAACTATTTTTTTTAATTTCCAAAATAATCTTGCTAATTTTTTAAATAAAAAAAATATATAATTGTTTTTTAAACACCCATAAATATTTTATTACAAATATATTTTTTTAAAATTAAATATTTTCTAATTTTCTAAATTTTATTTTATCATTATCTATGTATTAATAATTACTTAATAATTATTATTTAAAATTATTTTCAAATATAACTAATGTTTTTTTTAATAACTTTATCTATGTATGGATTAATATATTATAATCATTGAAAATAATCATCTATTTATATAATTAATAATAATAATAATAATAATAATAATAATAATAATAATAATAATAATAATAATAATAACCTAGGCTATAGTACCTGTGTAGTTTTTTTTATTAAAAAAATAAAATAATTTAATATATAACTAAATAATTTTAATATTAAAAATTATAAATAAAAATAGTTTTATTTATTTATTTATATAAAAAATTTGAGTCAGCCGTACACCAGTGTATGGATTTTTCCAGGCTTTAGTGGTTGCCTTGAAATTGAAAAACAAGTGAACTAACAGTCAGTGTATGTATGTATGTATGTATGTTTGGTTGGTTGGGTTCGCGCAGTCATACTATTGGTCGGTTTGGTTAGGTTTTTGGCTGATCACTGAAAATTTAGGTTATATCACATACGTATATATACAGTATATATACTGTACTATTATTATATACATGAGCTTTATATATATATATATGCCTCGACAGCCAGGCACTGGCCTTGAAAACTTTTGGTAGTATAAGTGTAGGTATAGTATGTGTGTGTGTGTGTATAGTGAAAGAGAGAGAGAGAGAGAGAGAGAGAGCGTGGGCTAACAGTGCTTAACATTACACACACACACATATATATACACATACACACTGTTATTGTAGTGAACACATACAACATTGCATAGCATTGCAATCAATTCATTGCACTATAAATATTGATTTTTACTGGCATTTCACCAGTGAATACATACAGTACTGTATGTATGTGTAAGTGTGTGTGTGTGTGTGTGTGTGTGTGTGTGTATGTATGTATGTATGTATGTATGTATGTGTAAGTGTGTGTGTGTGTGTGTGTGTGTGTGTGTGTGTGTATGTATGTGTAAGTGTGTGTGTGTGTGTGTGTGTGTGTGTGTGTGTGTGTGTGTGTGTGTGTGTGTGTGTGTATGTATGTATGTATGTAAGTGTGTGTAAGTGTGTGTGTGTGTGTGTGTATGTATGTGTAAGTGTGTGTGTGTATATATATATATATATGTATGTATGTGTGTAAGTGTGTAAGTGTGTGTATGTATGTATGTGTATATATAAGTGTGTGTGTGTGTGTGTTATGTGAATGCAATGTTTTCTGCAACCAATGTGTGTGTGTGTTTCAAAACATACACAACTATTTTACTGTAATATACTGTACCTTCAATGTCAGTGTCTGCCCCCTCCCAACACCAACACATACACTATCCATACATTTATCTTTTGACTTATCTGGGAAACCAAGTGATGCCCAAAAATACCCGATAATTCAATGCAAGTCCGCACACATACACACACACACACACACACACACACACAACCAATAGATAGGCCAATGAATAGATAGTCTAAAGCACTGGTGTGTGTGTGTGTGTGTGTCTCACAGCAACTCATTTATCTATATATATATATATATATATATATATACTGTAATATTGGGTTGTAATTAAACTTCCGATTATTACTAGTATTATTATTATTATTATCATTATTGCAAAACATACTGTAGTTTTTAGACAGTATTACAGATTATTGCAATTGGATATAAATTTTATTATATAATAATAATACCCAATACTGTATATTATACTGTACTGTACTTTATATATAAATTTATATACAGTATATATATATATATATATATATATATGATGTTAATCATAGTGATAGTGTCTGATCACTGATATAGACAGTGTCCTCAATCCCCACTAGTATTTTGCATACATTTTATTATTACATTTTATTTATATTATTTAATACATATTAATCACATATAAACTTATTAGTACAGTATTATTATTATTATAATTATAGCCCTATACTATTGTAGTTGACTAATGTATTGTGATTATATAATTTAATTATCTCATATTAGCAATAATACTAATACTAATATTAATACTATAAATATTATGACTATATTTAGTTTATTTTTTTGTTGTTGTTGAAAATATATATTTAATATTACTGTAATATTAGTTACAATATATATATTTGTTTTATTATTTTATATATAATATGATATAATTTCAATTTATAACATTATTATAATAAAATTTGGTATTCAATTTATATATAATATAATATATAACAACAACAACAAAAAAATCTAAAAGCAAACAATATATTAAACAAATATATACATTATATATAATATATATATTTTTTATTTTTGGTAACAATCGATATAATAATCATTTATAATATATATAAAACTAAATAATAAACTTGTAATTAGCTGTATGTGCGTTAAAATTATTGTTTTTTTATTAATAATTTTGTTGGTTAGTTGTTGTTAATAATAATAATAATAAAATATTAATTAATTATTATTATTATTTTACTCTACATACTGTAAAATAGCTGTAAATTATCATAAATTTAATGGTTATAATTGAATGCTTAATGACATTAGACATTAAATTATATATTTTATTATTTCTAGTATTATTGCATACAATTATATAATACAATCGATAAAATGGGTAATCATTTATTAATTAACAGTATATATATATATATAACTAAGCGATAGTACATATGTTTAAATAGTAGTTTAATTATTCAGTACTATAGTTGTGTTATAAATTTTTAACACACAAATTAGTTTTTWAAAAAATATAGTTTTGAACCTGGACAATTACACACACACACACACACACACAATAGATTTAGGTGTTAAATATTAGTTAGTAATTAATAAAAATTAATAGTTACCTAGTGTAATTGTAAATATTAAAAATGCATCTATCAGAAAATATTTTTTTTWATTTTTTTTGTTAAAAAAATAATTAATTTTCTCTAAATTATAGTTACCTTTACATACATTACCAGTTTATTTGGTCACTCTATGATACATAAATACAGGTGCAAAGTGTTTATTTACTACTACTACTACTACTACTACTAGTAATAGTGTTGCCAAATATAGGATTATCAAAATCACATATATATTTACCTTGACACTAATACTAATAACAAATAAAAAAAATTTCAAAAAAAAATTGTTAAATTTTACAAAATAAAATACAGGTGTTTATTAAAAACATAGATTTTTTGATATTTTAGTTAACAAACAAACAAAATAAAACAAAAATTTTTTTTTCAACAAAAACATTGTCCAGTAATTGCCTGGAAATTTGGTCTAAAAAAAATTGTTTAACAACTCTATTATTATTACTTTACACTTAAATTGTTTGTCAACTCTATGTGTAGTTTTGTGTAAACATTACTAATGTTTATATAATATATTTTGGTTGACATCTAATGGCATAACGTTTTCACTCCTAAACAGTTGTGTTGTGTTTGTTGTCATTAGTTAATGACTGTCAACGACAACAACAATGTCGATGATGTCCAGCCATAGTCACAGTAATGGACACCACATGTGATAATAGCCGAAGAAGTGGTCAAAAGAAAGAGAGACATCGAGAGATCAGCTGAAGAAAAATTATTACTTATAACTGAAGATAACTCACGAGTAAAACGATGACAACAACAACAGACACCATCTGTTCTTCTTCTTCTGTTGGTGTCGTCGTCGTCGTTGATGACCACCCGTCCAACAGGCCGTTGGTCGAGCCGATGGTGACCACCGCCACCGCTGCCGTCGTCGACAATGAACCGCTGGCCGGCTATCTGAACAAACTTAGTTCCCGCGGACCGCTGAAGGCGATGAAGAAACGATGGTTTATGTTCAACGATAGCAACTGTCGGCTGTATTATTACCGAACACGAGATGATTTGTTACCGTTGGGCGAAATTGATATCAAACGGGCAACGTTTACCATCAAATCGCAGACACAGTTTACAATAATGTCGTCGGCCAGCAAACAGTTGACACTGGAGGCCATTGATGGCCAACAGTGTATCTATTGGCTGACCAGATTGCAATCGTTGCGCAAACGTTATATCATTGAATTGGCCAACAAGTTTGGTGTCAAACTGGCGCTCAATCATCTCAGTCAAGACGTTTGTTTTGATAACAAGAAAAACAACGGTTTGTTTTAGTTGTTTGTTTGGATCAAATGTTTGATTATATATGTTATTGTTATATCTACTGAACAGCTGATAGCGTCGGCGGAACAATAGATGATGGTTTGACGTCCAGATCTGTTTTCTACGATGACGACCACCAAACACCGCCACCGCTACCACATGTTAGGAAAAACAGCGACGAATTGATGGCCAACGTACAGAAGGATGGCTATTGTCAATCGTCGCCGTCGACCAAACACAAGATATTTTCAGGAATTGTTCATAAAATGAAACCAAAGACGACTAATATTACTGTTTTAAGTGAATCAGTTCAACAACAACAACAACAGCAGCGGCGAACTGAATCAGTTTCGTCGCCCATAAGAAATCTATTGAAATTGGCTGACAAATCATCGTCAGCTGCTGTCGCCAGTGACACGGTTTGCCAGAAGTGTCGCCAATGCGAAGACCAATTGGTTTCGCTATCCGATGATATGTCGGCCATTGAAAACGAATTGCAAGCGAGCCGTGAAGTTATACGACTACTTCAAAAACAGTTGGAAGTGGTCGGCAACGAAAAGAAACTGTTGGAAGATATTTGTCGTCGTAGCGAATCTACGACTTCGACTACTGGTGGTGTCGAGTCCGACGATATATTGACGAAATTGATTCAGACAAACGGCGAACTGACCGACTTGACGATCAAACTGCGTAACAGCGAATCCAATCGCGAATCGCTGGAAAATGATTGCGAAAATCTGAGAAAACAAATGAATCGTCTGAACGAAGAACTAAGTGTTCTGAAAGAAATGCTCGAATCAAGAGACGAAACTGTTGTCAGTCTAACCCATCAGATATACGACTTGGAGGTTGAAAAAGGTGACGGTTTTAGTCCGACAATTAGTAGCTGTAATCTATCATCGGATTCATTAGCTCAGTCGTCGTCGTTGTCGTCAAAGTTTATCAAAGTTCAGACCAACGAAGTGGATCAACTGAAAGATACTGTCCGAGCGTACGAAACCCAAAACCGATTCTTGAACCGAGAGATTGTCGAACTAAACGAATTGCGTAATGTTATCGAATTGAAAGATAAAGAATCTCAGCTAAGAATCTACGAACTGGAAGCCAAATGTTCACAAATTCAAAGTAAACTCTTATCGCTATTGAAAGAGATTAACCAAAGCAACAGCCAGACGATGGCAGCGACGACAAAGTCGAAGACGACTAATGTCGACGATTCGACAAAAAAAAATGATAATCATCTGAATAATAATCAAAACAATATGGCGGCCAATGAATCGGTACAGGCATTGGTCAACAGATTGCTCGAAGATATTTCGCTGGATATACCGTTGAGTTGGAAACCGGGAAATAGATCGCGTAATTCGGGTTCAGTTTCGCCGCGAACTTCGGCGGCGGCGGCGACCGCTAGCGGTACTACTACTGGTCTGTACGATGAATTGGGATTCTATTTTAAGAATCGACTATACGATGATCCGATGTCGTCGTCGTCGTCAGTGGTGTCCACCACCGCTGCCACCACTTGCGATGATGTGAATAGCATTTCCATCATCAAAGACAACAACGAGACATCATCATCAGGAGCTGAACCTATTAACATGAAAACCAGTGAAGAGAATCTAAAAGACAGACAATTAGAGGCAAAAGCTAGAGCCGTCTGGAAGTCGAAATGGGATTCGTTTGTCGGTAATCTCAACAATCATGAACTACAACGAACTCAGGAACTGAAGGCAATGTTACGGACGGGTATTCCCCAGGAATATCGGTGCAAAATATGGAGAGGTATTATCTATATGCGTGTCAAACACAAGATGACCGAATGCGGTAGCGGTTATTACTCGACACTATTGAAACAAAACAACTATTCGAGTCCCGGAGCCAAAAGTCTGGATCCGTCGACCAAACAAATCGAATTGGATTTATTGCGAACACTACCGAACAACAAACACTTCGAGACACTGGAATCCGATGGAACCGCTCGTTTGCGACGGGTGTTAACCGCATTCAGTCGACACAATCAAGCGGTCGGCTATTGTCAGGGTCTGAATCGTTTGGCAGCCGTTGCCCTACTGTTTATGCCCGAAGAGGACGCTTTCTGGTGTCTGGTGGCTATTGTCGAGTCAATTATGCCCAACGATTATTTCGGTCGCAATCTATTAGGTATTTATTGCGTAAACTGTTTTACCGCTAATTGTATTCATTGGTTATAATTCATCCATTCATTCATTCATACATTAGGAGCACATGTCGATCAATATGTCTTAAGATATCTACTATCGGAAAAGTTGCCCAAACTGTACGCCCATTTGGAACAAATGGGTATCGAATTATCGTTATTTAGCTGGTTTTTGACCGCATTTGTCGACAACATTCCCGTCGATATGTATCTACGTATTTGGGATGTCTTCCTATACGAAGGCAATAAAATATTGTTTCGTTTTGCGCTGGCATTCCTCAAACTATACGAAGAAATCTTACTCGAACTGACCGATTCGGTAACAATCAATCAATTTTTACGTACACTCGGCGAACGACCCATCGATGTTAACCGATTATATTGTATAGCCTTTATTGAATTGAATCCATTTCCCAATCGTACGGTTAAACTAAAACGTCAACATTATTCACAACTAGTCAGCAGTGAGTTGCAAAAGTTGCAACTGATCCGCAATAGTCTACCAAATCATGAAAGCTTTGAATGCGATAGCGATTAACAAACAAAACAACAAAATTTTATTTTAAAAAAATATATATATTTAGTTATTTGTTTGTTTCCAAAAAAATTTTGTTGTGATTGTGTGATACAGTGTGTGTGTTTGTGTGTTATATTTAGCATCAATGCTATGACACCTACCTACCCCCTACCCCCTAAGTATTATATATATTTCCAATTGTTTTTTTTAGTAAATCTAATATTACCGGTAATTATTAACCCCTCCTTTTAAAAATATATAATAATGATGTTATACAGTATTTTATAAACACATAATTATTATTAGTTGATAACAAATTTATTATTTAGTTAACCCCTATAGATTAGTTTATATATATTATAGTTATATTTATATTAAATTAGTTATAAACAAAGTTAACTGTATATCTAATTAGATGATTATATAATTTGGATTTATTTTCTAGTTTTAATTGCAATTTTATTATTATTATTATTGTATTATCTATAACTACTACTACTACTACTACTACTACTACTACTACTACTACTACTACTATATGATTATTAACATTACTAGTCTCTGTCCATACATTAATTAATTGGTAATTATTTAGATATTATTATATTTTATTTTTTAATTGGTTATAAAAAAGTGAGAGCTTATGAATGGTGTGTACTGTAATATATTGTAATAAATATGTTAGAAGAAACTGTTAGCAATTTTCAAGTGTTATTCAAAAAACAAAATTATTATAATAATTATATATAAAATTTTATAATATATATATATATATATATATATATTACCGTAACTTATAGTATTGATTTTTATGTGCTGTGATTACAATCCCCTCCCGGTATTTATACTGTACTTTTAAAAAAAAGGTATTTAGCATTGTTTTAGATGATAATATAAATTTGTCACAATTTATACATTATATATTAAATTTATTATTATTATTATTATTATTATTGTCTCTCTATTTATTAATATTTATTCAGTCAATTGTTAATTTATTATTTAAACAAATTTATATATATATATATATATATATTATTAATATACTGTACTTTACAAGTATATTGTCCACAAAAAAATTTTATTTTATACATTAATCTAAATACATATAACAAAAATAATTATATAACAAAAATTTATAACATTTCCAATTTTAATTTAAAAAAAAATAAAATTTGTATTTTATTCTCTCTAATATTTAATTGCTTTAAAATTATTTGATAATACAATTTATTGTTTGATAACAACAATGATAGAGTATTTTTTATTAATTACTATCAAAAATATATTTAATTAACTAAATTTAACTTGAATAATTCAATATATGATAAATATTATGAATAAAACAATTCATATAACAAAAATATATATATTTATATATATATATATATATAATATAATAAAATAATTATAATTAAATATAACTAATATATCATATAATTATATTTTTAAAAAAAAAATCTGAAAAATATAACACATTATAAAATCTCTATTTTTTAAAAAAAAAATATACGGAATTTGTTTCAATTGTTTTGATTATATAATTAATCTATTTTTTTTGTTGCTTTTATTTGGTCAATCAGTTCAGGTTCTGTGTCCACTATCATCATCACTACCAACCACTACCACCTAATTAAGTTCACCTACCGGTGCATTTTCCAGCCATAGGTTGTGCATAAACTGATACAAATTGTCGGTAACGGATACCTTATAGGGAGTGGGATTCAAGTAACGTTTGATATCGGGCCGTAAGGCGTCCAGCGATTGCTGGACATGATTGCGTATGGCGTCCAACGTTGGCATCGGTTTCTGGATCTGGATATCATCGGATGGTTAGGTAAGATATATATGTGTGAGTTGTTGTTTAAACATTTCAAAAAACAATTGGTTATCTAATAAAACTACTTTTCCGTTTTGCCACCAAATCTCCAGAAGCGGTTCCACTTTGGATGGCGTAGCGTAACATCGTTTCGATTCTTGAAACGGATGCCGACACAAGACTTTTGTCAGCGGCAACGGTTCCGGTTCGTCCACCGAATCGTTTTGCATCAGATCTATCAATGCAAAACCTTCCTTACCGTACAATCGATACAATCGTTTACGGCCGGGAACTGTCACCTTCTGGACATCCAGACTGATCTTAATGCACGGATGACTATTGATTTCGACTAACTATTAGGGATTAACTAATAGTTTTTAAGTATATCCCAGACAAACATACCAACCAACCAACCGACACACACACACACACACACACATACCTTATAGACACATCCCAGTGCCGGTTGTCGCTGACAAGTGACCAAATGTGTCCCAATACCGAACGCATTGATCCGATGTTTCTGTTCTTTCAGCGATATAATAGTATCTTCGTTGATGTCATTGCTGGCCACTATTGCCAGTTTGCCGAACCAATCGATTGAATACGTCTGGCCAATCAATTTGAACGCTTTGTAGGCCATTACCGACTGATAGGCCAGATCGCCGCTATCAATACGTATGCCCAGTGCCCGATAGCCCAGTTGGTTGAGTGCCAGGGCTACCGAACTGAAATTTAATAGTCCACTCCTGTGATCCATTATTTTGGGGGTAATTATTATTATTATTATTGATATTATCGGTAATCGCATACCTGATCATATCATATGTGTCGACCAGTGCCAGGAATTGGTCGGGAAATGAAATGGCATAAGCAATGAATGCCGTCTTTTTTAAATAATAATAATAATTATTATTATTATTATAGATTATAATTGATTAGTAATTATTTATATGAAACAAAACAAAATTTTTAATTGCAAATTCATTAATAATTTAAATAATGATAATTATTATCAATAAAAATTGAATACCAATTCGCTTGAACTGATCTCCGACTGAAGTACATCCAACAGCTGAGACAACTCGTTCTGGTATTTAAGACATACGGAGACAAAGTCGACTGACTGGCCGGTAGTCTTGTCTAATAAATACTGGGTTTCCGCCGAAAAAATAATTTTAATTATCCGATAATTATTAATTCATAGATATAATAATCAAATCATATATATATATATATAATTATTTACTCGTGTGTTGAGCTCGTCCAGCGATGAATAGGACATGACAAACGAGTGGGCGTGAGTACCCTTGAGGGGTATGCCATACATTTTGCCGGCCAATACATTACTGGTACCGTCGAAGCCGCCCATATAGGCATATTTGGAGGCTATTTATCATATTATATATATATATATATTTATTTATGGTATTACCGGTAAATAGTTTTTAGTTAATTTAATTTAAAAAAACATTATTTTTGAGTGGGGAGCTGAGGGGTGGGGGGTTATGAATATTTAAAAATCATTGTATATATATATAAAAAAAAATCTACTTGATGAATTTATTATTTTCATTATTATTATTATTATTAACCTGAAAGTCCGCCTATTGTCAACAAAAAAATATTTAAAAACAATTAATAACAAATAATTTTAATTATTTATAAATATAATTAATTAATTAATAATACCATCGATTCCCTGAGCCCTCCTGAGTCCAAACTCGTATAGCCTAATATCCCGGCCGTCCAACGCTATCTTATAGCGGGCAGCGTTTGTTGTTATCAAACTGGCAAAATTGACCAGGGTCAGCAATGTTGTTTCCAATAGTTGGGCCACGGGTAAGGGGCCCTCGACACGCATAAGCGGTACTTTGGGAAACACTACCGAACCCTCCCGTATGGCATACAATCGAATATCTTTGGCCGATAGTTGGGATAAATACTGGAAAAATTCGTCCTCAACATAATCGGGTAGTATTTGACGCAAATATTTGATATCTGATTAAATAAATTGTTATAAAACCAATAAAAATAAAACACAAAAACCATACCATCGGTGGTAAATCGGAATCCTTGCAAAAATTTGATTACTTCATCCAAACCGCTAAATATGGTAAACTCGCCGCCAAACGGATTCTTACGGAAAAACATGTCAAATACGGCCAATTGATTGCGTTTTTCTGGTGACTTCCAGTAGGCGTAAGCCATGGTTATCTGATACATATCTATGAAATTATTATTATCATCAATGATGATGATGGTGATGATGGAAGATACCAATTAGTTAGTTATCCATTATAATCATATCATGGTATCAGTTATACTATTGCCCCTCCCCCTATATAACTGTCCCTTTAGTATCCTGATAAATTATATTTATATATATACTGTCAATCAATGGTAAATTACTTTTGGATCAACTATGTGTGGGGGGTGGGTGGGGTGGTAATTGTGTAGTAAGACCACCCAGGTCATTAACAAGTTTAATATTCTACTGTATATATTTATATATAAATATCAATCAATGGTAAATTACTTTTAGATCAACTGTGTGTGTGGGGGGGGGTGTTGGTGGTATAGTACGACTACCCAGATCATTAACAAGTTTAATATACTATTGTATATATTTATATAAATATATATATATATCAATCAATTGTAAATTACTTTTGGATCAACTGGGTGTGTGGGGGTGGGGGTGGTATAGTATACGACCACCCAGATCATTAACATGTTTAATATACTACTATATATTAATATTTGTTTGTTTAATAGGGAGGTTCAGGTATTTTTTTTTAGATATTATGTGCCACCCCAAAAATTTTTTTTATAGTTAATAAAAAAATTAATTTTAAATTTACCAGTAAGTAATGGCAAGTGAATAGATTTACAACAGTCGACAATTGATCCGTTACTGTGATGATGGTCCTCATCCTCCTCCTCCTCCTCCTTATCATTATTATCATTGCATCCGACGACTATCGTTGGCAGCGGTTGTTGTCCTTTATTGTCGGTCCCAGACATCACTATATATATATATATCTATAGATACTTTATATATGTCCCCACAAAACCGACCCGGATAATTAAAAAAAAATAAAATAAATAAATTGTGTCCCCGACTACTAATATAATAATAATAATAATAATCAACTATTTATTGTAACATTAAATAAAAATTTTATATAATATATATATATATATATATATATATATACTAAATTAATTAATAAATATATGCAATGGTGTCTGGGTCATTTATGATTTCACTAAAAATTAATAATAACAAATTTATAAATATTTAGCATGCATGTGTTATATAAACAAAATTTTTTTTATTTATGTAATATATATACTAATATATTTAAAAATAATCTATGTTGAAATATTTGCAACACTAATAACGTTTTTTTTTGTTGGTAATAGTTATTGTTGCTTGCTTATTTTATTTATTATTTTTAAAATAAAATTAGTATTAAATATAATGATAAACATTGTTATTATTAGTAGTATTACCTAGATGATATGACACTATATATATTTATATATTTCAATTAATTAGTGAACTTTATATCTAATCTATTGATTTATTTATAATGTTAACAATTTTTGTTTGGCTTATTAGTGCACTATTATATATAAATTATAACTATATATATATGTACAGTATATATATATATGTGTGTGTTTATATATATATATGATATATATATATATATATGTCATATGATTAGCATTGGATTAGACTATTAGGTAATATTAATAGAAATTATGATAATTAGTAATAATAATAATAATAAATTTTTTGGTTATTAAAAAATAATAATAATATAATGTATAAACTATTTCTAAAATTAATTAATAATAATTTTTAAAAAATTTAAGCAAATATAAATAGTTAAAATTTTTATTAATATTACCTTCAAAATAAATTTAAAAATTAAAAATAAAATGTATATACTTACTATTTTTTTAAAAAATATTAAATATTTTATTAATATTAAATTTAATATTAAAAATCACATTAAATTAAAAATTAAATTTATGAAATTACCACAAATTTTATATGATTACTACAATATATATATACTATATATTTATAATTTTTTTATAATATTTAAAATATATTAATATATTAAATATAGTTAAACTATGAGATAAAAAGTACAAATTATTTTTTCAAGTTTTTAAAATTATTATTATTATTATTATATTTTTCACTTTTCAAAGTTTTCAAACAACTAAAAACAAACTTCTAAAGTGAAAAATATAATAATAATAATAGTTTTAAAAACTCTAGTTATTTGTACTTTTTATCTCGTAGTTTAAATAATAAAAAAACTTAAATATATATATAATATGTTTTTATTATATTTTAAAAAAAACAAATGATAAAATATTATGATAGATATTATTATTATTATTATATGACAAGTTGTGACTGTTATGTGTTTGAAAATGTTTAGTACAAAACTACAGTACAGTAGTATAAAAACATTTTAAACTAAACAAAAATTTATGATTATTATTATTATTAAATATGATATTTTATATTTTGCATTTAAAATAATAATAATAATTGTATTTTATGTTTATTTTATTTCATAATAACTACACTTTTCTTTTTTTAAATATCAAATGTTTTTATATGTCCTCTAATATACAGTATATAAAGTTATATACATATATATACTGTATATATACAGTATATATTTGGATATATAAACGGGAAAATAAATTTATGATTTATGAAATTCAATTCAATTAATAGCTAAACTACTGGTATATTAAAAAAATAGTAGTAAACGTATTGTCAAAAAAAATATATATAAATATTACTTATATTATAAATTATATATATATATATGAATAAAATTTTTATTTTAATTAGCATTCATAGTATATCATCTAATTAATTATATTGTAATTTATTAGCTAATTTTTTTTTGTAATTATTATTTTTACTAAAATATTATACTTGTAATATACTGTAATAAAAATTTATCAAATAATTTATATATCAATGTGTATATTGTAAAATAAATTTAAATAAAATATAAATTGAATATAAATTTAGAAAAAAAACAGTTATATATATATACTGTATTATACAGACTAACAGTTAATTAATATAATTTATCAAAAAAAAAATATTTGTAAATCCGCCTAAAGTTTTGTATACACAAAAAAAACTAATTGATAAATAAATAAATTGCTAATTAATTAAATAATATTTTTCATATTTACATTTAACGCAATTAATTAGTTAAATAATATTATTATTATTATTTTGCTACTCAAATAAAATGCTAATTAGTTTATTATAATTATTACATTAATTATAATAAATTAATTCCTAGAATTTATTATTAATAAACTATATATTCTGCATAATAGTCTAAATTAAAAAAAAATAAAATAAAATTTTCAACTAATAATATTTAGTTGGAAATGTTTGAATAATTTATATAAATTATTGTTTTTTTAAATAATAAAAATCTCTGTATTTAATCAAACAATTTAAAACCTTATATGTAATGTAAATATTAAGTAATTTATGCCAAACTATTGCCAAATAAAGCAATTAAAAACTAAATAATTGATTTTTTTAAATGTTTAAATCATATTGTTTTCTAATTAAGCATATATATATATAGAAAATTTCTAGGAAAATTCCCAATAGATTTTATTTTATATGCATAATAAAAATTATTTCTATTTTAATAAAAAAAACCAAATATATAAATTTAATTTATTAACATATTAATCCATAGTTAAATTTAATATTTTTAATTATTTTTAATATCAGTTTTAATTTATGGATAGTTATATAAATTAATTATGATATTTAAAAATTAGTTTGGAATTTAAGTTTATGATTATTATTATTTTCTATATAAATTATATATAAATTTTCTAATATTTTTTTTAAACACTATTAATAATATACACTCAATCGTTAATATTATTATAGTATTATGTATTAAAAGTTGAAAAATAATAACAACTAAAATATAGTAATTAGTATATACTTATGAAAATTATTAGTACCGGTAATCATATTATTTCAAAATATAATTATAATTATTATTATTATATATATATATATTAAAAAAATCTTAGATTTAACAAAAATTGCTAATTAATTTTTTTTGCTAACAAATATTATTTCCTATTTGTATTAATATGTTATTATTATTATTATTATTATTAAATTTGTGATTAATAATAGTATAATACAATATATATATATATATATATACTATATATATATATATAATAAATTTGTAGTGAAAATTGGTTTTAGTGATCCACCCATTAATATATATAATATAATGAACACACCTTTGAATACAAAATATAATATATATATATATATATTGAGCCGACATTTGTATGGTTTAACATCAAATGTATTCATAATTTTTTTTGTGTGTATTTATATCAATAGATTATAAGTCAAATTCTGGGGTTTTTTTTAAAGAGTATTGAATAGAGTATTGAATTATTATTATTAATATTATTTTAATACATATAATTTTTGTTTCATATATATACACACACAGTATAAATATATATAAATTAATTTATTTATAATATATATATAAACTTTGACCACTTATTGATATAATATATGATATACAGTGTCCTTGTATTTATATATACAATATATATCATATATATATATAACTAAAATCTTAATTTTATATACATTTTTTGTTATTGTTGGAAATATCAATGTTATCATTAAATAACATTAAAAAATAATAATATAGAATTTATATATATATATATTTTATAGACATAACCAATATATTGATTTGCAATTAATATATATTGAATATATATATATAAAATTATATACTTTATACATAGCTGTTATGCAATTTTGGGGTTATAATAATACAAACACAACATTAGTTATAGATTTAATATTTTTTAAAAATATATATCTGTATATAATAATAATATTTAAATTACATGAACTAACTAACACTAAATGCATTTTTTATATACAAATAAAAACTAAAATCATAGTATCAAAAAAAATACTTGATATAATTTTTTTAAAAATATATATATACTGTATATTATAATAAATTGTATTTTTTAGTTTAGTTTTTCCATTAAAAAAATGACCTTGTTGTACAATGTAAAATAATATTACTTTAATCTATCAATAAATATATATATATATATACTTTATATACCCGGTCTAAATAACTATAGCGTGTAAAAGAGTAATTGAATTTATTTTTATTGTTTTTTTTACATTTTATTTTAGTAAATCAATAATTTTTGTTGATTAAATAAAAATTTAATTTATTAAATTACTTTTACTTAATTTATTATATATATATAATTTATATATAATATAGCAAAAAAAATATGCTATTAATTTTGCACATTTAAAAAAAATAATTTTATTATTATTTTTTTAGAATAAAAGGAAAATTCAATTCCAAAATCTAAACAAAAAAATATATATAAAATAATAATTTTGTTTTATATTACTAATTATTGCCATTAACTTTATAATAATAGTTATTATTATTATTATTATTACTATAACTATACTAAATAAAGCAAAATAGTTTTTTTCTAATAATGCAAATAACAATTTAAATAATGTATATGAAATTGAATATAATTTTTTTTATATACTGTATATAAAAGAGTTTATTGTTATTGTTATTATTATTATTATTACATATTATTATTGTATTATATTATACAGTATTTTAAATATATATATATATATATAGTCTAGATCAAAAAAAATAATTTTATATCTATATTTACAAAAAAAAATTACAAATTACACGACAAAAAAATTAAAATTATCTCTAATTAAAAAATATATTTTATAAAAAATAATTTTTTATTTTACATAATATTTTATATATATATAAAATACATCAGTACACAGTCTATAGTTGGCTAATATAAAAAAATAATAATAATATATATATATATAATGATATTTATCTATAAAACAAACATTTATATATATTTATATCTAAAAAATTATTTTTTTGTGATATTATTATTATTATTATTACTATTAATTATTCTATACATAAATATATATTGAAATT